GCTCTCATTACAAATTAAACTCACACTACGTATTTGCATTGATAATAGATACAGTCGATTACTGCTGATGTTCTTTCGCGAATTCAAATGGGTCCTTGCTTGCAAGCACATCATTTGTTTCTTTATCGATCAATACGGTTGATTAAGCTCCTCTATTAATGGAATTTCTCATCAGAATAAGTTAAATTAAATGCTGAAAAGGTTCATCGATTTACACAATTTACACAATGATAAGCTCGTTACCCACTGAACAACAGACTAGACAGGCTAGCTCAGTGGCTCTAAGCATAAACTTAATAACGCAAATACGCAGCACATTAATAACTTCAGATCTGGGCGTAATTTGAGATTAAGACCAAAGTGTCTCAGAGCTCGTTACATCTTCTGCCAAGAAATACAAGGGAACTCTTTGTAAAAGCCATGGTGCTGCCAACTTGATTTCGATTCTATTCACTCTGATGAACAAGAAATACGAATAAAGCATAAAAAAGATATGCCAAAGCACATGCAACAGAAGCTCTTGATCTAATTGGGAAACAATGGAAAAAAGGCGAAGATCACATCGTCTATTTTGGTTTTTAAGTCCTTGAATGACTAATTGATTGGAATTTTAATTTTAATCATTTTAAAGATATACATGATTATAACACTCGTTTTAATAACAACATTTGTAAACCACAATCAAAGCGTACATGGGGTCAGCATCGGTTTGTTTGTCATGCAGTAGATGACTAGAACGCTCTCCCAGACGGCATTAGGAACATTTCCGATTTTTCAGTTTTTAGACGTCTTGTTAAAAACATGTAGTCTCTTCTATTGATTATACCCTTTTATCCTATTCTTGATAATATTTATATTTTCTGTTATCCTTACGTTAGATTTATGCAGGGCCTCACTGAAAACCACATTTTGTGACGTGGGCTCCCTGTCAAAAGATCTTATTTATTATTATTATTATTATAATACGGCATAAAAAACTTATACTGCAACTCTGCAATTACCAATTAATTGTTAAAATACCAAAATTTGAAACTCAGGAGTGAAACATTTGTTGTAAGAGCGCATAACTTTTTTATTGTTACTGATAGTAGTCATTGGACCAGTTAATTTCGTCCATGTTTGATTTCAACCTGGCCACGCAAGAAGTTTACTTTTCATTTTGATTGGCTGGCATTGACTGACTGGCATTAATAGTTGATTTTTATTGGCTGATGGCTTAAAGTGCCTAATTTCTATTGGCTGCTTAACTGTCCGACTTGGCCTTTGCAGTTACAAACACTTGAAATCGGACAGGTGAAAATGGACAGTGGACTTGAAACAGTCAATTAAGCCACAAATGAGGACTGATAAGAACCACTCATATTCAAACATCTCTAAAAACTGAGAAAACATATAGTCTGAACTCGCTAATATAAATCAATTTGTCTCTACTAAGGCCCTTTCAAACGTGAATATCGTCATGGCGATGGAATACAGCAAAGAGCAGCTCAACTACTACAGGATTTGTTACGTTGTCACTGATGTATTAACTGATGGTCTGCGAATAATTTTCAAACAAGAATGGGACAATCGCTACGGTGCAACAACGTCAGGGGAATGGAAGGATGAACCAAGAAATGGAGTGGACTTTAAAAACAAGGAATCTGCTCAGAACCAAAAAAGAAATGCGCGTCTCCTTACAACCATGATTGGTGGAAACAGAGCAGAATGGGATTGTACGATGCTTTTCTACGCTATTCTTTTCTCAGATTGTATTGACAACCTCAGCCCAGTTGTCAGATCAAATGTCGATGCCCTCAGAAAGTTTCGAAATGAAGATTTTGCGCACATGTCGGAAGGAAACCTTTCAGACCTGCAGTTTCAAAACATCATTGGCAAAGTTGACACTGCATTTCAAGCGCTCGGTCTTTCCACAATGAAAATTCAAGAGATTAAGAATCAAACGAGCTTTCCCACGGAGGAACTGAAAGATGTCTTGAAAATGGTTGACAATCTTAAGCAGGAGCTTCAGGTCCTTGAAGATCAGTTAAACAATGATATCTCCCCCTTCTGTGTCCTCCCTCCTAAACCCTCACATGACGTAACAAGTCGCGACCGAGAGGTGGCCGAAATAATGCAACAGCTTAGAGAACTTAAAACAGCAAATAAAGACAGGCTAAGTTACCTTTACATCTCCGGAAATCCTGGAAGTGGAAAGTCTCAACTAGCGGGTCTTGTGACTGAACGATTCTACAGAGAAATTAAAGATCTTCCGGATGGTACCTCATTTGTGATGACGATAAATGGTGAAAGTCCAGATACTGTGCTACAATCGTATGTGGCTTTTTCACGGCGTCTTAAGTGTCCCGAGTACGCGGTGACAACCACCCTCCATTCAGAGGACTTGACAACAAATGAGAAAATCACCAATCTTAGGGCATTGATCGGAACGAAAATTGGGCTTTATACATCGTGGCTGCTCGTAGTTGATAATGTCGCGAGTCTATCACATGTGCATGTCCATCTACCCGAAGCCGAAAATGAGATGTGGGCAAGAGGCCAGTTGCTTATCACAACTCAAGACAGTGGGTCAATTCCTCAAGCAAGTTCCTTCAACAAACACATCTCAATAAGCAACGGAATGAATCTTGATGATGTCAGTTGTTTATTGGAAAAGCTCTCAGGAATCACGGACAAAGAGATGGAAATCAAAGTTGCTCAGGCGTTGGACTACCAGCCTCTCGCCTTGGCAAGTGCCGCCACTTATGTCAGAGAAGTTCGACAGACATCTAATTTTGGCTGGAAAGACTATCTTGCAAAACTTGAAACAGGCCAAAGAAATGTCATGGAGAAATTTCTTGCCGAAGTCAACCCAAGCTATGCAAAGTCCATGACCACAGCAACAACACTGGCCGTAGAAACAGCTATGGAATCCAGCAAAATTATGCATCACGCCTTTAATTTCCTGTCCCTGTGTGCACCACAACCATTAAGTCTTAATATCATTGAAGACTTTATCACAATTGTGGATAAAGAAATTCAAGACATAGAAATGATTCGTTTGAAGATACAAAGGTGCTCCCTGCTGATGTTTGAAAGGGACGAAACTGATGTTTACATTCGTGTGCATCAGGTTGTACATAATTCCATTAAGACTTTGGCTGCAGCTCATTCGGATGATAAGCACAACGAGGTCGTCAGTGGAGTGATTGGATCATTCAGTCGTTTTGTAGAAAAATATCTACCAAGGGACAACTACGAGTTCTATGCTCTAATAAACAGCAGACATGTTACTCATTTAAAAAATTTAGCCCCAGAAATTGAGAGATATTTTTCTAAGAAGGTTATTTCTCAAGTCGACCAAAGTGGCTTTTTGATCAAGAACCATGCGATGGACCTCCATAGAATGAGTATGTTTTGCTATATGCATTGTGAATACGAAACTTCAAGACGTTTCATCGATATGGCATTAGACGTATCCATTGTCAACGACCCTGGCTTAGATATTGCAGATATCTACGAACACGCGGGTAACGTGCACGAAAAGCTGGGCGACCTGAGTAAGGCAAAAGATTATCATGATCTTGCACTGGCCGCTCGTCTGAAAAAGCTTGGACCTGACCATGTTGACATTGCAAAGTCTTTCTATTACCTGGGTATTGTACACTATAAGCTGGGTGACCTGAGTCAGGCAAAGGATTATCATGATCGTGCACTGGCCATTCGTCTGAAAAAGCTTGGACCTGACCATGTTGACATTGCAAATTCTTACAATAGCCTGGGTATTGTACACTATAAGCTGGGTGACCTGAGTCAGGCAAAGGATTATCATGATCGTGCACTGGCCATTCGTCTGAAAAAGCTTGGACCTGACCATGTTGACGTTGCAAATTCTTACAATAACCTGGGTATTGTACACGAAATTCTGGGTGACCTGAGTCAGGAAATGGATTATCATGATCGTGCACTGGCCATTTTTCTGAAAAAGCTTGGACCTGACCATGTTACGGTTGCAAATTCTTACGTTAACCTGGGTATTGTACACAAAAAGCTGGGTGACCTGAGTCAGGCAAAGGATTATCATGATCGTGCACTGGCCATTCGTCTGAAAAAGCTTGGACCTGACCATGTTGACGTTGCAAATTCTTACATTAACCTGGGTATTGTACACAAAATTCTGGGTGACCTGAGTCAGGCAAAGGATTATCATGATTGTGCACTGGCCATTTTTCTGAAAAAGCTTGGGCCTGACCATGTTGACGTTGCAAGTTCTTACAGTAGCCTGGGTGTTGTACACTATAAGGTGGGTGACCTTAGTCAGGCAAAGGATTATCATGATCGTGCACTGGCCATTCGTCTGAAAAAGCTTGGACCTGACCATGTTGACGTTGCAAGTTCTTACAATAGCCTGGGTGTTATACACTATAAGCTGGGTGACCTTAGTCAGGCAAAGGATTATCATGATCGTGCACTGGCCATTCGTCTGAAAAAGCTTAGACCTGACAATGTTGACGTTGCAACGTGTTGTTGCGTTTTATAAATACTGCTGCAGGTACGTTTTATTCCCCCTCTTTGCCTTCACTGCCGGTCTCGAATTCATCTTCCGTCTCCTCTTTCTCCTCTTCCCATACTGCATTGTCTTCTGAGCCGTCTAGCGGTTATGCGATTCCACAGGATTTGAACAACTTCTCAGTTAAATCTTGAGGAATTCCGTTCCAGGCGTGATTGATCCAGGTCAACATCAGTTCTTTGCTCGGCGCTCTCTTCTTTCCAAATGGGGTATATGTGAACGGGTTATTTACCATCCATGTTTCATGCAGCATTCGGAGTTTGGCTTTGAAAGGCTTGTTTATGCACTTATCTAGGGGCTGCAACACTGACGTCAGGCCACCGGGAATGACAGCAACATCGACAGTTCGTCTCGCACTGTTCGGTTGCCCGTAAATTCGAGGGTTCTTGTGGCTGGCAGCTCAAATTGCATGGGAGTTTCCTCCGTGTTTAAGATGTGGCTTAACTGGTAGTCATAACGTCTCCGGGCCCTCAACACAAAACGATGGAATTCGACGATCTTCTCCTCCATGTCTGCTGGTAGACGCTGAGCCAAAGCTGTTTTCGCTCTCATAGATACAGCGTGGCGACGTTTTCAGTTGTTGTACCACCTTATAGATTGCCTTGAACTCCGAATCGGAGCTGAGTTCCTTCGCCTTTAACCGGAGCATTACGCTATTAACTGAGAGACCTGCAGAAAATAGAACTGTTCAGTGTTAAAGGACAAGGTATTTTACGTGCACGTGTTGCATGTTAACATTCATCTTCTCGACTGTTAATCAATTAGCGCAAATTGAAGACAAAACAATTCTTTATCGTACCTTGACTTCTTTGATCGCTAAACCAGTCTGCTAAGCGTTGATCCAGTTTTGGATATTTTGGTTTGTACCGACCCATGGATGCACGTTTGGCAGTCATCTTTAACTCGCCATTAAACAACATATGCAGTTGGTTTTGCCATTTGCGAACCATTGACTCGGATATTCCGTACTCGCGTGCAATTTCTCGATTGTTTTTCCCTGACTCTGCTTCTTCTACTATTTTCAACTTAAAGTTCAGATCGTAAGAATGACGTCGCGTACTAGGCATGATTTTTGTTTTGAACACAGCAATGCTCACTGAATCGCCGTGAATGAAGTTTTACAACTAGGAGTTTGACCAGCTGAGACATGCTTATAAAGCTTAAACTGGATCAATTAGTATTCATAGCTTTAGAAAGTAACACTGTTTCCTAAGAAGGCAGACTGTATTCACGATATCTAGATCTCTTTTATAAGTATGATTTTTTTTTTTCGCTTTGTTCGTGCAAATGTGTGACTTTTTTGCCTTTTGTTAAAAAAGGTGACATGACTGTAATTAGAACTTTGAAAACGCTATTGTTTTGAAAGTGAAGATAGTGAAAAAGCCCAAAGTTGAGGTTGCGTCTTATAACCGGGTATTTAGGCGAAATTTTCGGTTTAACAACTTGAAAGAAACGAGTTCAAAAATTCAGGGTGCGTCTTATAACCGAGTGCGCCTTATAACCGAGAAAATACGGTAATCTTTATTATTTTCAGCAGAAGCATATTATGATAGTGCTGCTTGCCATCTATGAAAAAAACCCCTGGGATCTGACTATGTTTGGGTTGCTACTACTAATAACCATTGATTAAATCTGAGTCATTTCGCAGAATTTCGCGTTTTCTCTGTTTCTACATTGTTTATCAAGTTACCTTCAACGTATTTCCGGTTACACAAATACAACTTTATAAAAAGTTCAATTAATGCAGTTTCTTATTATACCTGAAGACAGCTGTCTTCCCCCTTTGAAGTACAGATCGTCATTTAAAATGAGTTTCTTAATTTTTCTCGGTCTCGGTTTTTCAGTCATTGAAAATGGCCTTTGTATCCTGAAACCTGACAAAGGCTGACTCGTCCCCAGTCGTTTCCAATAATGTGCGCGGTACTAAAGTGGGAAGGAAGGGTGATGGTGAGGAGGAAGACGAGGAGTCTTTCTCTCGCTTACTCCTTACCCATCACACTTTGCGCTCTCACACTGCCCGTGTCGGTTACCCGCGCTTTGAGGTTGATTGGAGACGATTCAGGGAAGAGAGGATATACAAAATAATAGAAACCTTTGTTATTGCTGCCTTCCTAAGGGGCAGGAAGCCGTTTTGTTGGTTTCGATTTCAGTTGGAGCCTTTTGTATGGATCTTGCATGGAGTAATCCCCTCCCTTAAAATGTTTATGCATGCTAAGTCTGCCGGCTTCCTAATTTTCTCTCTCACGAAAGATGCTCGTTGTAAACCTGCTACAAATTCTTACGCCCTACATGTAATTCTGACGCCGTGACTTCTCAATTCCTTTTCTCTCCCCTTCTTCCCAAAGAAAAGCATTCTGGGTAATCTCGTTCTCACAATCTTCTTTCTTCTTTCCATGAGGACCCCAGAAACGAGGCTGCTTGAAGGCATATTCTTTGAGGTGACGCAAGTCTATCAAACTTAATATATGGCCGTTTTGATTTCATGGTCAAGGGTGGAAGAATGTCATCATAATGGATTATAAGGGGCCCTCTCCTTATCAAATTTATTGTTACAAGCAATTTCAATTGAATGTCCATAGTAATACAAAATTGCACTGGTTTTGCCTGACGTCACTTTTTGATTGATCCAGAAAACTTCCACCACTCTATTATATTTCTTCTCTTTAACTAAAGTTATTAATGGCTCCTTGTGTTATTACCCTTTGTTCTGACTGGCCGTTGAGATTACTTCGGTTTCGCGTCCACAATGCTCAATCGAAATGTGCTCCTGTTGCTTTCAAGCAAACTATTTTTTTTTTTTTTTTCACTTTCGCTATAGGTTGGGAATTAAAAAATTTCAAAATTGTTGGCTAAACCAAGCCGATTCGACTTATTCTTCAAGCCCAAAGCAGGAAAACGAATGAAAACTCGAATACGTTAAAATAATTTAACTCATATCATTCATCTTTTTATCGCATGATAAAATTGTTTAAAAAGTTTTCTAAGACCTTTGAAGTGTGAAGTTTAGACATGGGGTCCTGACAGGGAATAATACTTGAAATTATTCCCATATGACGACTTGGATACTGAGGAGTGACGTATGTATTTTTTTGTGGGAGGGGAGGCTGCCTTGAAAGATAAGTCGTCAAGGATGCGTTCTCTTATTACGTCTTGATCAGGGACTACCTTTTGATTGAAGTTTACGGACCACCCATGATCCTTTAGGGGTCTTCCAGTTGTCAGCGGTCTTGTCCTAGCCTTGTTTTGCCGTGTATGTGTGTAGGGTATTGTATGTAAGGTATAGGACATAATATGTATTGAGGAAATAATATGTGCCCATACATGACGTACCTACCCACATTATAAACAAGCTCCGCTGTGGAACTGCATGCTCAGAACATGACCTCGTGCACAAGTTCGCTTTTTCGTCTATTTCAATCCATGCAGATGATCAGTGCCGAATTCCGCCATGGCATAAATATAGTGAGCTGTATGCAAAGTAGATACCTTCGCTCAGGTATGGGTGACTTCGCTGTAATCATTTAGATCACACATAGCTAACCGGTGTTGCAAAGGTATATGGTAGTAAGGCTTTAAACCTTTCTACCCAACATCGATATTCATATTCTCCATACTCTCCAATAAACATTTTCTTTGTTACTGACAAGGAGAATTCATTTAACAATCAAAGCTACCTCATTCCCTTTATTCTCAAGATCTTAATGAATTGTAAGTGGATGGGAGAGGAGATATGATTTACTTTTTGGAGGTTGATACCATGTTGGAGGAGTCATTCAGGTTTTTCAAGTTCTTGAAAAAGACCTGTGAACTCTCAAGACCTAGTGCCCTGTCTTGAAAACATTTTTATTAATTTTATGACTATATAAGTAGCATGTATTTCACCTGGATCTGCTGAAGCTACTTATTAAAAGCCCCCACGTGGGCATTGCTAGAGGGTTAGGGATTGGGGTTACAGCTGGTACAGTAAGGTGAGGTGCATAACTATGAAGACAAAACGTTTGATGTATCCAATTTCTGTAAATTACTAGTGCTTTATGTAGCCAGTGCCATTAGAAGTACTGCACATTCCTTACCCTTATTTTGATTTTTGGTTCTTTTTAAATCATAAACTTGATATACATTCCTTTTTGTGGCTATTGCCTCCTATAGGAGGTGAAGCCACATATGTTGTGGAGATGATGACATATGACGAGGTTTGATCTGCACATCAAGGAAACTTTAAAGAAAGTTTTGTCAGATAGAAGAGAGAGCATTTTACCATTTCAATCAGCAACTAATGGCCAAAAGAGCCACTAAATTTGCAAGGCAAGCAAGGTCCAAAATACAATACCTTGAGTTTAATGGAGTAATCCTATTTGATTGAATGATGGAACAGCACAATGGCAGAATATACAATAAGGCTGAATGCCTCGTTGGATAAACAAAAGCCTCACATTAATGGAATTGCAATGAAATAAGAAAATGATTGATTATTAACAAGCAAAATTAAAATAAGTATAGTTAAAACATTATCAGAGCCAAGAGGATAGACTGATAGAGGAACAGTGAAGTTCTTGAGATAGCTATCATTACTATTACTATTGTTATCATCATTTTTAGTATTATTATTATTGGTATGATTATCTTTTACCATTTAGTTATTGGTTGAGTGTCAATTGGTTGCTATATTCTTCGGTCATCTTCCTTTTATGGAATAGGGCACTCATAAATATGTGGGATGTGGCAGGTTTTCTGTTTTCCATGTGAGACAAATCTTCTGTTACACTACCTTCTGGCATAATTATACAACTTGTAATTCTTTTCAATGCTATAAAAATTGTGCCATGTCAGTAGCCACATGTGGTCTTAAAATTGCCTATTTTTAAGGTAGCTGTCACCTTGCTGCCAAGTTACCGGTTGTACATGACAATGGCTTTAGCTGTGAGTGGCCTGAAAAGCACAGATTTAAAATGGCAAAGTTTCTTAAAGTAATGGAATGGATCATCAAAGACAATCTATCAGGGTCTGTCAAAATCTTTCAACCAATGGAACCACCTTATGAAGTTGTTACACGTGTTCACAACTGTGACTATGTAGATGGTTTTATCTCAGGAAGCATTCCTCCAAAAGAAATGAGGAAAACTGGCTTTCACTGGTCAGAGGGCCTTGTGAGAAGATGTTTACTTGAAGTAGGTAGGAATTTGTGTTAAAATTAAGTATGTGCATGGATTAGGGTGCTGAAGTAACAAACAGAGTTTTGCAGGGGGAGACTTGCCCCTGATCCAGAGACCCTCACCAATAAGATAGTGAATACTATGTTTGACCAAAATGAAACTCCTTATATCCTCAGCACAGTTAGTATTACTCTTTCCCCCTTCCCACATTCCAGTAACAGATCTAGGGGGAGGGTCGAGGGATTTTTGACTTCTTGTCTGACACCAACAGTCTTGCAACAAAAGAATCACATGATACAAGTGTTTTAAATTAACTTCTCTTGCGAGGAGAGACAGCCCGCAGAATAGTTCAGTATTCTAATTTGAATTAATTTTGAATTTGCCATTGCCTTATATGTGTTTGGATAAGTTTGTCAAATACATATTTATTTAATATTAGTAAAAAAAAAATAATTTGACCTTTTTACTAAAAAAAAATAGGTGGCACCATGCTTGCTGCCAGGCTAGCAATGGAGTATGGACTAGCATGCAGTACTGCAGGTGGAACACACCATGCTTTTCCCAGCCATGGTTCAGGTTTCTGCATGTTGAATGATCTTGCTGTCGCTGCTAAGGACATGATTGATAGTCAAGTTGTAGATAAAATCCTCATTGTTGACCTGGATGTTCACCAGGTAATTTAGTAGAAGGTATTGACCCTCTACCTCTCATGAGTGACCAAGACATAATTTCTCCTTACACTACCTATACAATATTAAGCAGACAAGAGATGAGAGTGAAGAAAATATCAACAAGGGAATTAGTAGTTGATCCAATGCCAAATTCTCCAAACTAACATTATGAGAATTGTATGGCAGACAGTAAGGAGATTTACCAATAAGATCTTGGGAATGAAAGGGTTAACATGTGAATTCTCCTCACAGTTTCCATACTCAGTTATTTGCTGAGAAGCAGATAAGAGTTAACAAATAGATCAACTGGAGGTTTGTTTTCTGGATAGAACACCAAAATTATAGTAATAATTTACTCAGAACGTTATGTCAGTCAGAATGGAGAACTATGTATCAGCTCTTAGAAATGAAAAAGATAAAGACAGCTGTGTAGTAATTTCACAGAGCCTGGCATTCAGTAAATCAAAGTGAGGCCTGTATATATGTCAATTTAGGCTTGAAAGTTAATCCACTGAATGATGCTATCCTCTACAGGGAGACGGCACAGCCTTTATCTTCAAAGACAATGATTGCATATTTACATTTTCCATGCACTGCGAGAAAAACTTTCCACTCAGGAAACAACAAAGTGATTTAGATGTTGGTTTAGACTGTGGCTTGAATGATGAGCAGTATCTGAGGGTGGTAATGGATTATTTACCATGGCTCATGGACACTTTTAAACCTGATCTGATACTGTATGATGCTGGAGTGGACCCACATCAAGATGATGTGCTTGGTAAACTGTGTCTCACAGATCAAGGTACTGGAGGGGGACAGGGGAGGTTGAGGGTGGAAACCACAGGGGTCAGAGGTGGGTGAAGAACAAGAGATGTGCTCCAGAGAAAAGGGTGAGGAAGTGGTAACTTAAAAGGGTGTGAAAGGACCAAAAAAAAGTCAAGTTACGAACATTCTTTAATTATTTATCTGCACTGTGTCGCCATGAAAAGTGGGTGACATAGGTGTGGGAGACGCAAGAGAGTGGTGCAGGGAAGTTCTTACCCCCTCTCCGCCCTTACATCCTTACCCATGGTACAAAGGATCTGGTAATAAAGGGGCAAGGTCATGATTCGTTTATCTTACAAACTTAGAAATTTCTTAAATTATCAAAATGAAAATGGCCCGATAAAAAAAGATTCACTCACTAATGAATCATCACTCTACAGGGTTGTTGGATCGTGACGTAGCCGTAATAGAAATGGCTCTTAACAGAGGGATCCCATGTGCGACTGTCATTGGTGGAGGGTATGATGACGACATAGAAGTTCTTGGAAGGCGTCACTCAATCATTCATAGAGCAGCAGTCAAGGTGAGAGTTGACACATGATCCAAGCATGAGTTCATAGGGCAGTTTTCAATTGAATGTCGAAAAACAAAACCAAGGTAATCACAACAGACAGTCACATCAAAGGTTTGCATGGTTTGAATCTACTTTACGCGTGAAACGAATTGACTTCCGCTTGTATCAAAACGACTTGTATCGAAACGACTTTGTATCGAAACAACCGGATGCCGTTTGCATTATCGTTAGCCAACGAAAACTCAAAAGTAAAACCAAGCAAGTTGTCAAACGCGCGGGAAAACGCGGGCGACCCTGTCACCATTGGTTTCCATTTTGCGTGTGATTGGTTTAGAGAATGGCACGAGTCTCTTTTTTAGACCAATCAAAAACCAAAACTAAAAAGCAAAACCAAAGCAAAGCAAAACAAGAAGACTTAAAACTTCAGGCATCGACGGAATTTGGAACCGTACCTTCTAGACATTAGGAAGGTGCCAGAACCAACTGAGCGACGAAGCCTCATGTTGGGAGCGAGGCAATTTTTGCACCTTGACTTCATGTTGACTTCCTCACTGGTAGGTAGTCGAAACGTCAATCCTTAACAACAGAGCTTTCACTACCCTTAATTGCGCAGTGACATATTACGACTAGCTAATATGCCCTATTCTCGCCTAATAGCCCTCTTCCAATACAGTGCGACCAACTTTTACGCTTTACCCTCGCCTAATTATGCTCAAATGACACAGTACGACCAGCTTACACGCCATAATCTCGCCCAAGTTCAATCCACACCACTTTGATTTCAAGCTCTCTAACAGCCTTGACGTGTATATTGAATCTTATACCAGCTTTGCTTGGTTAAATTTTCTCTAAGGTTTGGAACGACAAGAAACCCTAAACAGAACGAAAAAGACCATGTCAAGTTGCTCTCAGTCGAAGAAAGCAATATCCAAATGGATTCCTTAACCTCCGGGTACAACTCAGCCAGGAATGGGGCCAGTAATTCACGAACAAACAAGATTTCAAGAATTACCTTTATTTTGGTAACTGAGAAAAGAGAAAAAATGACGAAAAAGGTTAACGTAAGACTTGACAACCATTGCTTTTGTGTATGAATTTTTCCACCCGAATCTGCAGACCACTTCCTTGGATTTTAACTTATGCCTCTGTTACGTCTCATGACTAGAGTAATGCCATCCACCATGTCTCTCATGTACTTCATACTTCATTTAATAATGTGTGTTTCGGTGGAATGCTGTTAGAGAGGACATTTTGGGATGCCTATCATACAGAAAATGATTTTCCGCTTATGGTCAATCATGGACATTTCCCGCCATCTTGGAAATGAACGATATAACTTTTTTGAAACATTGCTGGTAAATTTTTAATCGCTTTTTTAAGAAAAGAAAAAATATGTATATATATTCGGGGTCATGAGACCTATGCAAGAAGTCAGAGAAGGGCTCGGTTCTTGTGAGCGGGAAAAAATTGAAAGGGACATATTTAATCACGTACTCAGGACCTACCGTGTGACTGTAACTGAAGTGTAGGGACCTTACAAGTGCTTGGCCGTGAAAGGTCTGGGTACAAGACTAGTATATATTTTTTGGGGGGTTATTTCTTAGTTGATAGGCCTATACCCGTAAGGGCATTCAAGCCACTCAGTCAATCTACTAGCCCACAACTTCTTGGAAGGGGGAGGGGTGGTCAAAGATGAAATAAATTACTTCAGTTCATTGGATCCAATACAAAATGTTACATTTTCTCCACCGAAAGTCCCCCAAATTCAAGCAATAGGCACTGTTAAATAGTTTGATGGCCTTTTCAACAACTAAGCTTTCAGATAAATCATGGCTTTCTTAGGTAAAAAATGGCAAAAAATTTTTTTGGAATTTACTTGGGAATTTTATGTCCCAGCTCCACGTTGTGTCAGATAGAACATCACAAGAAAATGTAACAGCAAAGAAAAACACTTTCTCTTGCCCTCAAAGTTGTATTTATAAAGGTAATAAGACCGAGTGGAGTCCAATTCGGTCTGTAATCATACGAGTGATTAACAAAATCGGACGACCGCGAAGCCGTCCGATCTGTTCATTACTTGAGCAATAGTGAAAATAAGGCCTGTACCAGTAGAGCACTGCACCCGTATCGCAGAGGTCGTGGGTTCAAATCCCCTACCGGCCTGAATTTTTTTAGGCCTTAATTTTACTACTGCTCAAGCAATGTTCATTACTGCGAAGATCGCTTTCATATTCACGTCTTTATCCGTAGTTCACCTATATGATCTTCATACATTTACAGTCATTTATTCATCACTTCACGGATTTATAAATGAAATAATGAAATGGTGGGCGTGGCATAGTAATCACTATTATCCTGTGAATGTTATGGGGAAATCACATCAAAAAGTTCTGGGGACGGTCTCGGAAAGTAACCGAAAATATTTTCCCAAAACTTTAGGATTTCCTCTCTTTGAATAAGGCCTTGTAGCTGAGAGAATTTTAAACACTTAACTCTAGCCGTCTTTTACGGAGAGAGCTCTAAATTAAGTTCCATTGGTTAAATTATGTTAAATCGAGGATTTTCCCAGACAGTTCCTAAAACTGTTTGACGGGTTTTTGAGCGCTCTGAAGATAACCGGTCGGAGAATATTATAGGAAAAACACTGTTTCCAGCCACCTAAAGCTAATGAGAGCTGGTAACACTATTGCATAACATTCAGAGTCAGTAGAATTAGTATCGTAAAGAGGTCCAATAGTTGCTAAAATATGTTGACGGATTGGTAACATCTACCGTGACATTACTTGAAATCATTTTAAGTTTGAACAAATCCCCATAAACTTCTTTGAAATTTTTGGTTTGTGATAACTTTTAAGTAGGAAGCAATAATAGAAATAACGAAGAACACTAAACAGATGAACTGAAAATCCTTCTCTCGAGCTGAATATAATTTAAGTATTAACAATGTTTCAGTGCTATCTTGTGCAATTTACGACCTCAACTCAAGCTTTTTCTACTATCTCTTTTTCAACCACATCAAAATGAGGAGGTCTCTAAAATAATAAGGACCCCTTCCCCCTTCTCCTAGGAGAGTAAGAACCCGGAGGCCCAGTGAAACATTAGGCCAAACCGAGCTTTCCTCTCTGACCGAAAAACCAATAGCATTTACCTCGCTGAGAACATATGGGTTCATAGCTCAGCGGCTGGCAGGATGTGTGTGGGAAGCATGGTTTCGAGTCCCATCGAAGCGTAAATCTCTTAAGACTTCTTATAGCAGTAGCTTTCGACCTTACTCAAACTTCAAAATCATCAATTAGGCTTGCACATCTAAGCATCGTACAAGATTATTTCAATATAAGGGACTGATGAACTTAATGTATCATAAATCGGTTCTCAGTTTCACCCTACATATTAAAGCAGAAGGCGTATTTGTCCTCGCGTGCTGCTTTCTGAGCTAGCACTTTACGTGAGGTAAAATTCGTCTTATATACATTTAACAACCACTCGTTTCTTTACGAATCGAAGCAGAAGTGGGGAAAATTCCTTATGATCAAGAAACAAAAGATAATACTATTGATTGATGACTTCCATTTTACAATAAAACATTACAGTTACCTGCGACAACGGAGAAGAATAATAAGTGTCCCATATTGGTTACCATCTTGTCGTCATGTCTTGTGACGCAGAGGCTGAACAAGCTGACTCCCTATTGAGTACTGTAGCTTTTTGCGGAGGCCATCATCGAAACGACGGTATCCTTGCCTAAATTTTTGGTTAAAATCGAGATGGGAGGCATGAACAGGCGTAGAACTTTCAAAAATGACCAGCGCTTTCTTTAGCGTGTGCAGGTGAGAGAAAATCATGAAAAACAAGTTCAAAATTTGCAATTCAGATCGGAAAGAAGTCTCTCTTTGACCTTTCGGGATCGCGTGAAAACCAACCAGGGAGAAATTTTCTTTATCAATAAAACAGGTCAAAATATTTTTATTTTCCTGAAGTGATCACACTTAAGAATGGTTGTAAGATTTTAAACCAAAGCTTTCTTAACTGATATCAAAAAACGACTCCTCGGTAGTTTCTCAATCTTGTTCCCGGTCTAAGAAGACAAATAAAGAATTGGATTCGAGCTTACCTAGTTCAAACACTGTAAGAACTGTGTAGTTTGCAAAAGATAGCTAGCTTATCGTCTTCTTAAGTTTGTATGCCCTTCTCCTTGCTAGTGTTACTCATTTGAGAGTATCTTTGAGGTAGACTAGGAATTTTGCCCTGTGTACATATTTCTTTGTCACTTGAACTTTCGTTTCAGGCCGAAAGTTCACTAAAAAGGCGTCTCCAGCGTTAAAAGAAAGGATCAGAATCAATGAACATGTTGCATTTTGCTTTAGCTCAATGATAGACCATCGGGGCGCCGAATCCGAAGTACCAATTGCGACCCTTCTACAAAATTCAAACTTATCGATGGATAGATAAAGCAATATGTACTTGGACTATAGAATCGTACTTTTTAAAGTTTATTATTCGATTCCATGAATTTCTTTTTGAATAAACCAAGCAGTGTTTGAAATGAAATAAACTATATTTAGCGCCTAACTAATATCTGGGAGACACAGGTTCGAATCCCGTCAAAGTCTGAATTTTTCAGGCTTCTTTGCTGCAATTTCTTCAACCCTATGAAACCAAGGAGGTAATCACTGGCATGTAATTTTCCTAACAATATTAGCCCTGAATCAAAGAATAAAGGAAATGATAACCAAAACGAATTCCCCTCGTTAGCACCTTAGGAATGTATTGATGTTGAGTACAGGGTGAATTGCAGCTCACCCTTTAATCTGAATGCAGTTTTTTATTTCACTCCCAGGTCACCGACATTATGGGCCGGTTATTTATTCGAGGTTTAACTCAAACCACGGTTTTTGCACAATCAGTGGGCCTCAGACTTTGTCTATAAGAGGGTTGATTTAATTAAATAAACAGAGATTATTCAATGAAAAGTGCGCACGAACGAGTTGTGATACATTGCAACGAATGAATAAAAATCGTTCAAGCACTTTCCATAGTATGATGTTTTTATTTCATCCATACAGATATTTTTTCCTATTAACCGACACATTTCAAAGATTGGAAGCCATTTTGTTGCCCTATACTGCGAAGTTCTATCGTTCGTGTCTCAAATTGGACGAACAATGTATTTTCACTCGTTCGTTCAGTATGCATGAAATAAATGTTAGCTCTCGGCCTTCTTGACGCTGCTAACAATAATAAATGTTCACATGAAAGGTTCAGCTAAATTGAGGATTGTTAAGGACAGCAAAACTTTGTTTAAATAATCAGATCATATATTTGAGACGACTTTTTTATGAGTGAAATTTATTCAACAGGCGTTCTAGTGAGTATTAGGCAGCAGTGACTGTCATAATCTAAGTAAAAATTGTTTGAAGCGCATTTGTCAAATTTCAAATTACAATTGCATTGCTGGATAAACACGCGGCTCATTGAGACTTTGAAACATAATTAAGTATTCTTAGCTTCTAGAAACTTTTAGTCTACCCTAGCCACCCACAAAATCCTAACGAAAAGAATGTTTATTGCTGTTGTTGTCGTTTTTTTTTTCGTGTTGGGATAGCTGATTTGTCTGAATAACTTAAAATTTATCCGCGAAGTTTTAAGCAACGATTGATAACAATAAACCAATAGAGTAATGTAAGTGAGCCGAATTAATTTCACGACCATCTAAATTGTCCACACTTCCGCGAACTTTATACTAATTTCTTATCATTAGTCAGAACTGGCCTGCCAGATCCGGCGGTCAATTTACAATAATACCTATACTTCCTAGAACTGCTAAGCTAGTTGAGTCACTCCGTCAATGTTACGTTTTATTCTGAACGAATTTTGATTTATAAAAAAGATTGACTATCGAAGAGAAAGAAAGTTCGTGTTTAAATTGATGCATCTGACTGGAGGCAGCGACAAATGAAAACAAGTACCCTTAACTCTTAGTCGTGAGTAGAGGAGCGCATTTCAATAGTCCATTTCACAGTTGTGTGCTTGGTTGCCAAGCCTTTGAACAGGAGTGAGTTGTTATGATACACACGTTGCTGCTTTTCAAATGCAAATTACTCTGTTATCATGCGAACTTGATACTGGTGTCTAGCACAACGAGGTCACCTTCAGCCTCACTCCAAAGGAAAGGCTTTGCAACTAAGTACACAACTGTAAAATGGCCTATTGAGTGTCCTAAAACCGAAAAAAAGGAAACAAAACTACCAATCACAACAAAGGAAAATATCATGAGCAGTCAATGAGACTCAAAGTAGCGCAAACAGGTTGAAGCGCGGGAAAACGCGGTTGACTATAACTTGCGATTGGTTCTAGTTTTGAATCTGATTGGTTGAGAAAGTGGAGCGAGATTTCTGCGCCAAACACACAGCGAAGTAAAGCAAAACCAAAGCAATTGAAAATTTCTCTTAGAGTTAACGTTCTAAAAAACCAAAAGGTACTCTCTCGCATTAATATTAACTAAGATAGCTACATCTGAGAAGCAAAAATCCAAAAAGCATATACACCGCAAATTCTCTGCCATGAGAACGTAAGGAACAAGCCTTCTTCGTTACATTCACGCACAAGTTAGAGAACACACAATTCAGTATGTTATCTCTCAGCACCGTTTGAACAGCACATTTGTAGAGCTTACTTTCCACGCAACAATTTTTGCTAGTAAAGAGAGTTGCTCCAGTAGCAACAGCTTCGTGTAACTAGCGATACACTTTCCGAACTGTTATTCCACATCTCTCTACCGTACTCTTGGCTGTAGATTCTGTCCTCCTAGCTTGCAGAAATCTCTGGTGAAGGGAATGCAGTTCAAGTACTCACAGCCATTGCAACCGGAATCCTGACTGATGTAAAACACCAAAAATCCTACCACGAACAACGTAATGACCAATACTAAACTCACGATTATCTGGATCCGCTTTCGCCTTCGGTCAAACTGGCCGAACGACACATACGGAAGGAAAATAAAAGCCAGCAGAAGCCCAAACAAGAAACCAATCATGTGGGCAAAGTTGTCGACGTAAGGCAGTAGGCCTATTATTAAGAGAAGCAAAACTAGTCCACACAGTTTAAAGAGAGCTGTGAAAGGCCGCGCTATGATCTGCCAGCTCTGTAAAAGCTCAACAAACAGACAGGCGATGATTCCAAAGATGGAGCCTGATGGGCCAACCTGCAGATGAAATAAAAAATAATTTGAAGAATAACTGGATATGAACATGAACAGAAAAAGAAACTTGCAGGGAAAGATGAATAAAGAGGTCAGCGGAATGATTAAAACGCAGACAGATTGGTAGACGGACTACGGAAAAAAGGAAGGACGGAATGGTTTCACTCGTATTTATTTCTTTTAAGTACTGGGGAAATACTATTAGGAAACAACACAGACAGATAATCAAACGGACAATAGGCAGACAGGTAACTCTTAACAGTGACTGTAAATATTCGCGAGTGTTAACGCTGCGTTTCATTTTCCAGCTCGTTCGCTAGACCCGTCTGATCGAGTAAGAGCCTGCAGCGGTTTACAATTGAAATTGAAAAAAAATTACCCGTAAAGTGCTGATAAAAAACACACCAACAACAAAAGTCAATTACCTCAGCTTGATACGGTAAAAGAATTGCACTGTATAAATATCCACCAATACCGCTAAAGATATAAATGATTGACAAGCGGAGCCAGCCTGCCATTTTTTCCATATCGCGCATTATAGTGATGTGAAAGACTAGGGTGCACGCAAGATGGATTACCCTGCAACAAATGATCGAGTTCATTGCGATTATTAATAAATTCATTTGCAGAAATTACGGAGCTTAGGGTTAGGGGTTACTGTTAACAATATCTGGTCAAAATTTTCTCTTTAGTTAGAGGAAGCAGTTATTTCTAATTAGCCAGAAAAAGAAAATGATAAATTAATTGAAAAAACTTAAAAAACAAGAGCGAGATACGGCTGAAAAAATGTTTTTATGGGAACTTGCACTGAAGAGTGCTGGCCTCCAACAGAGTGATGACGTTTAACGCGGGCTTTCGTCGCATTTTGTTAACATCGCGTCTTGCATTGCACAACAAAAGGGAATTTCTCGCACATTTCGCAAAACGCCGAGAAATAAGAGTCTTCACGCAAGATGGATCACTCTTCCTCCGATGGATCACCCCACGCGAATTTCAAAGGAGTTCTTCGTCATGAGACTTGCCAGGTTGATGGGCGGCAAAACCGGATTGACACGCACTTAAACGAGGTGCGAAAACTGTGATTATCTTTAGAGGCCAAAAACTCGAGGTTTGGAGGGGGGGGGAAGGGCAGAGTAATGTGGCAAATAAGGGTGGGAGGCTGAAGATGGATGAGAAATGAAGCTAGTGGCTACGAGATGGCTTCGATGATCAATCAGAATGACTCACTATACGTCTCCCGGAAAAATTTACAATCCAGAAGATTCTACACCCAGTTGTATAAATGGGTACCAGTGAACTGCCAGTGAAGGCTGAAGAAACGCTGAGGAAGGGGGGGGGGGAAGGGAGGAGGGGAGGGAGGGAGGGAGGAGGAGAAAGTAAACCGCAGTGGAATGGCAACCCATTAGGTATACTCCGAGTCGTTGCATGCTAAGCTCCGGCTAATGCTTCAGTAGAGGCAGGGTTACCTGTGAGAGAAGACGTTCCCACTATAGAGGCGCTCGATAAGAGAGGTTTCATAAGATAATAACAGAGAACCGTTACATTTAATGTGATTAGCTTACCCTGCATGAGCAAATATTGCCATCCATAGGCGATACACTTGGTCAGGTGTTTCCTTCCGATGGAAATTCAACATTCCACAAGTGTCCCTCAAACAGTCCACCTGAAAAAAAAAACTTGTTATGATAAAGTGCAAGGACAAATGTCTACAACTTTTAACACATTAATAACTCAGTTGCCCGGAAAACTGCGAATAATAATAGTTTACAGAGCTCGTGGATCTCACTTTCTCATTTTGAATCTTGTCTCAATAATACACCTACACTGCTTTGGTTTTGTTTCACCACGCTCTGTAACGAATAGCAGGTTCAGTTGCAAAACTAAATTCCTTGGAAAATTTGTAACTCATGATCTCTCGCACTTCAGGCCGATGAATTGAAATCACTTCGAGTTCTAATTAGGATATTTCTTTCAGACTGGCCGTTGTCGATACTTTTACTCTGATGCTAGAGTCATCCATCGAAAGCGCTCCACAGGATCGATTTTCGTGCCTACGTCTATGCTGAATGGGCTTTAGGTTCGCGTCAAGTAACACGAAAATTCAGTTCTGTAAAAACTCGGACAATATACTCTTGAGTAACGAGGCCTATTCCTCCATACGTTTGTGTTTACCAGATTCTTTTTCAAGCACGCCTTTACCATCAGTTACCTGGGAACAAAGCGTAAGATTCTCGTGAAATCTGCCCCGGAAAAAGTCACACTCGTCCCGGCTGACAATTCGACAGATGGCTTCGTTGCCCATACAACAAGGGCGACCATGGATTTCACACGTCATATGTGGGTATTCGCCGGGTGACAGATTAGACTTTTCTTTCTTACAAACCTGTTGTAGAATAAATAGTCGCTTTATGGAAGACTATTGGTTTAACACTAAAACTAAAAGAAAGAAACCGGCTCACGAGCCAGATGGAACATCATGCCCAGGCGCACCCCAGGTTGAGATGCAAGTCTGCCTCAGGTAACCCACCTTTCCCCTCCGCCGTTTAAAAAACGAGGGGACAAAACTTGTAAGGGACAAAATTTGCTTGTGTGGATGACTTGACAAGGACTCTTACAAGGGAAGTTGAGAAAGGTTTAAGAAAAATTAAAATTCCAACAAGCAAAACTTGAAAATTTGTAACATTTTAAAATTTGCAGCCATGAAAATTTCTAGTTGAAATACACAAGTTAATACATAGGGCCAGTACTTACGGGCCAATTGGTGATATCTTTATCCCATTCATCAGGAACAACGGACGGAGGATCTAGACAAGTGCTGTAAAACAATAACAAGCCAAACAATAAACAGAAAACTCTTTATCGACACTTGGCCCTATCGACATGTTCTCATTTACTTGGAGACAACCCTTCCTCTGAACTTTACGGAGTGTTCATAATGAGTTGTGAGTTCTAACAGCTACCCCCCCCCCCCCCCCTCACCAGTCTCTCCGCTGACCTGAAACAGACTGGCTACGAGTAGGCTCGTGTAGGCGAGCCAAAGTGTTTAAATGAGAAAAAAGTTGTCCCGCCTGACAAGGTTACCCTACCTGCCAAGGCGAGACAACTGGGCTGGGCCCTTACTCCCGCAGTAGTTACACGTACAAAATAATTTTAGGCTTCAGATACTCACTCCGGGTCTTGTCCACAAACAACTCTTGTATTGTTATTGGATTTGGAATACTTGTAAAAATAAGCAAAGGTTCTCTGAGGGAAAAAGTCAAACGAAAGAGAAATATTTAAGAGGAGCAAAAGAGACCATTACACATGCACTACAAGAGTTCCAGTATCCACCCCTGAAGGAGGAACGTAAATGGATACTGGCAAACTTAAATAGGAACCTAACGAAAGGCTTTCAGGGAATGTGTGATAGATTGCCATCCAATTCAGGGATGGTGGCAGTTTGAAAAATAAATTTCATGTTGCTGTTTGTTTGTTCAGTAATATATCACAAATGACATCAAAATGTGGTGTGTACAAAAACATGGCACACAACACACAGCAGTGAGTATCACTGATGTCCTCACCACATTTTGACATCTACCGTGATTTATTACTGTACAGAAACACAGCAACATGGAATCTATTTCTTTTATATCATAGAAGAGCAAAATGTTGCTAATAGTAACATCATCATAGATCACAAGTAAGAACCAATCTAAATGTATAAACAATTCAGCTTTTCACATAAAGTGCTAGTTAATTCATACTACAGAAACAAGAGAAGCTCCAGTAGCTATGTTTGCAAGTTGGTCTTTCATGCAGACTTTAACCCCTTAACTACCATGGGTGACCAAGACAGAATTTCTCCCTAAAATATCAATAAAATATCAACCAGATTAGTGATGAGAACAAAAAAAATATCAATTTGGGGATAATTAGTTGATTCAATATTAAATTCTCTGAACTAACATTATAAGAATTGTATGGTTGATGGTAGGGAGAACTACAAATTTGATCTAGGAGTTGAAGGGTTAAGGGAGACATAACTTACCGAACACTCTTTCTGCGTTGTTGTTATACAACCAGAATCATCAGATTTCACACAACAACCAGCCTCACTCTCATTTCTTTTCTCCTCTGACAACTTTTCTTGCAGCCTCTTATCCCATCGCATACATGGTGCAAACTTTGCTCCCATTTTGATCAAACCTGCCTGTTAAACAACATTTAATGACAACTATTTACAAGGCAAAATCTTTGCAGTACTGTATAAAATACAATAAATGAAGAAAAAAAAACATTCATGAAGAATTTACTGATTAGTAGTGTGAATTTTTTTTGCACTAGTTTATTTTTATCTATCTTAGCATCCAAAGAAACAATAAAGAGGATGAAAAACATAGAAAGAAAAAATGGAGAATGGAATGACAGAACTAAAAACCAAGCCTTAAGTAGACTGTATGTACAAAGTATTGTAAATAAATAATCTTCTAATGCCATTTATGAACTTTTTGCATGTCATATATGAATTTCGTAGTGGGCCTCCTTCACCACTGAGTGTCTGTAGCTCAGTGGAGAGCATCTGAAGGTCTGGGGTTCAATTCCTCATGAGGACTCAGAATCTTTTTTTTTGTCCCATGCTTGTGATAAGATGAAAAACCTCTCTCTATAGTTCTTTACCGAGCTAAAACATAATTACTTTTCACTGCCACAGCTGCAGTTGTTTGGTTGCATCACCTCACCCTTTGACCCTTACAAGTGATTAACATCTACTTTCTCATCACAATATCACCCCAGAAGTCACAAGAATAAGGGAAATGATCACCAACTATTGAGGCTCAAGATTTTTCAACAAATTCTCCTTGTCAGCACCTTCGGAAATGTATATAGAACAGTATGGAGAATATGTACACTAATGTAAGGGTGTAAAGAGTTAACAAACTTTCCCTAACCAGAGTAGAGAGAGCTCAAAGCTGGAAATGAGGCAAAAGCGAAATTTAAAAAGAAGGGGGAAACGTTCAAAATTTTTTATTTCTACTTGACAAAACTATAAAAAAAATAGAAGCTACTTATAGAAAGATGAGATCTCATAATGACTCAGATAATATTTATACCTGATCAGGACCAATCCAGAAGTTGTCAGGAATAATTCTTGCCACATATTCTGGTACAAGCGTTCCCATCTGACTTCTGTCAATCTGTGATAAATATTCAACATCTTACCAATTACACAGGCACTGAAGGAGGATGATTTTTAAAATAATACATGATTCATTACTCTGTTCTGAGTGCATTTGGGAACATATTGGTGGTATTGAGCCAGTTCTAGCAGAAAATATTGATCATAACCATCTGTTATTCCTGCATACCATATTTAGTGGTTCAAACTTTTTTCAGGTTGTGGAAGTTTTGAGACCAGTTTGATATTTAATTTTCCTTTTTCTCACAATCCTTACCAAACTAAGCATGAAGACAACTAAACAAGTGAAAACCAAGAGAAATTTATCACCACAAAATATTCATCTATCAAAACTGTTCCATGAAAAAACACATTTTTAAACAAACTGACCAGTCTTTTTTCTTCTGTCTCTGTAAATCCAATGGGAGCAAATCCATAAACTGATAACCCAACAATAAGTACAATCACTTGTACAAATGAGATCCAATAGGTGAAATAAGGCCTGGAGGAGATAAAATTACAACGTATGGTTGAAATGCCAGCTGAGGTTATAGATATGCTGTCTAGAGCACTGAGAAGGAGCCTTCACTAAGCCTGCTTCTACCTAAAGCAATGATATTATCTTTATTTAAACACAAATCAGCTGGCTAAAGTGCATTCTCATCTGGGTGTATGATAGCTCTTACCCACAATGATTTCACTTACTGAAAATTTGTCTACAAGCCTAATTTGCACTAAAACTTTCATGAATCTGTGCCTCTTTCTTGTTGTTTTATGAGAGCCTATTTTGAGCAGTGTTAGGAATGGTGTGGGGCAGTCGATCTTGTTTAAGAAAATTTGGTTTATGAGCTATTTGAAGTCAAAATCTTCCAATATTCAGATTCCTCTAAACTTAAAATGAAAAATAAATACAATCAACCATAGTTAAATGCTACTAAGGATCACCAGCTTTTGGGGAGTGGGGATGGGGGTTGGGTAATTCTGAACAGCAAACTAATTATTACACACCAAGCACAGTCAGCAGAATTAAATTTGGAAGCTGAACAAAAAAGACCAGAGAAGTTTCAAATTTGTGTTGTAAGCATGGTGTGTACAAAGGCAATGAAGATTACTGAGTTACCAGTTACCATTTCAATTCTGTCATGAATTTGTTCCTATAAATGCAACATTTCCTACCTGTGATCTGACAGGTTTTCAATCTGCTTTTTAACAGTGCTTGTCAAACGTTTACGCTTTATTGTTCTGTTTAACCATCTACCAACCATTCCCTTCCCATATTGACGACGGTTAGCATTTGTAGCACGGGGTCGCTGTGAAATCCTTTGTCCTCGAGTGCTGCGAACTGGTGGCCTTTGGAGAACAAAAGTCAATCTTAAGAATTGAGCCACAATTGAACTGAAAGCTCATAAGCATTTATTTTGTAATCATTGACCTCAAAAAACTCACATAGGAGGCCCTTCAACTTCATCTTTAGCTTCTTTTGCTGGAACAGCAGGCCTCTCTTCCTCTTGAATTTCTGGTAAAAATCCTGGTCTTTCAATTCTTCGTCTTGGCCTCTCCGACGAAAAGTCAAAGAACACTTCGTCATCAATGGAGGGGCGATCAAATCTCTAGGATTAATTATGCAAACTATTAATTCTAATAATGGCATTTGTTATAAAAACCCTTGGTCATCATTTATGTGCAACAAACATAAACCTTTAATTCCCAGAGTTGATGAACATGCAACTTCTCCTAACAATATTATTAGACTGAATGCTATTCAGCAAATGCAATGAGAATGGCAAAATGATTCAGACTGTTATACTGATATTTCTCTTCCCAACATCCATACAATATCAAGCAGACAAGTGACAAGAAAAAAGAGAAATACCAATTAGGGATTTACTGATTCACAACAAATTTCTCCAGACTAACACAATAAGAATTGTATGGCAGACAGTAAGGAGAACTACTATTGAGATCTGAGAGTTAAAGAGTTGATGTAAAAGGTTAATGTGGACTACAGTCTGGGGCAGCACTCATTCAAGGTAAGAAAATGTAAATAAATAACAAAGAAAAATAAAGAACACTACTCTATCACTTAATGAAAATGAAAAGTGTATTGTATATGATATGGGATAGGGCTGTGCAAAGTTTCAGGAGAAAGGCGATGAGTGGTATATCTGGTTTTAGTAAGTCTTAATCAAGCCCTAATAATCCTTGGTCCTAAGTCAACCCTCTTTCTGAAAACTCTAGGAATCAAAAAGTCCCTCTGGGGTTAGAGGCTCATTAAAATATCTTACAGTACGGTCTAGCTCACCAGGGCTCAGTGGAAGAGTATTTGAGTGCCAAATCTGAAGGCATGCGGCCCAATTTTTCATAGGGACTCAGAATTCACACTTGTGATGTGACAAAAAAATCTCACTTTATCTTACAGTATCCTAAAGGGATACCCCATCCTCTGGGGATTATTACATATTCATCAAGTTATCTTCTTTTGGAACCGAGCAATGTAAAAAATTTTCTTCAGAGAGTATAGACTCACAGTAACAGGAACTGCACTGTCAACTTCATCCATTTCTGACTGCGACATGACAGCTGGTGAGAAGCTCCGCCCAGCCTCAAGCAATGTGCTGACTGGTTGAGATTTTCGTCTGGGGGATTTAAAGCTCTGTAAAGAATAAATAAATCCTACATCAATAATCTTTAGCTGATGGAATGGGGAGAAATCCAGTCCAAAGAACTAAAAACTGCTTAAGTGTTATTCAACAAACTGACATGCTCAAATGACAATTAGCCAATGCACTTCTGTCATGTTGGCCTACAAAAATACATAGCGATAAAACAGTCAGTTGCTCACTGCATAGTCAGCTTGTGTTGGCCAAACTTATCATTGGCTGAGGCGATACTTGGATCTCATTAGTTATCACTCAATTCCTAAAAGCACAAACCAAGACTACACAGCTTCAAGTTTGGTTTTAAGGAGGATTAATTCAAGAACACACCATTGTTTAACTCTTTAACTCCCATAAGTGACCAAGACACAATTTCTCCTTACAATATCAATGCAATGCAAACAAACAAGTAATGAGAATAAAGACAAATATTAATTAGGGGATTGTTAGTTGATCCTATTCCTAATTCTCCTAACTAACATCACAAGAACTGTATGGTAGACAGTAAGGAGAATTGCTGATGAGATCTTAGGAGTTAAATGGTTAGGAAAAATTTTGGAATGGATTCTCCTATGAATTTGAAGATATCACACTAGATAACAGCAAGGTGAATGACCCATGCAATATTATTTTTTTAGAGCCAAAATGTCTTCAACTTCAGCTAATAAACCAACCCTTGGTCTTAAAACTCTCTCTAATGTTGTTATACTTCTCAGTTCTATTCCTTCCAATCATAAGCTGTTAGCATATCATACATTTACTAACACCTTGCTATATATACAATAACAACTGCACTTAACTTAATTGTTGTTCACTCATTTGTTTTGATCTATTTGACAAATTGCCATTCTTTGTGTTTTCATATGGATTTGTTTTACATTTTTTTCAAGTACAGTATATCTAATGATGACTTCTGCTCAGATTGTCAAAATGTTAGTCACCACTATTGACAACATTCCTCCTGAGGACTACACTTACACCCATAATGAGAATACACACTAAAATATTAGCCCTGGGTTCAAACCATAGATGGTGGTATATCTTAACATAATTTGAACAGAATTTCTTTACTTGAAAGAATGCCTACATGTTAACAGAAAGTTGTGTCATGTTGTAAATTTTTAGTGTTTAAATATCCTTGAATAAGCTCATAGATGCACAATGGATCAAAAGTGTTTATCAAGTCATATCTGATATACATCATGTTTGCATCAACAACATTGTTATTTTACCGGAAAAGATGTTGAAATGATAAGGAGTATTTGCACTCCTTTTTATTCTTATACTCTGCTCTAATCATCTAATCTAATCTATTTATCAAATGTTCGAAAGTTCACAATGAAACCAAAGCAAGGAAGCATTAAAAAAAAGAAGTTTACCCCAGTATCCTCTTTCATTTTCTTCATCCTCTTCCACGCCATTGTTGCCACTGACTCACGTCGGCTCAATGTTCGCACAAGATCAGGATCAGGTTGAGGTGCACTCTGATAGCTACTGATGCTTCCTGTACCACTGGGCACTTTGAGTGACCGACGAGGAACAGCATCCACAGCATCCCCTGATTCCTCATTGAGAGCACCATACCGTTTATGGTAGTGCCGCATTTTTCTCTGAGTCCACTTCCTTCGTAGTTGGTCATGTTGTTCGTCACAATCTCCCAGGCCAAAAAAGTCCTCAGTACCTTTAATGATTTTTCTGTGGAAGGTAGAAACAGAATAGAATGGTTAGGTTGCCACAACCTGCTTCTTTACTCTTTGTATCTTTATTTCAAAATGGGCCTGTTTAGTTACCTAGTTACCTAGGGCCTGTTTAGTTACCTAGACTTTTGAGAAATGGACCTCAGGACTAACAGGTGAAGGGTAGGAGGGGTACTAGGGTACACTGCATAATTTGGCTCAAGAGGTATGGGCTGAACATCTTGAAATAGCCTGGACAGGTATGGTTTTCAAGGTCTTGAATCCTAACCTGAGTATGTCAATCAACCTACTCAGTTTCTTGAACAGGGTGTCTCTCCAGACCCATAAACTTGAACAGGGAGTGAATCTTGGTCATTCATGGTCTTTATATTATATACATATACTATACCAACAATTTCTTTAATTTTATATTTAAATATTTTGTATAATTAAGCAGAAAGTGACTCCCATTATTTCACTATGCAACAATATATAAAAATATTTTTCCTTGAACAGGATAGGAAAATTATAGCTTATGTCTTAAACAGAGTCACACAGGGCACATCCAGTCCAAACTTTCATTTTCTGTACCCTAACTCCTCTTCTTTACCATGCTTTAGTACAGGGGGTAACCAGGGAGGGGAAGGGAGGGAGGGTCCTGATCCTGTTTTATGCTTGTCATGTATACCAAGAACAGCATTTTACATGTTATGAATATGAAAGAGAAAACTGACTTCAAATCTATATTCTTGTGCACCAAGTCTAAGAGAAATCTTAACGTTTTCATGAGAGGACAGAATAAATTAAGCGGTCACATATAATTCAGGACACAAATCACGCCTTGCACTGGTTCATAAATTCCTGAAACTTGCTTGCCATTCTGTAAAATTCTCTCATCATGTATTATTTTTGGCCTGAATCATGAGTCACGTATGAAAACCTTCTTACGTTTTCTAGCAAAGAAAACTAGACACAAGCCTCAATACAAAGCAATCTGGAGTGTTAATATTTCCCAAGAACACAACACAAGGCCAGAAAATAAATGTTTCAATTTAGAAATCAGCAAGTTAGGCTGTGGAAAATCAGCCAAGTTCATACGCAACACCTGCCAAGCTCAACAGATATTCCTGCTAGCTGAGCATATCAATATTTACTGCTAATGACTTCCACTGTTAATTTGCATTATATCAATTTTAAAATCAATTTCATTGAATAAAGCATTTTATATTATGAGGGAAATGATGTAATTAACTAATACAGCAGAAATAAACAGAGAAGAATGAAAGAAACATCATAAGAAAGTTCTCAGATGCTGTAAAATAACTCTAAAGCCTTAACACATGCTCCAAAGAAGATCAACATCTCATCATCACTTAATGCATAGCTGAACATGTTATACAAATAGTACTGGCTGTAATCGTAGAACAATTACTGCAGCAATTAGCCCGAGTTCACGGAAAAAATGTCATTTGATAATTAGCTACTATTTAGCACCCCCTGAGACCCGATGAAGAATGCTCTTATCACGTACTCTCCTCGCATAATAAAAAAAAAACAAAACACTAGGAGCAGTTTAAAAAAACATTTTACTGATTGAAATCTGAACCTCAAATCTTTGCTAAAAGCAAAATCCTACCTCTTTCCCCGCTTGAGAGTGTTAGATATACTCGCTATACTTGGCCTGGCTGACATTCTAGGAATGCTTATACTATCTAAACTGGGTCTTGCAGACGCTGGCTCTTGGAAATACTGAATAAATTCTGGATAATATTCTTCTTTATCCAAATCATTGAAGTTTACGTGCTGTTGGGTGTAAAAGACACCCGAACTAATCGAACCACGAGAGCCGCCAGAGGAAGCCATTTCACCAAGTAAATACACTGACTTGGAGCTTATAAATTTCGCTGTGTTCAATATTCCCACAGATATTAGTTTTCTCGAGCTTAAATCAATGTATGCGTTGATATTGGATGGCAAAAGTATACACAGGCCGAAAACATGACAGCGCGAACAAAAACAAAGATGATGACAAAATTACATTGAAAATAATAGTTTAAGTTATAAACAAATCTAACATCTTGTTCGTTAATGTGAATACATCTTGTTCGTTAATGTGAATACAACTTTTCGTTTGATAAATAATAACGATGTTTTCGGCACAAAATCATGTAACCGGAAATGAGAAAGAGCCTAAATATAAGAACAGTGTTCCATATATGTTAATGCATGCTATATCTCAGTTCCTCGAACAATACGAAGAAAATTCAGCAGATACAAATAAAAATATCAGCAGTGAATTTCATACGCACTTTTTGAGTGTCTTTACCCGGGTCAGCTTGCTAGGATTCGTCTCACTCTCTGCTACAGCCGGGAGGAAAAGTTCGGATTCCGCTGGACTTGGTAATGCACTGCCGTCTTCCGTTTTGCTAGTCTGTCTGGTAACACATCGAGTCAACAGCCTTCAAATTCAAACAAGCAACGGCATAAGGTTTATCATCCATAATTTGCCAAGAACAGGTTTTACTTCCTGTTAACTAAAATTATTAACATAGATTCGATCGCTGCTTAATTCAATTTGTACTTTGGATGGGCCATAAGCGTCCAAGGTGACGCTCTTCAACAAAGCACAATATTTATTTCTGGTAAGCTAATATGTGTTTGATGGAGATCAAAACAAGTTAAGACGTGAATTTCAAACCCGGTTAATGGTAACAGCCTGAAATAATTACCCCTGATTTCCTCGATCGTGTTTCGTTACTTCGCTATCGCCCTTGTTCTCTCCTTCGTATTTCTGACCACTCTCAAGGTCCGAATGCCTTCGACTGTAAAACGGGTTACAAAACGCTGTTCTTTCATTCTCTTCGCTGTCTTGCCTCTGAACCGTTGTAGGTTGGTAGGCACCTGCCATGGCTGGCTTTGCAGCCCAAACGAATCAAGACAAAGATGTAGTTTTATCGATTTTTCTGTCGTTCGAAGCAAGAAAAATGCTTACTTTTCAGCAGTTACAACTCTGAGAGGTCTGGTTCCGAATAAACCTGCCTATCCGCGCCTGCAAAGATTACAGTACAAAAGGGAGTGGCAGCTAGGGGGAACACCCCTGATCGACGAAATAATCTGTGACATAGGAAAGCAGATTTCAAGATAAATGCTATAGCGACTTTCTTAAAATGCATATAGAATTTCTGCTGAGTAGTGGTCGCAGTTTCTCAAAGGGAAACCTTTTCAGCTCTACTGACGTGTGATCGCTTTCAGATTCCTGTGTCACTCCCAAAATTATTTAATATCATTCCTCTACCAATTTAGGATCTTCTTGCCGGTGATATTGACCTAATTTCAGATTTTCCGCATGAAACTTTGAGGGGAGATTCCAGGAGGAATATGACGAAAAAATCATACAATTTTAATAAAATCAACTAAGACATACTGAAAGTCTGGAAAGAACAATGAAGACTTGATGAAAACAATTGTAGGTATATTTTAGAGTAATCGGTTTAGCGATTAAGAAACAAATATTAATATTTCAATGAATATTCGATTGATTACTGCAAAAACGTTTTTCTCCTGGTATGAGAGGAACAGGTCACATCAGTATAAAAAAGACATGGTTGTCCATCAAATCGTACATCCAACCTGATTGTCACGCGACTCTCGACTCATTCTGGCTATCTGCCCACGGAATACAATCGTGTTAGGATGCTAACAGAAAATGACTGAGTCGCGTGATAAGATAAAATCACGAAAGGCCCTTAGCAGCTCGACTGTCCCTTTACCTCGCAATTGATAATAATAATGATAATAATAAAACTTTATTTAAACACGATAAATATTTAAAGTCAGAGGCTTGTGGGGTCGTATTACAACAAAATTGTTTTTTTTATATGAATTAATATAACATATCTTTTGTATCTTCGCACCTTCATTGCTGTAACTCACGTCTTATTGATCTACCAAAAGACTTCAAAACGCCACAGCAAGAGTGATTTTTCAGATTACGAAATTTCACCACGTCACACCGGCTCTCGTCTACCTACTGTGGCTCTCTGCATCACTGAATGCTAACCTCTTTAAATAAAGACCTGTTCTTACATAAACTGAACGCTATGCTTGGTCGATTCTTACTAATTGAGAGCACTCTAAAGAAGGGTTTTTGGACCATGTCCTGTTTAGAGCTGTACCCTCGTGCGTATGAATTATCTTCAGTTGAATGCAGTATCTGTAGTTACTCTTCGAACATTTTGAAATTCTCCGTGGTAATGGGGCTTAAGGATACACGCAAAGGAAGAGAACACCTACAGTTTCCTTTTCTTTCTTTTCTTTTATTCTCGTAGTCCAGTGTAGTGGTATTTTCTTTGTGTAATAGAGTAGTGTAATGTAAATTTATGCATGTAGAAATTTGTGATGTATCTCGCGTACTTGTAAAAACTGTAAAAACCCAAAAACAAATAAAATACAAAAAAAAAACCTACGCAGATCATTTTGTAGCCAGCCATTAAAATAAAACCTTAGCCGGAAAAGGTTAAGATTTACTTCAGATCAAGACGAGTATTTAACTTCTTTGTCTAGATACCATAAAATAGCCGGCGAAAACGTTGGCTGCACTCCTACTTGTACACTTCCTCTATTAAAGTCTTCTCAGGCTCACTGGTGGGAAATTCTCCATTAAATTAAAGGAAGCTCATTGGAAGGGAGAAAATCAAGTTAATGCTATCTCCACAGGGTCAAAATGGAATGAGGTGGGTTAAAAGACATGAGGAGACTGCTTCATGTTTCCATCGCACTTTATTTCAGTCTTTCTTACTAAGTTTGACTATTGTTTCATGGCTTGATCCTTGGTAACAGCTCTCTGTCCTGAGTGATTCTTTGCCAGGAAGTCTGTGAATTCCTGGTATGGTGCCTTGGTAAACACAGTGTCCTTCCACATGTCTGGGGTCAGGTAACAGAAGGTCTTGGAGATGGCGGCAAATGTAGCCTTGGCTGAAAAGGGAGAAAAATCATGTTGCTTAAACACATTCCTGCATCCTTTAATCTGCACTGGTTAAAATAGTTGGGTAGAACTTCTCTAGTGTTGTAAACGTTACAATGCCTTGTTAGGTTAGTACTATCTGGAAAATTTTCCACTCAAGAGGACTTCAGGATCATCATTTTCCTTAAAACTAAGCATCTTGATTTGGACAAAACCATGCAACTAGAAATTTAACAGCCCTATCTGTCCCTACGATGATACTATTAATTTTTGTTTCGGCCCAGGCATCACATCTAACTTAGAGAATGACTGACACAAATTAACCACAAGAATGCTTCTTAAACAGACATTTCATATACAGCTTTTGCTTAAATTCAAAATCAAATACCAAAATTTCCCAAAGTGGCAGTCTGTCCTCGTGCTGAGGTATAACAATCCTCGATACCAGCCATCTGAAGCAGTTTCTTGGGGACAGGAGCAGACACAATACCAGTTCCCCTTGGTGCCGGAATAAGACGTACACGTACTGAACCACATTTTCCTGTCACCTTCAATGAAAATGTCGATGAATATTAAACCAATGTTTGAAACAAGTACAGAGAGTAATTTCCAATATTGCATTGGTTTTTCTTTACTTTGCTCTATGCCTTGTCTAAAAGTTTGTATCATCCTTCCAAACAACTGAATGCAAAACTACAACCAATAATAATTTAATGTAGTTTGCTTGTGTTTATTTCAAGTTCTGATTGGCTATTGGCCATGGTGTTTTATCACTGTTTGGTTGTATAATCCTTTGTTGAAATGCACTCTGAATAGAACTTCCTCTAAGTGAAATCATCCATCCAGCTACATGTAGTTGAAGCAAATGGCAGCTGGGTTAAGATGATGGATGTTTTTCAGGAAGTGACCTAATGCCCCCAGCAAATATTCTGTTAACTTAATGGACCTGAAAGCCATACATATATTTTAGGATGTATATCTAAAGAAAAGGAAGGGTCTTTACTCTTAACATGGTCTATTATGTTTTGTTTCCAGATATTTTCTACAGTTTGAATTTTGATCTATTTAACTCTCAATCTTGAATGTAAACATAGTAGACAAAAGACAACTTTGATGGAGGAGGAACAGCCAGGAATTTGAAGAAACAGGCCACAGTTATCTTTAAAATTGGACTGTAGGAGCTGAGAATTTAAACAAGCAATGGCACAGTTTTCTTTGTTTGGTATCAAGCCACAAACTATGGTTTTCGAGAGCAGTATGAAATGTAGAAAAGAAACACAAACCTTGCAAGGTACAGTATGAGGCTGACCGATCTTGTTACCCCAGTAGCCACGACGTACAGGAATGACAGATAGTTTGGCAAGAATAATTGCACCACGAATAGCTGTGGCTACCTCCTTTGAGCACTTTACACCAAGACCAACATGTCCACTGCTGTCACCAATGGCAACAAAAGCCTTGAAACGTGTACGCTGACCAGCTCTTGTCTGTTTTTGTACTGGCATGATTTTCAGAACCTCGTCTTTCAGGTGAGAACCAAGAAAGAAATCAATAATCTCATGTTCCTGAAAAATTAAGAGGGTAAATTTAAAACCAAGCAGAGGGTTTCTGTAAGAAAACGTACTTAATCAATCAGGTCTTCCAGGGAGGTTGTTGTGTTACAAGGTGACAAATTATTACAATAGGTACAGAAGTTGCAAAATTGGCAAATCTTACTTTTTAAAGTCTGCTCAAAAGCTGACATTTAATATCTATGGACTTCAAAACAAAATCAAAATTGGTGTAACAATAGGTGGTGCTATTTGTATCAGAGTCTTGCACATTTCTGCAGAAATTTAACCATACTCCAGCCAGTAATTTGTTAATTACAAAGTCTCACATACCTAAATTTCATTGCGTTATTACAATTCAAATGGCTTTGTCATTCTCAAACATGCAATAAGAGAACAGATCCATTCAGATGTATTTCTCATTACCTTAATTGGAAGAGAGAAGAGATAGATCTGCTCTAAAGTTTTGATCTTCATGTCCTTGACCAAGCGGCCAAGCTTGGTTACAGGCACCCACTGAAAAAGAAGAGATGCAACATTTCAAAAGATAGAATCTTGGTTTCATCATGATAACTTCAACTGTGAGTACTATGACTCTAATTGACTGTTCAACAAAAGGTGGTAAGTCCTTGAATGCCTTAAGATAAATTTTGTAGAGATTCTTGTCTGTAAAACAAACTTTACCAAAAAATCCAAATGTCTTTATTACAAGAGATTTAATTCTATCAAATGCTGCTTTGCATCTTGCTAGCAAATTATGAGATGTGTAAATGGTAAATCTCAGTAGAACATTACAATTATCCAAGATTACTGTGGGTTGCTTCAACCCTTTAATTCCCATAAGTGACCAAGACAGAATTTCCCCTTACAATATCAATAAAATATCAAGCAGACAAGTGATGAGAATAAAGAAAAATTACAATTAGGGGATTATTAGTTGATCCAATACCAAATTCTCTAAACTTACATCTTAAGAATTGTATAGCAGACAGTAAGGAGAATCATTTAGAGATCTAGGGAGTTAAATGGTTAAAGTACTCTGATATATACTGAGAAAGCTGAAAATCTACAACTAATTGTGACTTGGCCTGTATTACAGATGTAATCCTCTTTACTCACTTAGAGTTCTCACTATCTCCTTGAATTACTAAGCTTTTTTACTGATTTAAGCAGTTGTGATTGGTTTGGCTGGTTTGCTTACACTCTTTGAAAGGCTCTATACTGCCTATTGTCCATTCTGATTTGATCAAAACTATGACAACTTATCAAACATGATTGGTTAGCATCAGCTCGATTTGAGCACTGATAGGACAGAATAATGTCACGCTTGTTATCAGATGTCATAAGACATGGTACTATACCCATGGCACGTGTCATGTGTGCACACTGTTGCTGTGCATTTGGCTGAGTTAACTGTTTTTTTCATAATCAATTTCATAAAAACATAACCAATGGCTAATTTGTTACTAAAACTTTGTCACGGTTCTGATTAATTTGTAACAAGACTTCAAGTTGTCCAATTGGTGTGCTATCATATCTTGACACTCCTATGATTAGAGAATGAATTGGATTCCACTCAGTCCTGTTACATTACAAACTCAGTTCAAGGAGGGCATTAGGAGAGCAAAGGGGACTGAGGAGGGATTTTAATTTGGTGAGACAGCAACAAATTTTCCTTACCTCCTTATCTTCGGCTTTACCCCTTCCACGACCCCTTCCTCGGCCACGACCACGGCCTCGTCCGCGACCACGGCCACCGAATCCACCACGAAAACCTCCGCGAGCACCACCGGCTGGTTCTGCATCCGCCATTTGCTACAGAGGAAAAATCACATGATTTCAACGTAACTTCTCAATCCGAACAATTGAAAACACTATAAAGTTATGCACTGCTATGAGTCGTAGTTTGACCGCTCGAACAACATACTGTTAAATTGTTCAGATGCTTATTGTGTTTCACATTAGTTTAGAAATATTAAATGGTAGAAGAAATTGGTGTGGAAGATGGTTGCAATGCGTATCATTTTTAATGGCTAAATCGTTCTGGGACTGAAAGAAAAACTACTAAAAGGAACTCAAAAGTGATTAAGGATCCTCGATCGAACGGGAAACCTGTTCATGACGACCACAAAGCCACTGATGGAATAGGATTTTATGACACACTCTCCCTCAGACTTACGTGATGTCTTTGTACGACTAAGAAGACCGCGTTAGGGCCCTCGAGGCTTTTTATAGTGGACCTATTATGGGATAGGAGACCTGCGGGTTTATTTTAAGCTTGGAGGGGGGAGTGGGGTAGAAAAAGAGGTGTCTCTGTAAGAGGAAGAACTTGCAAAGGAATTTAGATGGCAAGCCTTTTTTGTAAACAGCTTTATTCAAACTTTAAAAGTAAAATTGAATTTTAAAAAATGTCTCAGTTCTAATCTGAATTGTTGTGGGAAACCGAAGAAAATTCTTTTGAATGCCTATGGAAAGGAATTTTGAAATTAGGGGGCCCAGAATTGGTCTAAACTCAAAGAAATAATCCATGAAACTCCATACCCATTTTGTCAGTAGAATTTTGACTCACAGACAAGGTACAGGCTTCAATGGGATTCCAACCCAAGCCTCCCAGATCCTCAGTAGTTGAGCCTTACTACCATTTTTTCTTTGGATCTTAACAGCAGTTTCTTTAATTGCAACTCACCTGCGAGGTATTTCATCCATGGGTCATAATAGACCATATTTTGTTTTGATTATAAAATGCAGTTTTCATTAATGATCCCTGGGAGAACGGACCAGCAGGAGGTTGAAGTTCCCCTCTCCTTTACAAAGAAAAGAAACTTAACGAGGGAGATATGCCCCTGATTCCAGTGAATTCATTCCACCATCCATACACCTTTGACAGAAGGGATTTTGAAGGAGACAAGTAACGGTCTAGGTCTCTCAAATATGAGACCTTTTTCAATTCAGTCCTAACACGCATCACAGTCCTTTTCATCAGCAAGACAGTTATGAATAAAGGTAATGTACTAATAGGCATCCAGTTCGCAGCTTTCATGCCTTAATGAACAATTTCATTAACCCTTTAACTCCCATGAGTGACCAAGACAGAATTTCTCCTTACAATATCAATACAATATCAAGCAGACAAGTGACAAGAATAAAGAAAAATAACAATAAGATTATTAGTTGATCCAATACCAAATTCTCCAAACTAACATCACAAGAACTGTATAGCAGACAGTAGGGAGAATTACTAATGAGATCTAAGGAGTTAAAGGGTTAAACAATCACTAAACTTATTGAACCAAATGGCTGTAATTTTTTTTTAAAGATACTACTTAGACAGGCAAATCATCCCATTTTGGCTAGATTAGACACCTTCTTGAAGTTGATGAAATTAGCAAAAAAAGGGGGGGGGAATGCACTAGGTGAAAAACAGATTTGTTTTAGTATCATATGTACATGATTTGTTCCTAAAGAACTTACGTAGTATAAAGGTTCTCTTCACTAAGATCATAACATCTGGCAGGTTTTTAAACTGAATATGGTGGGCCCTTTTTCCAGTTTTTTTTCTAGATAAAAAAAAACCTTGTTGTCACAGGGTTTAAAATTATGAAACTACCAAATCTGGCCAGACAGTTCTGAGTGACAACAAAATTTATTATGTTTCACAAATGTAAATTTCCAGTTTACTACTCTTTTTAAAATAAAAGCTAATTTAAAGCTCTCTTTAATAATTATGTCTCCCTACAAGATTGTTGAGTTCATGTTTCAGTGAAAGAAATAAGAAAGACCTCCTTTGCAGACAAACAGTATCAGAAGAGTTTGCAAAAGAGGCTGCAACAAACATCTCAACCAAAAATTATTGAAGACACTGGCTACAATTTAATCAGAAGAGTTGTAAAATAAAACTGGATGGATGCATATGCTATGGTACAGACCCAAAGGCTTTTTTGGGTATTTGCACTTGTCTATTTTTGATTGGCCAAACTGCATCTCAGTTTGAACATCTGTGCTATCTGCAACATGTGTAAACCTTCTCTTTCCATAATAGTTCTTGTTAACCATCAGCTTCTTCATGCCTCTCTAATGTTTTAGGGTACTCAAAGACCATCATCTTATATATTAGTCTCAACACTCTTGCCTCAAAATAAATTGTTGCAAAAACTGTTTTGCTCCTTGCCAAGTTCATATAAACTGGAGGACTTCCAGCTGGAAAAACCTTCTAGATTGGTTAGCCCAGCTGCTATTGCAAAAGCTCAGCTGAGGTAACTTTATACATTGATCGAAAAGCTAAAGACTTTCCCATCATGATCTGATAAACCCATTAAGGTTGTAAATAACCCTTGCTTATTTGTCCAATCCTCTTGGATGTTTGTATTAATGGGCATGGCACTGATGTGTAGCAGTGCAATTTAGTAGCCTACACCTCCAGTGGGTTCTGGATAATTGTGTTCTTGTCCAGAAGGGTAAACCAGCACCTTGAGCTGAAACCATCCGTCTGTTTCTCTTTTTCATCCTAGGTATAAAAATTTCTGATTGTACAAATTGTAAATGGTTTGCATCAGTCCACCTCCTCAGAGGCAATGCTCATTGCAGTTGAAGTTGATGCACCACTATTCCCTTCACCACCACCCATCAAAGACTGCATTAAGTCACCTGAAGTAAAAACAAGGCACTACCATGACTATGTAAGCATTGGTTAATCAAATCAAACATTGGGAAGCTATGACACCAATTTTAAAGGTAAGTTTCTGTTCTCATTGGGAGCTGTATTGCTGTTGGAGAGTGTAAACTTCAGATTAGAGTAAAATAAGCAATAATGACGAAGCACTTACCTAAAATGCCCCCCATCATTCCTTTGTTGGAGGGCTTTGGTGGAAGTCCAAAGAAAAGTTGTCCAATTCTATCTAAATACTGTGCAATAAACAGAGCCATAAATTACTTAAATTCATACTAATATTATGAATGCAGGATTAGATAAACTTTAACTTTATTTAAGTTACTAACCTCTTTATATACTGGATCTCTTTCAATGGAAGGTTGATATTTTTCACACAGCACTGTAAACTGATTTAGAGTTCCTCTCCTACACAACCAGAAAGAAAAACAAGTTTAAATTTTTTAGAGGAAGCAAATTTGTTCATATCTTACAGTTCTCTTTTTTTCTTAACTATATTTCATTCTGAACTTACTTTTATTGAATTTACATTGAAAAAAAGCAAAACCAAAGTTTAACCCTTCCAATCCATGGAGTGGTAGAGAAGTAATTTCCCCTTACCAAATCAATACTCTTTCAAGCAGATTGGTAATAAGAGTGAAGAAAAAAATCAACAAGGGAATGTTACCCATTTTAAGACCAAATTCTCAAAAACAACATAACAGGAAATTTATGGTGGATGGTAAGGAGACTTACTTTTGAGATCTTAGGACTAAATGAGTTCATAGCAAACTGGAAGGGGGGATTATCCAGTAATGAACTGTGAACTTCAAAACCATGGAGCTAAAGTTTAATATCATTTTCTTTCCCATAAAATGAGGAAAGTTCTTCTGAAATCAAACATTAGGATAAATTATCCAGCAATAAACTATGAACTCCAGAATTATGAAATTAAAGGTGTAAATTTTTTTTAAAATTTATATTTTCATAAAATGAGAGAAGCTCTTTTAGAATCAAACATTAGTTTGTGCCTGGTTTATCAAAATAATTAAATTTTTTTAAAATTTTTTTTCCTATATATTATACTTACATATGTACTTACACCATACTTACTTCTTACACGATGCTTACACTACATTAACTTGCACTACTTACAATACATAATTAAATGACTAAGAAAACCATTAATATGGTTCAGACATGAAAACTTTTTCAAACTTTAAAGGTATTTAAAAGCAAACCTTTCTATAACTAGAAGCAAAAACCAGACAAAATTCAGAAGAGGCTTTTGGTACGGAGGACCAATCCCTGAAAAATCTGGATGTTGTGCAGTATATTTAAAGAACACTAGATTAGCTGTACAAGGGTTCTGTAAACAAAGAAATCTGGAAAAAATCAAAGAACACAATATAGTGAATAAATAACTAACAGGGACAAATAGCAATGTCAGAACTATTCATTACCCCATAACATGTGATAATAAAAGTCCTCAGGAACTAGAATTTCATCCTACTGCCAATCTTGAATTAAATACAAAAAGTTTTGTCTCATAAAGGAAGGTGGCCATTGGACTCCTTTCTTATTAAAGGTTTGTGAATTGTTAACAATTATTCACTAAGATGGAGGTGACAAATGGTAGACATTTTCCTTGTCATTTCATAACTCAGTAAAAATCCACCACTTTCACCAACACTGAGGTAAACAATTGTTTTAGTATATACCACACAGAAACCAAAAGCAACTAGTTTCTTTCTGTCAATACACCAGAAAAATGGTCAGAAATTATATTGTTGACACACATTTTTTCTCCTTAGGTGCTCAGAGGTACATGTATATAACACATTCTAATCACTTCCAAACCAGCCGATCAGCGCCTGCCAAAAGCACTATTCACCTGTGTGGTATATAGTAATGGAAGCTATTTCCACCTTTGATTTAAGTGTCTACTGTCTTTGTGATCTTCAGGGTTCATGTATTATCTAAGGTGGTGATAAAATTTGCCACAGGCCTGGTGTTCATAATTATGTATAACACATTCTGTCAAAATGACAACATGTGAGTACTTCAGTCAATGGAAACAACCCTTTCAAGAGCTACCCATCTGTAGGAGATCAGAAGACTGCTCTTTTAAAAAGTATCTTCCATTTTATCGAACACTGAGGGTAATGAAAGTCTACCTTTATCCCTACCCACTAAAATCAAGAAACTTAGGATAAATCACAACGCTCTCAACAAGTTTGAAATTATACAGCAAACAAAAAAATGGCAGGTGGCTTGGTTGTCTTGGATGCTTTATTGTCTCATCAGATTGCCTGCCAGACTGCTTAGAACTACTCAGATAAAATTTCCCAAGCATTCCACAAAGTTTGCATGAAACTTCAAGAAAATTCTTAAGTTGGAATTGATTCACATGTTTAAATCTGTTCCTGGAATATTGTGCATGCTATTTCACTAAAAACTGGGAAATGGCTGCTGTTCTAAATTTCTTTTATGGTATTTCAATAATTGCTCAATTTTTCATCAGCACTTATATTAAAATGAGGTTATAGTAATTGTCTAAAGATGACAGACTAGCCAATTCATTTGGCCAGCTACTGGCTCTTATTGACTGTTCTGATAAATTACGATTCTTGGATTCTAGACATGGTTTAGGTAGAAGTATTGAAACATACTGTAATACTGCTTGTGTGACAAATAAGTCCGACTCTCCAGGAAAGCCCAGTGTTGTAGCACTTTCCACCAGCATTGCTGCACATTGTTGTCCATCAGAGGTAAACAGAAAGTGGTATTGTGAATCACCAAAGTTTTTCTCTGTTAAAAGTAAGGAAAAGGCAATATTAAACACAGACAGTTCTAAATGTCTCCTTTTAAAAGAAAGAATTCACAAGAAAACCTATCAGGTTTGCACTAGACTATTTCCCAGAGCAACAGGATTGTTATTTGGTTATATTATTGATAATAAAGGATAAGAAATCAGAACATAGGAAATTTAGGGTTGATACCACATCTAGGCAGGTGATCTAAACTTACCATACAAAAATAAAAACAACATAAACATGACTTCATTTAATCTTGAATTTACAGAGTAGCTAAATAGCTAACATCTTTGACAATATTTAAATAAAAAATAAAGGCCTTGGTTTTCTGAAGGTTGGAGAACTCTATCCACCGGATAAATCTCTTTCCTGTAGATAACGTTATGTATTTTGCTGGATAGAGATTTATCTGTCAGATGGTGCTATCTGCCCTTTATAAAACTCGGCCCAGTGCCACCACACCCTCTCCTACTCCATGTCCATTACACATGTTTACTGCAAAACCTGATAATTTCAAATCAAACCCACCTTTCCAAAGACTAAGTGCACACATAAGGTGTAACTCGGGATGTCCATACTTGAGGGATGGATCTGTTTCAGATGTCCATCTGAGAACAAAAACAAAAGTAATGTTAGCAAAGAAATAAACTGAGTAAAACTTTACATTATCTTACTGTAATTAGCTTCAAGGATTGACCCTTTAACTCCCAAGATCTGATTTGTTCATTCTCCCCTCGAGCTGCTACTCATTTCCTTGTAAATCAATTACAAGAATTTAGTGTTAGATCAAGAGAATAACTTCTAACTGATAATTTGGAGTTCTCTCAATACTTGTTTGGATAATGTATGGATATTATAGGGAGAAGTTTCACATTAATCATTTCTGGGAATTAAAGGATTAACAAAAAAATTTGAAGCAGCAGTGGAATGATTCAAAACAGCAAGCACCATATGCATTTCTGCCACCATTTAGCTGGTACATTTAAAAGACCTAGTGATGCTGCAGGTCACACAGATATTTTGACTGCCTGAGACTCTCCTTTTGATCCCTTCCTGGTATTTGCCTCTTACTTTATCAAGTAAGCCATTCACTTCAAAACTCTCTATTAATCCTGTCTAACCTCCATAATGATATGCCATTGTTTAATGAAAACATTTTAAATAGAAAGAAATACAGTCAGATTTTGATTATCCCAACTCCCAACTGAGGATTGGGCTAAATAGTTAGGACAATGGAATAGCATCAATGTTGTTTTGTTCCTCCAACTATGTTTAACAATTCCTAAAACATTTACTGGGTGATGAAAGTGGAACAAATTCGGTTCCAACAGGAATTTCATTTTATACACTTTGTTTGCAGGAAAAAATTGCTTCTGATCTGAAATGTGACTAGAGGTTATTAGTATTCATAAAAATTGGAACTAGAGGAGCTGTTGCAGATAGTTGAAAACTCTGGATAGTCAAGGTCCAGATAATCAAGGTTTGACCATATCTTCCAGTTTAAACTGGATTTCAGTTTCAAATAATTTCAAACTAATGTATTTTGTGTTTTCCATGATATCAATTTTACGTTACATTCTGATACTTTTAATAAAAAAACAGATCAGTCACAAGATTAAAACCAAAACTTCTGATTACCATAAATATAGCCGTTGATTTCTACTTACTTTATTGCCTCTGTCACAAATTCCTGTCTATCTGGTGAACCATGTTCATAAAGTTCAAACAAACTTTTAATTTTATCCAAGGCATCTTCTCCAACAGGTACCTTTGCAGTACGGAAACACTCCAACATGAGCAAGGCTAAATCAGTACCACTCCTTTCCTGGAAGCATTTAAGAAATAAAAGAGAGTTAGTAAGTATCTCGTATAAATGTATCCTGTTACAGTAAAAATGCTTTCCACATACAAATAGAGCAACTACTGCTGAGAATAAATTCACAAATTAATCTAACCATGTAAATACTGAATGCCTAAAAAGGTAATGTTAGAGAAATTGAATTTGACACATCACAAGGTAAAAATCAACCTTTAGAAACCAGTAATGAGAAATTTTTTTTGAGAAAATTACCTGTTTGTGTTTGAGAAGTAGGCACGCTCCGCTATGAACTATCTCTAAAGCTTCATCATAACTCTTCTGTGATTTATACCTAGAAAATAGATCATAAATCTTTAATTAGGATTAACCTTGCTAAAAAGGTTTTTAAATACATGTGGAAATTGCTAGGGCAGGAGTTATGTGAGAAGCCTTTTAAAACACTCATAAAAATATAACCCTGAGAAGGAGCTACTAAGGAACAAAGAGAGAGAGAAGATGAACAGATGACATGATGAAGAAGCAGTCTTTGACCTTATTTTCATCTTAACAATAATTTATTTATCTTTATTCGTCTATTTATTCATTGGAGGCCAAGTGGCTGCTGGACTCTAGGTCAAGAGGTTCAGTTTCAAGACCTGACCAGGTCAATGTGTTGTTTTCTTATGCTAAACACTTTACTTTCACAGTCCCTCTCTTCACCTAGGAGAATAAATGGGTACTGGTGAATTGTCAGCGAAGCCTGATGAAATGCTGGGAGGTAACCTTGCAATGGAGTGGTATCCCATTCAGGGGGCAGTAGTGATAATCCTAGTTGCTTCAGGATGAGGAAACCAGGATAAGCTCCCACTGGGGGAGGCCATTTGGCTTGAGTACAGGCTTAGCTCATCATCTATTCATTAATAAATCTGTCACTTATTTTTTTTTGGCTAGAAAATGAAGAGAGCTGGTTTTGCATGAGAGAAATGTGAATAAAAAGCTACAAATAGATCCACTTAGCTAGACCATGAGGAGGTCTTACACACTGCTGGACATGATGAGACATGAGATGAGATCAGGTCAAAATCATCTTGATCTAGGGTTAGCCCACAGGGAGGGGAAGCTAAGGATGATTTGCTATACCATGCAATGGATTGCTGTGGATTGACCTGTGCAGGGATAGGGGTGGGGGTAGGGGTAGGGGTAGGGGTGGTTCTTAAAAAAGTCAAAATATAAAAAAAAAGTACAAAACTGCAAGATCTTTCAGATTTGATCCTACTAAGATATCAACTTCATGCAGGAAATTTGCAGCCTAAACTTTATATGTACAATATTTTATCAGAGAGGGTCCAAGGGTATTCAGGAAAATTGTTGTTCAATGGAACTGTCATGAATACTTGTTAGTAAAAGTTGAACTATATAATTATCTGCATGTTCTTTGATTGCTTGAGTTGTATTTATAAAAATTATTGACACGGTCTGATGATTTATGGAAACTGAAATCACGATTTCGTAAGTTACCATAAACTGAACTTTCATATTCAGAATCGAAATTTAAAGCTTTGTCCTCGTACTGTCTTCTAAAGGTAAAATTCGCTGGAACAAAACTACATCTTACATTCAATTTGTTTTAGCGAAGTGGAATATGCTTAGCTAAGCACCTATTACACATTGATAAGTGTTTTGTTTTACCGGCATAGTTATTTTACACAACAACGAAGCGATACAAGTTTTCAAGGCGAAAAAACAACTTCATCTCCCTTCTATAAATTTAATCGCCACGGTACCTTGAGGATATTTCACATATTTTACATAGTTTTGGTTTGAATGGACTATTTCCAATCAATCACAGCCTTACAGCGAGGCTCACATGCACACCTACGGTCTCAGTTCATTTGTGTTTTCCTCAGCTCGCTTTTCGAGTCCTGTCGATTTATCAATTAAAAGACTAAGAAGAAACCTACCTGAAGTATAGCGTTCGTATCAACTGATGAGATTCGTAATATTCACCATCTTCGATGGACTTGTTTAGTTTCTGAAGTACGCGCTGAGTTCCGCCGCTTCGACTTTTGGCAGCCATATTCTTCCTGTTCCCACAAGCCTGTGCGCCCTTAACTGGGTGAAACACCCCAGGATGAGTAGCGGGCGAAGTGACAAGGAACGCCTGACATAAATTGGTTTCTTGTACATTTTTCCATGGCATTCGAAAATGTTAACAGACACTTTGTGTACCTTAGACACGGGTTATTACGCAGATACTGTAGAGTGGTGTCCTGCTAAAGGTTTTGAAGACTATTTAGTGTGCGGTACTTATCAGCTGCTCGAGAATAAAGAGAAAAACGATGGATCCGCGCTTTGCCCAGAGGAGTATTCAAGCGTTGGCAACAAGAGGGTCGGCAATGTACAGCTGTATCGTCTGAATGAATCGCATACAAGGTCGCCTGTTGTGTTCATTTTTTTAATCAGTTATGTCAATTTACTTGTTTTGTATACCCATAAATAAATATATAAATTTTACTTTATTTCACTCTGTAGGTTGGAAAAACTACAAACTCAGGAAACAAGTGGTATTTTAGATACAAAGTGGTAAGAAGTGTTCACCTGGACTTAATGGTTTATATTTATTTCATTATTTGTTTCACCCATATAATAATAGTCAGGCTATAGTGCGACATTTAAGAAGTCTAGAGTGACAATTTCATCCAGAGCAATTGCATTTTTTTCTTCTTTTGAGTATTTCTTACATTCATTTCTTGTCACTTAACCCTTTGACCCCTAAAAGTGACTATCATCTAATTTCTCCTTACAATATCACCCCTGAATCACATATTGAGGTCATGAGAATAAAGGAAATGATCACCGTGCAAAGAAGCTTTTGATTGGTTAACAAATTCTCCTTGTCATCACCTTAGGAAATCTAAGGAGGACAGTGTGGAGAATATGCATACTGATGTTGAGGTGTGAAGGATTAAGGAACTTTTCAATGTTTTTACCCTTTTATTCTTTTTTACCCTTTACGGTGGCTAATTTATGTTTCAACTCAGTTGTTAACACTAAATTAACTTTTCAATGTTGTCAGGTTAGCAAAGCCATTAAATGGTTCTGCTGTACTTGGCGCTGCTACATCAAATGGAGAACTGAAGATCTATTTCCTCAAAGAAAAGGTACATACGTATATACATTAAAGGGTATGTGCAACATTGTTATTTGAACACAAGATATCTCCTGGTATTATCACTCCCATACCTAGGTCATGCTGTTTTCATTTTAAAATGATCATAGCCAGGACATGAAATTATGCCTAATACAGGTGCCAATGCGACTAAATTAATCAATTTGGCAACCAATCCTGAAAATTAGTTGCCAAATTGGTGACTAGAATTTTTCATCATAACCTTACCTAGAGATATAGTGAATTAAAAAGATTTACAAAGATAAATCTGCGGCAAACTTTCTTGTTAAGTTTCGCTAACTTAATTTCTAAAACGATGACAGCGTAAAAAAGGTTTTGTTTGTCTTTAAAAATGGTGACCACCTTTTTTTGAATTGGCTACCACTTTGAAGAATTTAGGAGCCAAGTAGTCACGCCCTGATAGCCTTTCTACCTATCTACCCCACAAGATTTTGAACTAGTGTTGATTAACTTTTTTAATAATTTCTTTCAGCTATTAGTTGAGAGCACCAGTTATATTGCAAGTCCAGATAAATTATGTCTTTCAATGGACTGGTCTTTGGAAGATGAAAACAGGTCTGACATTTGACAATACTAACTTATGGGTAATGTTAATATTGGTATGAATTATTGTTATTTATTAATTAATTTATTATTATCAATTATTATTATCATCTATACTTAAGCTAAATGGCCCATCTAACCAGAATTAAGTCCAGTCTCCATAACATAACAAGACATAATGTAGTTTATTTGGTAATGCTGGTTAAGAGTTCAGCAGCCGTAGCTGATGTGGACCTGCCTAATACTAATTTATAAAAAAAAATTTACAATATCTAAATAAATAATACTTTATTAATTAAAATATCTAGATATAAGTTTAGATTCATTAGTTGTCTAAGAATAAAAATACTACATATTAAGTCTGTGGTATATTAGATGCGATTAAAATGAAAATAATTATCAATTCATACAGAAGTTAGTGTACTAAGAATAAACCAGCCTCAGTTATTATAAACTGGATATTCATAATCCTTTCATTCTCCATCATCAATAGTTTATTGTACCTTGATACAAAACTCATCAGCATTGGCTTAACCCTGTAACCCCTAAGAGTGACTAGCATCTAATTTCTCCTTACAATATCACCACTGAATCACATATTATTATCATAAGAATAAAGGAAATGATCACCAACTTAAGAAACTCTCGATTTTTAGACAAACTGTTCATGTCAGCACCTCAGTAAATGTACAGAGAACAGTATGGAGAATATGAATTCTGATGTTAGGGTGTGAAGGGTTAATGAAACATAAACTATTGGATGTTCTAAAAAGAGGAGAATTGAAATTCTCCTGCTGTAGTTGTAAGTACATCTAAAATGTTTATCATCAACCAATGTTGGCCAATTGAATGAACAATTATTCTATTAATGATAGCCAGTCTGTCCCCTTTTCTACTGCAGCCACATTGTTATAAGTGACTCAGGTGGACAGATTACATTATGCAAATTTTATGAAGGTACCTCTGAGCTTTGTCAAGTTTTGCAATGGTTAGGGCATCAGTATGAGGCTTGGATTACAGCATTTAATGCTTGGAATTCATCCATTGTATATTCAGGTACCATATTTTCATATAAATGAATTTTTAGTAGAATTAGAATTTAATTGATTTCCCATTTACCATCAGGCTTATTTCCGCTTCTCTCTAGTATCCGGTCTTTACTCCTCCCTGAGAAGTGGAGTTTGGGGGGTGGGCCACAACCTTATATTCCCAAACAATGGCTGGTAATCAAGCCTAATTTACTATTGGTCCAGATCAATCACACAAAGTCAGATGGAGGTTCAGTATTCTAGACAGATGGAATATTTCATGACATGTGTCAACTTTTATGAGTGAGGTGTAGTACTGAAGATACTTCAATCTGAAAAAGAATGAGGTAGCTCTCAAAGATATCTGTCATTGTTTGTGAGATAGAGCATTTTTCTGCAATCCTGCTTCTTGTCGAAAATAATAATATAATGTCAACTGCCCCTGTGACATCAGCTATAAGATTCTGTGTTGGTTTCAAGTTCCAGTTCAATAAAATACAATGCAAAACAATACACTTTATTTTGAGAGGGTACCCTTTGACAGTAATAAAAGTGATGGCCAGTGACCCTCAATAAAATGAATTCTAAACTCTCTAATATGGGTTAAAGTGATTAATTTTGAATTGTGTACTGGCTCTACTAATTAAGGAGGCGATGATTGCCTACTCAGAGGATGGGACACAAGAACAGGCTGCCATAAACCTACATTTACAAGTAAAAGGTGATTTCCAATATGATCACTATTCTGAATTTTAATCAAAGTTGCAGTTAAAAAGTTCATTGGCTCAGTGTTTTGTTCTCTTCATTGTGTTGTCCAGCTCTGATATCTGGCCAGGATAACTATTTACATGATGGTCTGTCCATAGTTTGTTTTGTTTTGTATTATTACAACTATTACTTTTTCAATTCACTGAATGATAGTATTAGCCCTTTAACTCCCATGAGTGACCAAGACAGAATTTCTCCTTACAAGATCAATACAATATCAACCAGATGAGTAATGAGAATAAAGAAAAATATCAATTTGTGAATACTTAGTTGATCTAGTACTAAATTCTCAGAACTAACATTGTAAGAATTGTATGGTTGACAGTAAGGAGAATCACAAATTTGATCTGGGAGTTAAAAGGTTAGATGTAAGGTCAAGTGAAGAGGCACAAAGCAAGTAAAGCAAAGCAAGCATGTGAGATGTGTAAAATACATTTTGCTTCAGGGAAGCAAAATTTTTGCTGTGATGTGAATTACCTTTCTTCATTAATAGGATATACTTGGTAAATGGTCACTTTGAACTTGCTGGGCTTTTGAAATTACCTGTGTGGCCTCTTTATCAGTAATTCAATGAGTTTTTTAATTTGTCTTCTCCAGGCATGAGATGGGTGTCAGCAGCATTCAGTGCAATCATGTATATGAACACATCATTGCAACCGGCAGGTAAGAATCTAACATCAAATGGTCTAAGTTTGGTCTCTATTCATTACTTCACTCCCAAAGTTGAGATGTCCATGCTCTACACAGTCTGCTGTATTCCTTTTAATTATAGCTCTGAGAATTTGATGTTAAGTTAAAAGTACAATGTATCCCTAAGTGATAATTCTCAGTAGGTGGTTCTTTCCATCCACAACCATGTGATGGTGATTTTTGAGTTTCACTTGAAGGAAGCTTCCTCTGAAGTAGTTGTGAGTCGCCAGCATAATGATTGTTTATCTTTGACTTTATAAAATACTTTCTTCTTAATGAGTAGTTAATAACGATGAGTCACACCCATATGTGATAAACTCTGAGTGTTGTTTCACAACATTTCTTTCACTCTTAGAAAAAAGGCTTCACATTGATTTCAAAATAATAATTTACAAACTCTCAACTTGTGCAATCAATTGATGTGGACTTCTGTCCTGGTTTGTTATCAAACTAACAGCTATGATGAGAAGATTCATGTTTGGGATGATAGAAACATGACACGCCCATTATGCACATCACATCCTGGTGGAGGAGTGTGGAGGATAAAGTGGCATCCTTACCATGGAAACACAATGTTAACAGCATGCATGTATGAGGGCTTTCATATTCTTCAGTTCAACAACAACACAGGTATGACCTGACAATGGTGCAATAGGGGATGTGCCTGGAAAAGGGGCTTCAAGGCTCCATCCCCTCTTAGGAGGTTTGGGGGCATGCTTCCCCAGAAAAAGATTTGAAATCTAGTAATATGTAACTCACTTGCGTGAAAGCCTACACAAAACCCAAAGAAGAGAGGCTGCTTGCAGACCAAACACACAGTGGTAATACTGGTCTAATGGGCTTGAGACCATATTCTCATGTCTAATTTACAAGGAAAAGTATGGCAGTAAGTAGGGAGAATTATGAAGTGGAGCTTGGGAGTTAAAGGGTTAAGACCACCAGTAACTGGCTTTTATTGAAACCTCTGCTAATGGATGTTGTTTGTGGAGCCGAATGGTTCTTTTGGGTCTGTTGGTTTGTTATCTGGTTTGACGGATACTTGGTGAGAATGGCAGGATTTTTCACATACCTGTGACAAAACAATCCATTTTTTGAACTGTAGAGATTTAACTAAGTCTATGCTTTATTTAAGCAGAGCACTGGAATGGCAATCAAGCTTGAAGATATTGTGGCAATAGGATTTGTCAGATCCCTTACTAAATTGAAAACATAATGTGGGACTTCACAGAGTAAAGTTTTTTGAAAAAAAAAAAATGTGTTAATATCAACTTATCAACTCATCAACTTATCAGGCTTTCTTTTCCTTTTTCTAACTACCAGGACATCAAAGCTTGGAAAAAGTGGTTTCTTATAAGGAACAAGCAAGTTTGGCTTATGGTGCTGATTGGTACAGGAAACATATCCAGCTTTCTAGATTCAGTGCACAAGATTGCAAACAAATGGACAGAAATGATGAACACAAAGGGACTGACCTATTACATGAAAGCATTTCTGATACTCAAACTGACATAGTTGCAACTTGTTCATTCTATGACCATGCCTTAAATTTGTGGACAGTGAATAATGCAGTCTCAAGATAGCCCTGGAAATGAAACACAGCAATGTGTTGAGTTCAATCTTCCATCCTTCAGAGAAGGAACAGTGTGGATTTCTGTCTTCTTCATCCCTGATGTCTGACCAGAAGAGGAAACACCAAAGAATTATTCCAATAAAAACTTTTATTTCAAGTCCACTGCACCATCATAGTAATACTAGCTAAAGAATTCTGATGATAGAACATATATCTATACATTCATAATTCAGAAAATTCCCTTATAACATTTTAATTATCATCACTAACTCAATAACAATTCCGTGTCTAACCTCAATTTTTTTCAATTGTTAAGAATGTATGTAAAAAGATACCATTACTTATGTAATCATATTTATGAAGATAAATAAAATATTGCATGCAATGAAGACTTGCAGTTGAGTTTCAACTTCATGCATTACTTTGTAGAATTATAAAAAAATCTAGCCCTATGATAAATTGAAACCCAGCAATTATCTGGAAAATTGTAACAAGCATCAGATCACTGATGAAATTGTACAAAATTTTTCTTATGATACATTTTTGAAAATCTGCTTGATACAACTTGAGTTGATGCACAATGGACAAACTGCATCACATAGATGACAATTTTTTCATAATGTCAGCAACTTCTAAAATCTTAATAATGTTATTAACCTTGTAAAGGTATTGAAAACTTTTTTTTTTACCTGGAAGTATCTGATTGTAACTGCTGATCTTTGGCTGATGTGATCTCAGTAAAATAATTTACCACAAAAATGATTAACAAGACCTGTTTGGTATGAAATGAAACTGTCAATGGAGCATTAAGTTATGCCTCAATTAGTTCATGGAGTGTGTCCCAGCTTAATTACCCCACTAGGCATCAAATTTAAGGCATCTAGAAAATATTGCAGCCACAAACAATTTCATTATAATCCTTTCACACCCAAAAATGATAAATCTGTCCTAAGAATAGTGGTGCATTTTATGTTATCCCATCTGATTGAGGTGCCTAGTTAAGGTAACACAACATTATCTTACCTAGTTTTAACCCTTCACACTCTAACATCAGTATTCATATTCTCCATACTGTTCTCTTTACATTTTCCATGGTTCTGACAAAGAGAATTCTCTTGACAATCAGAAGCTTCTTAAATTGGTGATCACTTCCATTATTCTCATGACCATTATAATTGATTCAAGGGTGATACTGTGAGGAGAAATTTGAAGCAAATCACTCCCAGGTTAGAAGGTTATAGCTGGAGGGGAGAACAACTCATCAGATCTTGGGAGTTAACATGTTGAGAATTTGATGAAAACACTATACCTGTAAGTGTAGATTTCTACACCCCCCCCCCCTCCCCTTCCCTTACAACTATATCATTCAATAACACTATTCCATGTTAAAAAAATGCTTATTTCATTATGACCCAGCAAGCTGGGAATGTGAGGAAGACCAGGTTAAGAAACCTGGAACAGTTGAACATTTCCACCTCATGATATGATGTCAGCCATAGTATGAGGTTTAGGTGTGGACCTAAAATTCACTAACTCCTCATTCACGTCATTCTGATCTGTAATTTTAACACTTAATTTATGCATTAAACCTGGATGAAACACAGTACTGGAAACTGCTTTCTTTCCTTCGGATTTCATTACTAGCCATGTAATTATTATTTCTTATCAACCAATAATAATTTGAGGGGCTCACCTCTAGTTTGTGGTTTGTGCCTATGATATAATTTACAATTCTTAATTATTATTTTACAAAATTTCAATTGTCATAATGGTTATTTACTTTTAATAAATAGTGCAAATGGAAATTTAACTTGTTTCATGGGAATAGTAAGAACATAACCTTTTCAAAATAGGCTAGCCAGTAAAAATCAGGCAGCAGAGGAAACTGAAATGTTCAGTTCTTTAGGTGTTGCAACGTATAACACATTGACAATATTAAAAAAAGAATTATATACATGTTGGGCAAATTGAGATTGTGTCTGCATAGCCTTAACCAGTGCAAAAGTGAGATGGCAGAAATTTCTGTGCTACATGCATGTAGCAATTCAGATTCTCTGGTATCCCACAACTTCTGACATTAATTTTTGGTGGTAATATTTTACAGCTGGTAATATTGACAAATGACCGATAATGATGTCTGCCAGCAGACAAAAATGGCATCTGCTTTCACTATTACCAGAATAATTGAAGCATGACATAGAACTTAAAAAGTGGAAAATTGACAGGAATGAACTATTTTGTTTAGCTAAACAAAGACACACCACAGATCACTAAACAATCTAAGTCACCTGTAATGGAATCTTTGCATCCTCCACAAAAATTCTTATGTCCCACAGAGATGAAACTTTGTTGAGATTTAAAAACAATTATTTTTTTAAGATTGTTTGTGAAACAAGTATGTCATCCCTTTCACTAAATCCAAAATTTCTAGCTCTGCGACTTAAACTATGTTGGGGAATGACAATACTGGTAGCACTTAACCCTTTAAATCCCAGAGGCGATAAGTATGTAACTTCTCCCTATTATATCCATACATTATCCAGCAAACAGGTGATGAGAATACTCATATTTAACAGGCATAAGTTGTTATCTTGATCTAACACCAAATTCTCTCAAATATTTACAAGGGAATGTGCAGAAGCTGAAGGGGAGAATTAACAATCTGGGAGTTAAAGGGTTAAGAAAGAGAGGCCTGTCAGTTTTCAAATGATGTGAACTAAAAAGATCTAAAATAAATTCACATTACTTATCAGAGAAAAAAAAAAGATATTGCCTTGTTGTAAAGGTTCTCCCTCATGTGCCTACCATTGACTGACTTCTAGAATTGTGTACCAAATTAAATTTCTGCAGTTTGCAATTTTTTCCCATGTGTATGTTGAAGAGCAGTAAGAAGCATTGTAATAATATCATTCTTTGCTACTTTTTTTGGTTACGTGTGATTTGGTTGTGCTTGGTGTCTGAGCCCCTCCTGACTGTAGTTGCTATCTGGATGGGTGTGAAGCAGTGCTTACACCTGAAGAGTGACTTGTTGAAGTTGAAATGCTAAGCTGAGAGAAACCACTGTGGCAAGACTCCAGACTTGATAATGATCCCCTGAGAATGAAAATTATGAAACAGCAAATAAGTTTAAAGAAGACACAGAATGTTACAATAAAACGCTGTCACCATAGTCACACAAATCATGTTAAATATATTAGTTATAAAGTTAGAGGGTGATATGATACAGACAATAAGATATCATTTTTCAATTAAAAGCGAGGTTGTTTTCAGTTAGTAAACAAATGTATTTTTCTATCCCCTCTCTACTAGAAAATAGTTTCAACAAATTTTCTATCATGAATAATTATTAACGGGATTTTACTTCATTAGATATTGCTGTCATTGAAGTTTCAGCCACTTCTCTTTGGAAGGATAATACAAAGACAAGTTCATCTATTGTGCACTTCATACAATTCATATACCAATGTATACTGAATTGATAATTTAACCAAAAGGAGTTTAAATGAATGTGAATGTATGAATATCATTTTAAATGAACTGCTGTTTAAGAAATGAATATGGAAGCAATCCTTGCCATCATGAACACTACCCAGGCAGAAGTGAAGAGGAGTTTAAAGAGGAGTTTCTTTACCATGTTTGTACACATTTTTGTGTTGAAACAAAGACTTTCTGCGCTTGCAGTGTAATCAACGAAATTTTTGAGAATCAATTCTCAAGGCCTAAGCAGAATGGTTGCAAATAAAATATTAATGGCCATAGACTTCAGCATCCTGACTGCTTGCACAAGACTTGATCTTTTTTCCAGAGTTTTACAACAATGCATGTCTATAGGAACTGTACTGGACAGTTGCGGGTTTTTTTTTATTTTTTAATCACAGTGAAAAATTCAGTCCTCAGAGCACACTACCTAAAATCTCGAGAGGGAAGTACTTCATGATAGTACATGACTTTAGCTCTGGTATGACGCCCATGAGCCTGGCCTGTTGGTGCTCCAGATTTGTACTTCCACTGAAGAACATACACTCCAGGAATGGAACAAACATGGGTTCCCTTATAGAAAGAAACACAAAGATGTTAGTTAGTAGACAACAAAACCATCTTACAAGCTAGAGTGCCTATCCATTGGGAACTCATCAAAAACTGAAGTTGAACTAAGCAACAATGGGTAGTGCTTCTCCCCCAGGGTTAAGATGTTAGCTATTGCAGGGTTCACTAAAGTTTTTGTTCAGGTTTCCCTGATAGTTTGCAAGTTTATCAGGGCAAATGACAAAGGGCTAACACTTGAAAAGTCCATATCAGGGACTCCTACAATGGCCTGTTTACAATAACATTATCAACTTAGTCATCTTGTAATCCCCCCCCCCCCCCCTGTCACAGCACCACTGGTCTTTTAGAAACTTACCCCTTTACAATTTTGAAGAAGGTTAACCCTTGAGCCTTGCAAGATACATACCTGTATAGATTCACCATCATAACAATGCCTTGGCTTTTCAACTACCACTGCATCTACACCAGCAATCACTCCAGACTGGTTAAGGGATGCATCACTTCCAAAACTTGATAAGCTTGTGGTACTGACTGCCTCCCGAGGCCGCTTGTGACGAAACACTGTAAACTGGACATCTCCTTTCATGACATCAAAATCCCACGTGATCACTGACTGAGATTCTTTGATTGTTACCAGGACCTGTTGGGCAGCAGGTGAAGATGTTAAGTTTACTAGCAGATGAGTAGCACAGTCACGCCGCCATTTTGGACTCAAGTGCCTTTGCTAACGAATATCTTCGGGAAGGTTTAACCTCTAAATCTCACACTTTCCACAATATAAGCTTAGTTATCCTACTTCATTTTGGTGTAAAGAAAACAAGGTTTGCGACAAAGTGAAAATTGTAAAAAATAAATATTTGCTGAAAATGCGTGAATTTCTGGGTGTAACGCGTAACATGAAATGTATCAGACGGAAGAAAAAAAAAATCTCAATATAGAACGCACATGGGGCCACTATTTTTTGGCCGTTAGTAGTTTATGACAAAAGCAACAGGCAGTATGATTTGCAACAGGAATGGTTTATTCTAACGCAAGTTATAAACGTCTGTTTTTATCACTGAACAATGTAACGCTCGCAACTATTAAAACAACCATAGTGTGAAAAACTAGCAATAATGATAATTTCGACTGTGTAAGCAACAAACTAATAACAAAAATGTAACGGGCATACATCATAATATTTACAAACCAACGCTGAAGTTGAATCGTCTAGTAGAATGTTTTCCAGATCAAAATAAAACGCGCAGAAACACATTTCGTAACGGCCATATTGAGCTTAATTCCATCACATATCCACCAGTAGATCCGTTGTCAGACGCGATTCTTGTTAAGTTGAGTAAACAAGCTCACCTCTCCTGGAATGGGCTTGTATTAAGCTAAATTTACAGAACGTTTCAACCCATTTCGTTAGATCTAACGCTAGAAATTTACGTTTGGTCGACGCAGAAACAATTTCCGCCATTGTTTCCGTGTTCATGAACCGTAACGAAGGAAAGTGACGAAGGAATATGGCGAAAAACACCACCAAAACTTTCACGAAATCCGCTCCTTCGCAGCTTCTCTTTGAAAGCACATGGTTTGTTTACACAGACAATAACATGGGAGTCCATACAGAGTTTGCAGGGGCAGATTATTGCATAACAGTAAAATGTTTTACGCGATTTTCAACACTGAGGGAATTCAACCGCAGCAGATGGAAACAAAAGAGTCCAATCTAAATTCAGGTATTTCGCGAAAGAAGGCGGCGCAAGAAAGAAAAGCAGCGGCAAAAAGAGAAAGGGACAAGGCCTATTATCAACAAAACAAGGCAAAAAAGATTGCTCAAGTTAAAGAACGGCGAAAGAAATTGCAAGCCGAGAAATCAATTCGGCCGCACACACGAAGCATTGCCGAAAAAAACAAACGCCAACAAAAAGCAACGGAGCACAGAAAAGCTTCCCGTATCGCAGCACAAGAAAAAAGAGAAAAGACAAGGCAGCAAACAAGAGAAAGAGTTAGAAAATACCGTGAAAAGAAGCGAACAGAAGCACAAGAATTTAATAATAGCGTGGATTCTCCAGGTTTCGCAAACCGGACGTCGAAAAAACGTGCTATAGATAAAGTCAAGAAGACACTCCCTTCCACACCCCGAAAGAAGGCGGAAATTGTCAAAAGCATTGTCAAAAGCCGTTAGTAGTTTATGACAAAAGCAACAGGCAGTATGATTTGCTCATGTTACTGCATCAGTTGCATTGTGAATGATGAGGAGAATTGCACTAACAAGGCATGGCTTGATGAATGGAAGCTGGTGGAGCTAACCAGAGAGGGTGATGTGGCAACCACTCGACAGGCAACTGAAGCACCAATTTTAGACCATGATACTGCTTCCTACATAGCTGACCTGGCCAGCAAGGGAAGTACAGTTGCGATAGCCGTTGAAGATGATCCTGTCTACGATTTCTATCTCCTTCAGGTCACTTCTGATGGAGTTGAAGAACTTGACAATAATGTCACAGATGACTATCAGTGTCATTATTACAGAGGAGACAGAGTTCTTACGGGGCACTTTTACATAAGGGAGAACATTCATGACATGACCTTCACAATTGACGAAAAACGGAAAGCGTTTGTACATGCTGCTACTGTCCGTCACATTTGCGGTGACCTACCAGTCAGAAAGAGAGGACGAAAGTCTATTTACAAACTCCCTTTAAAAGAAAATGAGGAAATCATTGCTTCAATGTAAACTAATGATTACAAAACCTCTTTTTTTCCATTTTTACATTAATTTTCTTAAGATTTTATGAAAAACCAAAAATGTGCCACGCCCACAAGGGATTGTGGGTAATACCAAAATTAGTGTTATTAATGCAAAATAATAAAAATATTTACAGATATTGATTACAATGTACATTTTGATCAAAATTAAAGTCAAAAAGTGATAAAAAGTGAAAAAATAAAAAAATAGTTATTTTTGAACTATGTTACAGCAAATGGCTATGTGACTGTGCTACTCATCAGCAGTAATTTTGGTATTTACAGGTTCTGCAGTCTTAACCACATAATAACATAGCTTGTTATCAAGCATCTCTCTCTTTCGCTATGAAAGTGTCCTGACAACTCATTGCCATGATATTCAGGAAGAACCTGAAGAGAAGTTTCCATCTTGATGTTAAAAGCAATATTTAAATTACTGTTACTCAGTTATGGGAGTTGATTGCATTTTTTGGAATCTAAAAGCCACTGTCTGCAAGTGTAATGTTTAACATATGCTACAATAATCATTGAAGATTTCAAATGATCTTCAATTATGATCTGGTGTTTGAAAGGATGTTCCAAATCAAAAGATAAAAGGAGGAAAAGGGGAGAAACACATGCAAAGTGAATGGATGAGAAGGTGGCTGGGAAGTCCTAAGAAGACAAGTCACCAGTGGCTAGCTTCCAAAAGAGGCTAATAAAAGATGACAATCATCATCATCATATCTCCCATTCTTTCATCTCTCAAATAATCTTGAATGCGCTGGAGTGTAGAAATATGTGGGAGGCTGAGGTCCATTATTTAGTTAATATAATTTTTTTTCTGACATTCCATCCCTTACTTCATGAGGTGAGCCCTTGCTAACATGTGTTGTTTGGTAGATTTCACTGCTCCAAGATTCCTCTCCTTCACTGAACTCCAGAGATCTGTATAGAGTCTTTGGGACAAGTCCCCCCTCCTTAATTTGGCACTTTAAAGGAAAATAAAGGAACATCTTTTAAAATTACACCTTAATAACTTCTTATTAAAAGTTAGGTAATTCTCAGGGAATTGAGAGTTGATAGCACTTTTTTTGTTAACCTTCATAGAAAAGGAAGTCACCAAGATATGAAAGGACACCAGTTTACTCATTGAATAGAAGCAAAAGGAAAATATCAAGGAACATTAGAACTGCCCAGAGAAAAACCTTTTGTTCTAGCCGAGCAAAAAATTAGCTACAGAAGAATCTTTACTCTGAGTAATGCTGACGTAAATCAGCTCTACGATGACTGCTTGCAGAATATCAAATGACAACCATGTTCCATTGTTTCTAATATTTCTAACCTCATAAGGTCCACCAAGAAAGTCTGGGATGTATTCTGCTGCAATGTAGTCAGTCAAACCACCAGGACCCTAAAATAAAAAGAATAAATGAAAACATTGATAATGACAAAAAGAAGTTAACAAAACTGTTACAGAGAGAGATGGAAGAGTACTATGTTTTAAAAATCATATATTAGAGTTCATTGTATGTTGATTTTTAAAATAACTCAACCCTTTACTGCCTTAGAGTGATAGGCATCAAATTTCTCCCAACAGTATCACCCCTAAATCAAACATTAAGTTCATGAGAATAAGGGAAATCATCAGAAACTCAAGAAACTCTTGATTGTTAAACAAGTTCTCCTTGCAAGCACCATAGGAAATGTATAAAGAACAATATGGAGAACTTGTAAACTGATGTTAGGATGCAAAGTGTTAAGGTTCCTTTAATTCCCTTAAAAATTTTAGGTCATGTTAATTACGCAGCTTACTTAAACTGATGTTCCAGGGAAAGAAACAGAGTTCCTCAGAGTCATCCAAAGTTTATGGTGGGAACAAATGGGTTTTTTCAAAAAATTAACATCAGTCATCACCATGAGAACAGTCCTTTTTAGGATTACTCTCAAGGGCATAAAAAGACAAGAAAATCAATTGCTTACTATCATTACCTGGTAGTCATTTCCTCCATAAATGAGGAACTTGTTCCTTGTGTTTTCATCAATGAAAGGACTGACCAGTGTCCACAAAACACCAAATATCCTGGGTGCACGTACAATCAGCAGTCTGCCCATTGTCTCAGGGTAGTTACATTCAACAACCTCAATCACCTTCAATAAGGCTTTGATCCCTGATAAGAGAAACAATTTCTTGATCAATAAGTTGCCAAACAGTTTTACACTGAGCTAAAGAGGTTGTTTAAATAGGGTCATATAAGAGGGAGAATTTTGTAACTTCCTAACCTAAAAAATATCTAACTATTTATCACTGTAGTTTAAGTTATAACCTATGTGTAACAAAAATGCATCAAGTCTTAAAATTTGTCTTCTAATCAGAATCCAAAGCTCTAAACAATTACTCTTAAAAACTTTTTAAGTATTTTCACCTGATTACCTTTGGCAAGAAGTCAACAAAAATAAAGGAAGTAGTTCTGGTGACATTATAACATTAAATCCATCACCTGTGTATTTGTTAAAACTAATCAAAGAACTGTCAACTCACCAGGTCTCCAAAGATGCCTCATGCTTAAGCCTTCCAAATCACAAACACACGTCCATGAGCTGTAACAAAACAAACATTAATCAACAAATATGTCTATTTTGTATGAAATCACTGTGATACAAAACAGCAGCTAAATAATCTTCCTTAAGCCAACTCAACCTATATGTAGAAATGATCCCCCAGAGGACAACAAACCCTATGGAATTTCAATCAAAACCCCCACATGCAAGACGTGAACTAGCCATTTTAAATAAGAAAGTATTCCATAACACTCAGACCAGAAGAATATCTGCATAAAAACAACAAGGGGGCATAGATTTGAGAAAAAAATTAATTTTTCATGAGGAGAGGGAGATAACACCCACAAGGAGCAGAGAATGCAAACAGCCACTGACAAACAGACAGAAATCTAGTATATACCAATTCCATAAGCTTGAGTCTGATGAATTCTGCCCTGTATTACCTGATTGGATGCCCTGTTTGTTTTGTCAGTTCTTCAGTCATTCTTAGTCCTTCTTCATTAATTGAGACAACCTTGTTAAAAATTAAAAGACATTTGTAAAATTAATAGTCAGTTCCTCAATCATTTATTGAATCATAAGAATTTGAAGCTTTGCACATGTTTTTGTTCCAAAACCCAAACACAAGAAAGTTTAAAAAATGTATGATAATGAAATTAAATTGTTTGGTTTAATCAGCTGAGTTGATAATGTAAATTGGCCTCCATAAAGAGTTTCAAAGCTGATGTTATGAGTACTTGCCTTTTGTCATTTGCTCTGTCAAAGGGCTTATGCTGGAAACATCACCTTTGAAACTCTTTACAGTGACCAATTTACATTATCAACTCAGCTGATAAAACTAAATTATTTTTTAATACTCCCCCACTGATGCAGCACCACAGTTTCCTTTTTAGAAACTTACCCCCTTTATTCATAACTGTTTGCTTTGAGTGTTAATTAACCCTGGGCAGATATGGCTGTGATCACAAGTCCCCACAAAGACTTTGTAGAAAGGATGGTATTTTGTAGTAAATGATATGAAAAACTTACATGTTTAAGAAAGCCATCTTCACCAACAGCTTTAAGGAGACCTTTCACGTCCATGGACCCTAGCCGGAGTATGTACAATGGGCGCCCCTCTATATGAATCAGAAATAGGGAAAAATAATAAAATCTCCAGAAAAATCTATTGGCACAAGACAAATGCAAAGTACTGTCAATGTAAAATAATACTTTAGTGATTGATTGAATCTGTTAGTCCTGAATCAATAGACCTTGCAGTTCAAGAATATTAATACCAGTAACATTTATAAGTTACAGTGTTCATGTACCTCAATTCATAATACAGCCGTACCTGGTATTCAAAGCTTAATCAATAGAGAGTTTTCTACATATCAGAAACATTATGCCTTTTGTTGGTAATAATAAACATGCAAATATTTTGGCATACTAATAATGGGCTGGAAGCAGGTAAATTAATGCCAAAAAGTGAAAAAAAAATTGAAATTAATGATCATGGTACTTGTGGATTTATTATTGTTAACAAGTAATCAACTAGTTCCTCCTTCCCTCTGAAATGCATGTAAGACACTCAAAAAAATTTCTCAGCCAAAAGTCAGAATTCTCCCTTATTGTTTTATTATTTTACACACAGCAGGTAAGAGCAATCCTTTTATGGGTAAAATTTTCAAGAATTCCGAGTGATTTTAGGTAGCAATAAGAGATACTACAGGCAGGAAATGTTATTGGTTACTACCTGAAAAGGAAAACACTGACAGGCTTATGCTTATCTATTTTGATTAACATGACAAATCATTTGATTGGCCATACGAATTCTGTTGCTGCAAGTTTGCTATGAAGGTATACAATCGCGTTAAGTCAGTACTGCTAACTAAGGAATTTGGGGAGAATTTTGAATAACCACATCAATCTTTCATCTAAGGAATTTTTCGTCACAACAAGGTTCTCACCTTTATCTTTGTTATGCCATCCTCCACTGTAGTAGCTCAAGAGAGGTTCAGGAGGCTGCCATATCTCCCTTATGTTGTCTATATTGTGATGGCGTCGCCACGCCAGAGACTCACACAGCATCTCATACACCTTAATGTGACAAAAGGAAGTTTCAAAACAATGCCATACATGCAACCAACATTATTATAGAAAAGCGCATCAAACTGCAAGAACACAATGTTGCATTAGTACCTTGTCTAAATTGAAGTCTCGTGCTCTGAGAAATCTTAAAAGATGAGCATCATTAGGCATCTGTCAACAAAAAACAATATATTAGCATAACTGAAACATCTGCATACACTGACTCTCCTGTAAAAAGCTCTGAGGAAGTTAATTTTAAAAAATCAAGTACCTTTCCTTGATGGGTGGCACTGAGTTTCTTGCGCAGCTATAAAGAAATAACACGTAGAACACAGTAATTTAGAGGAATTTTTTTGTTTTTACTTTAAAAGAAAAAAAAGGAAGCACAACCAGATGCAACAAGACTATTACATGATCCTAGTGCTGACTAGTCAACAGCTGTTTCTCTTACAAGTATACTCAATATACCTATAAGCTGGGTAGAAAATAGATTGAATCAAAGCTTTGGTGGTACAAAAAGTTATGATGCAAGGACCACAACATTTTATTCTACATGCCTGAAACAAGGCCAGTTACCTGAATAAGTTGGTTCTCTTCCTTGGGACTAAGTTTTCCAAGGAACCTCTGAATGTAGTCATCATCAAGCTTGTAATCTGAAAATGCAAAACAAGCTGACTTAAGAAAATTCTTATCGACAATTTTTTTACTAACAGTCATCTTCCAAATCCACTTAAACCCTTCTGAATGCTTCTATCATTTAATCAGAAAGACTTAACAAGTGCAATGTCGGATCAGTATTTTGAGGTTTTTTCAGCCAAGTATATATTCAATGCAACTTAACTGCAGCAAATAAGAGGAAATCTGGTAAGTTAGAAAAACACTACAGATGCAACTGCTAAGAAAACACAGACTGAAATGGCTTTTAATGACGATTTTGTGAGTTTGGCAAAATTTATGAAGGGACAAAAACCATGGAGTACCTTCCATAAACATGCAGGTAATGTCTACTACTTTTTCTTGCACTATAGAAAACAGCTTTCTTGTGAAATGAATTGAAAATTGAACATTCAGTTGAAAATTTCACTTTAAATAGCTTTCTAGCAATGAAAATGCCAAAAAATATTTTCTTGCAATGAAATAACCCTACGTTCCTGTTCACATTATTCATCATAATTCTCATCAAATGCAATCTTCTATCTGTTTTGTGCCAAGTGCTGTGCAAGGCACAATGCAGGACAACAGCATACAAAGTTAATTGATTGATGATCAAGTCCTTTTCATTTTACTAAGCAGGGACAGCTTATCTATGAGCATTAGACACATTTGTCTTCTACCAAAGCAGGTTATTATCAGATCATAAGCTGCTCTTTTATTGAGTTTAAGCTGATGCTAGAGCTAGTTCCTGTGGAAAAGTTTCTTTCTTTCATTCTCATCTAGAACTAATTCAGTACAAGATGCAAGGCATACAAGTTTGTAACTCTATAGACATAATTAGTTCTTGACAAAGTCAATTAATATGCAATTTAGTTCTACAAATATAAATATTCAAGCACATTTTGGAAACATATTGCCAAAAGAAATTAATTGTGTTAATTTTTCAAGGGCCTTAAAAATGGTCTGAAATGAAGAAAACATTTTTCACCTTACCATATATTTTAAAACAAGTCAATAAAATTTATTATCTCATGACAAAGAAGAACTAAATCACATTCTAAAATGGTTCACTGTATTCAGTAAAACAAAATGCTGACGCCACCTTTACTTAAGCTGAACATTTCATAGCTGTGTAACAAAATACATTATAGTTTAGGAAAAGGTGACAGAAAATTTTTGACAAAACCTCGTACTTAATGCTGGATGAAATTGTAAGAATCCTGTAAAATACCTTGCTGGGTTGCCTGGTGTGACTTCATTTGTAAAGCATATGTTCACTGCTCTTTTGGGAAAAGGAATTAAATATAGCAACTGAAGCAAATGAGCCATAAACATGTTCCAATGCTGTCCTTTGTTTAAGTGTTGTATGATTCAGGCCTGTTCGTGTCCACTTCATTTGGATTTCAATTGTATTTATTGTTGACTAAATTAGGATCCTTGACGTCAGAAATTCAAATTAAACTCAGACAGCATGTCCACAAAACCAGATGTTCAAGAATATTATACAGAAACTGTTCTGTAATTGTCATTTTAAATTTCTCTATAAGTTATAAATTTAGAGCTTAATGGCTGCGTACCTATATAAACATGGCTTTAACTTCTGCTATTGCTACATGACTGTATACCTATTTTTTTTAATTGCTGGTCCACTTTGTTACTCATGTTTTCACATGCCTTTTCCAATTTCATTCTGGCTTTTTGTAAATTTATCATTTATTGTTTTTTCTTTGGTTTAAGTTTGTCTGTTGCAAGACAGAGTGTATTTTTCTTGCATTAAGATTTCTTTAAGCAAAAATTATGAAAATCAACTTGTAAAAATGAATTATACTAATCACATGTAAATTATTTTACAACAAAAATAAAGCCTAAAAGTTTTGAACTTATGCTTTCATGCGAATTTATGAAAGATGAGATAGTTGAAAAAATTTAAATGATACTCTTGGCAAAGTTAAACATTAATAATCCTTATTGGAAGGGGAACTACTTTGAACTGTGCTTCTGTCAACAACAAAATAAAACTAAAAATTGTTGATCACTCCAGAAATTATTGAAATAAATGTAAATGTAGTAAATGAACAATGTATAACAAGCTTTATGATATTTCTTACTTCATCACCACAAACAAGGTATTCATTAATGGTATAAATTTAAGGTTACATGTATTTCAGTATTAAATTAATATGAGATTCACAGAATCACATATGATTTACAGTTGGTGGACAGCTTTTCACAAAATATACATTTAGTAAATTAAAACATATCTAGTACCTTTATTCTTTCATGGTTACTGTCGTTATCATCAAAACATAGGTGAATGTATAGGTAAGGAGTATCTCAAATTTGTTGCAGCAAAGCACAAGTCTTTTCCTGTTACCAAGCATGCCATCATTACGTGTTAAACAAGGTCAAAAGGTATGTTTGTTCAGGAAACCACTTTCCATGCAGGCATAAACTAGGCTAAGAGTAGCACAGGAAAGTCACATAGCATTAACTCACTTCCTGCACCCATTGAAATCAACCACCTGCATTGTTCTCCCTCTGATTCTTGATTACAAATTAAAAGATTTGGCAAATACAAATGCCTTCTCCTACAATAAAGCTGCCTTGTAAAAGAAAAAAAAACTTTCTGAAAACCAACCACTAGTCACTATGATATAATCAGAAAATATGAAACAAAAATTTTAAACAGAAAATATGTAACAAAAATTTGAACCAAAAAATTGGAAAAACAGCAGGGGGATTTCTTAACAAGAATTTAAGATTATCATAGCTTGTAACTCAATCTTGTCAACAAGCCAAATGTACCAGTATCTAAGTAAAAACAATCTTGCTCAAGCTACTTGCCCTTTGACACCACTCATGACAATTAATTGACTCAAATTACCAAGATGAACAATGTACAACTGAACCTGACAACATTTCCATTATAATACCTCACAATATCCTTGCAGTTGTTAAAATGGTATCCAGTAAATGATTTAAGAGTCAAATTTATATCAATCCTGTTAATATTTTTTAGGGATAAATGAACAGTCTAACATACTGCATTGATTAGAATAAATTTTTTCCACTCATATCTTTGAGTTGTTTTTGAAACTCATATGTTACATTACCCTAAATAACTCAATTTGCCTTGAAAGACCAATGACGGCCAAAATATATCCCCAGGTAACACTGATGTTGCAAAGAAGTTATTACTATCCTTTTATCATTGTATGTGTGTTTAGCTGGTTGACCCAAATTTGGGGCATTTTTTAGCTTGAGTTATGATCTTATCTTGATTTTATTGAAAGCTATTTCATAGTAATTGTAATTTTAGGTATGATTTTATTTTTAATCCAGTGGATGTTCATGAATCTACATTAATGCATAGTTTTCATTCTATTATTGAAAGAAAAGCTACAGCAGCTATAGTTAACTAACCACATACTCTCTCACCCTGATAAAGAGCCAACCCTCAAAACATCAGCTTTAAAAACTCCTTACAGTGGTCAATTCATGTCACCACCTCAGTTGATAAAAGCAAATAATCTTGTAATACCTTCCACAGACAAGGCACCACTAACAGTTCTTTAGAAAACTATCCCTCTTTACTCTCTCAGTAGTCAGAAGTTGTGTGCTATCATGAGGATGAATTCATTGGCAACCTTCTAATTAGGTGATCTGAATGACTGAGCACTGCAAAATGGAGAGCTATAACAGAGTGGGGGGACTGGGCACATAACCACAGTTTTCCATGTTTCCAACTCTTTCTTATTTTTTCCAGATTTAAAGTAGTTTTTCAGTATATTTTACACTCACCTGGTCTGGAGGCAAGTGGTACCACATCAGAAGCTTCTATTGCAGAGCTTGCAATAGGAAGGGCATTACCATCCTCCTCTGTTTGGTCTTCACTACTTACAGCTTCTGCACTCTTTGTTCTTGGGCGTCCACGAGAATTCTCAAAGGGAGCCAGATATGTCACCCCTTCACTAATCAACTCATCAATGTAGTACTGAATCACTTCTTTTCCCTGATGAATGATAACGTAAGAATTTCTTGTGTCATAAAACACAACATTTGATAATAATTTTTTTTTCTGGTAAAAGGATCTGTGGATACTGGGACTTACGAGTTTCGCGATATTAGTGTTAAACACTTGGTAAAACCCTTGCAGCTTGTGAAGGTGGTGATTTAAGTGAACTAACGAGAGACAGATGGTAATTCAGCTTGTTGACTGCAGCTACTGTTAAATTTCACAACATAAACTACCCCTAAAGTACTACGTAACATAAAATAAGGAATCAGTAAGCTGATGAATGGTAAGTGCTTACAGCACAAGTTCCCAAAATGTGATGTTCATTAACTCAACCTCCTGTAAACTCAAATAACAATAATTTTCTAAATAAACTGAGGTACTGCCTTGCTGAGAAAAGGGGGGAATTGAAGAAAATTTGGTCTTATCATGGTATTGGCCACTGTAGAGAGTTTCTAAAGCTAACAGTTTTTCACCACAGTATGAGGGTTAGGTGGCTGCTTAGAAGAGATACAGGGGAGATAAATTTCTACGTAACCTATGGTACTGCCTTGCTGGGGCAAGGGGGGAATTACAAGATAATTTGAATTTATCATGATATTGGCCTCTGTATAGAGTTTCTGAAGCTGGTGTTACAAGCATTAACCCTTCACTGTTCACTCTGACAGGGGGTCAACATTCAAAACATAATTCAGTTTTAGAAGCTCTTTACAGTGGCTAATTTACTTGATCATTTCAGTTGATAAAACAAAATCACCAAGAAATAAACAGATAGAGGATTACTATGAAGAACCCCAAGATCACCTTCTTGATGTTCTGAAGATACAACTTGATGGCCAACTTCTCAATGGCTGCCTCAAAACCAAAGAATGACTTGATGTCCAAAGTGGCATCCTGCTCAAAACAAGTCCAGTCAGGATTGTCGGGATGAACCTAGAAAGCCAACAATGGTATGAATTAACAAAGGATACATATATGCAAAGACATAACAGATAGCACAAGTGATGCTAGATCAAGAATTCTGAGCTCATTTTCAAACTTATCAGTAAAAGTTGTGATCTTGATCTGACACCAAATTCTCACAATTTATTTATAAGCAGATGTGCAGCTAGAGGGGTGAACAAAGATACTCACTCATTCCAGACCTACTATTATTATCTCATAAATGTAGCACTGAGTACGACTGTTCCTCTCTGTACAAAATAATTAAACAGATTTTTCTTGTGCATCATTTAGAGTCAATTTTCTATATCTTCAATGTAAATAGGGGATGACTTGGCAAAGTTCTACTTTAAGCAAAAGCATCTTGCATATTAAAAGTTAAGCATAAAAAAGCTTTCATTCAAAAAAAAAAAAAAAAAATATATATATATATATATATATATATATATTATTCAGCTCTATCATTCTGTGTTTTTAGCCCACATAAAATGAGACAAACACCTCAAAAACAACACACAGTATTACGCATTACAGAAAATCCCTGCCGAGAATGTAACCTTGCAGATTTCATACTCATACGAAATTTTGCCAATTGGAAAATGCTATGTCTAGTTCTTTCCATGCCTAAGTATAACAATTCAATAATAATAGTCTTCAAAATATAAAACATCAGCCAGTACAAATGAAAAACACCGTTCCCAGATTATTCCTAAAAATTTAAATTTATAATTTAAACTTTTTTAAATTTAAATTATGCCAAAACATGACCCAAACAAATCTTCTTACAAGCCTGCTACACATTACATCACTTTCTTCTGGGTATGCACAAGGCTCCTAGTGTAATTAATAATATTTGGGTAGAAAGCTAATAATCATAATTCAATAAATTATTTATTACTTCCAATCCAAAATAAGCAGGTATAATAACATCATATCGGCCCGTGAAAACTTTGGAATAGTCATTTGTGGTTTTGCCTGATTGTAATGCAAATGTTCCCGTGGGACAGGAGACAAGTGTTTATCCTTAAATCTATAAAATGTTCGTGCACTACCAAAAGACTTTGGCACTGTTTATTTCATACTCATCTTGCGGTGTTTACTTTGAGGTCATTGGCAAAATCTCAAAGTAGACTATCACAAACGTAAATTGCAAGTTACGTGAATATAGTGTTAGTTGCTGAGACAATATCAAACTTGGAGAAAAAAATGAGACTTTAATTTAAAATATGTGGACAGAAACTTCTCGATTTGCCCTCTTCCCCTTCGGGCAGGTGACGATGGAGTAAATAAACTTACCGAATAGAAGCAGTGTTCTGTGACAGAAACACGGGACGAGAAGCTCTCGTTGAAAGCAGTGATTGTCAAAGTCCTCTCGCGCCGATCGAGACAGTTCGTTTGATTGAAATACACATACTCCACGCCAATAATCTGCAGCAAAATGAAATTTTGGAAAAATTTAAACCTGCACCAAAATTACAAAATTTGCTGAACCACCCTTCCTTCCGATATCACGAAGATGTAGATCAGCCGTATCACAGTCCTAGATAATTCAGTATCGAGTACCATGTTTTGATGTTTTCGACAGTCACGTCATGATAACAACTGATCAACAGTACAACAAATTTCTATGCACGAGGAAATCAAGCAAGTTACTAGCCAAATTTACATTCGTGAGAGAACTGCGTTCACACAACCCACTGGTGTATTTCCTTTAAGTTAAAGATCTTTCTTGTTTAGCTACAATTCGGGTCAATACACTTACTTTCTTCAATAGATACGGAGCATCTACATCGAGTTTGCATCTCCTTTCGATGTTGTGTACCGCGCCGTCTTCGCTCTTATACTCTGACAAAATATCGCTGCCAAGAAACACTGGAATCATTTTGCAAGTAGGAAAACGCTTTTCGTAAGCCTGTAAAAAAATGAGTGAGAGTTCATAGATTACAACCGCGAAATTGATTCTCTAACGGTGAAGATTTATCAGTTGGGCAATTAGAGGCATCGTATTTACAACCAGACGCCGCCGGTCGCTGACTCAACTATTACACAATTAGTTCTACTTGAAGGCAATCACCAAGTGAACGTGAGATTACTAGTTTCATTAGCTTCGTATCGATAAAAGAGCTATTAAGTAGAATCAGTGTGATCGGATTGCGTAAATAAAAAGAGAGAATGATTCATCGAAAACTTCACCAAATGAATGAAAACGCTAAACTACTTACCGCCATGACTATCTCAAAAGGGTACTTATAAACCCTTACAGGCGACTGGTATTCTTGCACCATTTTAACTGCTAGTGGATGAAGCAAAAACTAAACAACGAGCTTTCAAACCAAAAACTGATTTTACAAGGCACGCCGGTGTTAACACACCACCGACATGTTTGCTTGCGTCTATACAGGAAGATGAAGATCGACAAGGAAACAATTCTGTGGGGTGGTGGGAGTAACAAGTGACGTCACTACTTAGTTACCACGCATTTCAGCAATGGCGGTGAACCCTGGTATCGTCTCGTGACAGTAACATTACCTTTCGTCGACTATTATTTATTTCCGCCACTTTCAAGATATTTGACATCTGCTTGCTTATGCAAGGTAGTGGTCTCAAGCAACCATATTCCCTCGGAAAGTCCTTGATTTCAATCGAGTGACCATATCACGTGAATAACAGCTTCCGTGCGTGTCACGTTCAAGAAAAGTGTCACAAGATTTCTCTCACAGAAGATTGAATAACTATAGCAACTTATTGCATAAGTAAGTTTGAACCGCAACTTGAAAGAGCCCCATTGGTTTCGGAGTTCAATTCAAACATGAGAGACCTCCAAGAGGAAGGATATCGCCCCGCACCAACGGAAAGCTCGCCTTTGCTACAAAGTGGGGCAACTAGAACGACCTTGACAGGCGCTAGAAAGAGCGACAAGAAACTCGATGCGGATAAACTCGTCAGAACTAAGGAGACAACCATGAAGTATCTTCATAAATACCTGCCAATAACTTCGTGGCTTCCGAAGTACTCGTGGGAAAGCCTTCTGAGGGACATCATTGCTGGGTTGACTGTGGGATTGATGGTGGTTCCGCAAGGATTAGCATATGCTACTATAGCTGGGCTTCCCATACAATACGGTCTTTACACTTCTTATATGGGATGTTTTGTGTATTGTGTGTTTGGTGGCAGTAAAGATATCACTCTTGGTCCCACAGCCATCATGTCCCTAATGGTTGATCGCTTTGCCAAAGAACAACCTCTCTATGCTATAGCTCTGACTCTTTATTGCGGCATTGTCCAGCTTTTGATGGGTCTTCTGCGACTAGGTTTCTTGGTTCGTTTTATCTCTCTGCCAGTCATAAGTGGCTTTGTGTCTGCTGCAGCTATCATAATTGGCTTTGGCCAGGTGAAATCATTGTTAGGATTAAAGAAAATACCAAGAGAGTTTGATAAAAATGTGTATGAAACATTTAAGAACATTGGAAAAACAAATCTGTGGGACTTTTTGCTAGGGTCATGCTGTATTGTGATATTATTAATTTTAAAGAAACTGGGTCGAGTCAAGTGGCAGGAAGAGGAGGATATGACCAGATTACAGCGAGGGTGCAGGAACTTCTTGTGGCTGGTTTCCATTGCAAGAAATGCCCTTGTTGTAATTATGGCAGCACTTATTGTGGCAGCAGTAGATTCTTCTGGACACACAGTCCCATTTTCCATGACAGCTGAAGTTCCTTCAGGAATTCCGGATTTTAAGGTTAGTTTCTTATGTTATGCAAACCCTTGAAGCAACATTGGCAGGCAAGTTAACAAACACTCTTTCTGACCCTATGGAAAGTAATTGGTGAGGTATAGAGAGGGAGAGGGAGGGGTTTAGGGGAAATGGGATTTGTCCAAAACTGTTTAAAACTGTTCATCAGCTTTCTGAGGAAAGGCTTTTTCTTTACCAGTAGGTACCTCAAAAAACAACCATGGTATAAACACAAAATGTTTGGTTTACAAAAGATTTAATTAGGGGTAATAATTTTCAAAATGAACCTGTAACCAGGTGGATTCATAAAGACATAATAATGTAACTCTAGGTAAAAATTTTGCATAAAACCTAAAAATTTGAAACCCTGATGTTTTGGCCAAAACTGTGGCCTTCATCAAGAGGAATGATGAGAACATTTTAAAAGCGTTCCTTGATAAAGTTTGCACAAAGTTGAAACACTCAAAAAACACTCTTCAGCTAACAAACTGTAGTGGTTATTCATGCTCTACACCTTTTAGATGTTCTTCCAATTGAAATGCAAATTTGCTCTTTGTCTCAGCAATGTATAATGAGTGAGTGTACTTTTCTGCCTGAGCAGAAATTACATGTTTCGTTTCTTTGGATAGGTCATCGTTAAGTTAAGAGTGGAATGTTTTAAGGGTGATCTTTCAAAATCTTAAGCCGAACAAAGTCCATCAGAAATCCACCCATATAGAGAGACATCTGTTGTTTCACTTGCATCACCCAGTCATACACAAGAAGACTATTGTCAAGACTTTAATCTGACCTAGTTCTACTGAATCTTTGCCTCCCCACCAAAGGCCAGACAGATATTTTGTTTAGATCAGGAGGCATCAGGGAATAAAATTAAAACACAGAGCTACATAAATTTAAAAAAAAATATGAGCTGGTAGTCTCTTGTGAAATCATTCAATATTTGGTGAAAATAACTTTTTTTTAATTGTTCTTTATGTTGCTCTGTTTAAATAATGTAACTATGAAGTGCACTGATTGGCTCTCTTGAAAGTGATTAGCCACATACAGCTCAGCAGCTCAAGAGTCATAATTGTGAATCAGGAGTTAAATTTCCAACCATTTTTTATATAAACAGAAATAAATTATTTTTTTATTCTTTTTGGTACATACTAAAACAATTATTCATTTCATTGTTTTGAAAAAGGTGGATAAATAATTACCTAAAAATAAAATACTTAATCATTGCTTAAGTGCCTTGGCCCAATTTTTAATATTTGCATGGTTAAAGATTTGTTGCGATTAGACATGTTAGTTTCTTGGATAAGGAAGATGAACTATATCTTCTCTGCACTTGTTAGCAGGGAACGTTAAAGAACCCATGTGCTTCTTGCTAAGAGTAGGGAACACAGCCACCAGTGTTGTGGTCTGACCTTCTCATTGTTTATTCAGGCTCCCATTTTAACCAGTTTTAAGAGCCCAGCTGGACCAGCCTGTTTAAATATTGCAAATGAACAAAGTAATTGAAAGAGGGCAAATCCCAGAGGATCATCAAATAGCCTGAAATGGGCAACAAAATAAACTAATTTAAGAGGTTTATGAGTACCACCAGTAAACTGTTTCTCTAACTGAACCCCTCCGATTCTTAAACTGTTTAACTTTCATTCGTTTTCTCACAAACCTTGGAGACCTGCTGATAAGGGGAATTAGGAAATGTGTTCTACTAAAACTTTGGATGAACATGTTTTCAAATCTTGTAATCACACTGGATGTGAGTCACATGAACCATGTTTAGTGTCTCAGCTATGATGCATGGTCTCAGTAAAACTGGTTGAAGGGTATCCAAAATTCTAATTGGAAGGTCGAAACTTTTCCTCCATTGGGAGCACTCAGTTGTTATCTAGAATACTTGCGGCGTTCATGACTAAGAATATCAGAATTTTGTGGCTTGATCACTGTTAAATTGGAAAAGTACCTTTTCACGGTGTACACATTCATATGTCAACAACAGCAAAAAAAACCTTGTTTCGGCTTGTGAAGATGTCACTTTTCATCATTTTATTCAAGTTGATTACATAATCCTAAGGGTTGAGTTACGAAAGATGGCCACATGACAAACTTTATATAATGAATCTGGTACAGCACGCGTAAGCAAACTTCCTGTTCATGCAGACAGTGTGAAACCAGAAAATATGGCCACATGACAAGCTACCTACCGTGTGTGCGAAATCACTTTTCTGTGTAGATAATGACTCCAGAAAATTTGGCCTCATGACAAAGTACATGCTGTGAAACTGTGAGAAACTGTGAGAAACTGTGAGAAATCATTCTTCCGTGCAGAAAGCACGACTTTGTTTAAAATGGCAACATGCAAACTACATTTTAGGCCGGAAACTATGTGCGAAATCTCTTATTAAGAAGTTAGGAAGTGACTCTATAAAAAATAACCACATGAGAAACTACAAGCTGTGAAACTGTGTGTGAAATTATTCTACCATGCAGAAACGGTGAATTCACAAAAATATCCACGTGACATTGTGCTGGGGAACCCCGTGTAAAAATTACTCTTCTCTGCAGACGGTGAAATCTCAAAATCTTACAGGATTTAAAAAGTGAAGGGAAAGACACTTCGCTTAGTCTGTAGATTTACATCATCATCTTGACTGCCCCCTTCACCTACAAAAAAAATACAGGTAAAACGAAATTTCCATCGTGGAAATTCGATCCATCTTACTTTTCACGTACTGTTGGAGATCGGCATAATTATTAAATCTTGATGACAACGCGAACTTTGAACTCCACGCTTAAAAAAAAACGCGACGAATTAAAGCGTTAGAGTGTTAAGTACAATAGGCTGGTTTTGTTTTTGTTTTTGTTTTTGCGAATTGACTGAGATGTTTAACAAATTAAACCACGCCTGTACTCACCCAACAGCAGTCATTTATTCACCTGTTTGCGTTGGAGACATCTGGTCCACTTCGAAAATTCACCTATCATGACTGCTGAGGAACAGTACATTTCCACTCAACCTTGCACGCGTACATCTCACGTGCAGGTCCCTTGAAAGAACCGCACTATACTACCACAACATGTTTTCGATGTTTTTTATGCTTAGTTCACGTACGCGTATGCAGATACATATATTTCTTACGTACTCGTGTGAAAACGCTGTTTCAAAAGTTTTTTCTGTCAAGACCCTCTCCTGCTATTTTTTTTAATTAATATTAAACAGGAAACGGTTTTCCATTTTTCTGCATTTTTCTTACACCAAAAGAATTCGATGTATTTGCTACACCCTTCTTTCAGTAGTTTTTTATTTTATTCGGATTTTTTGGATTGATGGCTGCATCGCATTTGTAGGACCACTCAAAGCCCTGATCTTTCTTAACAACGCCGGGTATTCTGATCGAGTTGGAAGAAATTATGGAAGAGAGTTGAAAGAAAAGAAAAGTAGATTCAGCTAAGAATTATTTTAAGAACAAACCTCATAAAAATTGCCGACCAATCTCTGAAAAGGCGGTTGGGTCGGGAAAGAGTTCGAATTTAGGAGAAAAAGCGGTTACGTAACTTGGTAGCCGTTCGTATACTAAGAAATGTGAAAACGTGTTTTGGTGAAGCGAAGATAACACAAAAACAAACAAAATGAGTAGACGAAGGAATTAACTTATTTTATAAAGGTGGTCAAATGAAGAAGAAGTGCGAATAACGTGGTTTGGTGGTGAGAAGTGATCAGCTGATTTGCAGCCTGTCTTTACGTCGCCAAAAACAAGAGGTGAATCACGTGAAAAGGATGGTTTTCAAACTGCCCATAAAATTATTGCATTATTGTCAGTGATTGCAGAAAGGAAAATTTTCATTCTGCAGAGTTCGTCAGCTCTTGTGCGGTGAAATGGCGGTGGAAAAAACTGGAAAAGAGGTGAGTACTAAAACGCCCACGAGTGACCTCACATCATACTAGAATTTCGTAGAATGAAAGTTTTCTGTTTTAGAAAAAAGCGTTCTCGAAAAATGCTATACGATGCTTTCAATTGACCGATGAAAGGTTAATTGTCGATTTCCAATCGGTTTTTTCCTTCGTTCCTTGAATTCTGCACAACTTGAACTCCTCTCGTTACTAAATATTGGATTTTAATGTATGCAAACATTGTCTCTCTGATTGTTTAGTAACGCCGGCAACCATGTGAATACATGAATAGTTCAATTGGACATGGTTGATTGGTGGGTTTTCCCAAATGACCTGCTTGCCGTAGGCTAAAACAAAATGCAGAAATCAAAACTTATACAACTCAGGTGATTACCGAGTTATTTCGCTGTGACCGGTTCAGAATTCTGCCGATGCCGTTCAGTATCATTCCGGTTCGAACGCCCGTCAGCGTGTCATTTTAACATGAGTTGCTCTGCTTTACAGGGGAAATGCATGGAACACTGTTCTCCATTACCGGTGAAGGCGTTTGTGAAGAAGCGCTTTCCAATCGCGTCTTGGCTGCCAGAATATAATCTTAGGAAGCTACAGTGCGACGCGATTGCCGGCTTAACTGTTGGTCTCATGGTAGTTCCTCAAGGTCTTGCTTACGCTCAACTGGCCGGACTGCCACAACAATACGGACTGTATTCGGCGTTCATGGGCTGTTTTCTTTACTGTATTCTAGGCACGAGTAAAGATATTACTTTGGGTCCGACTGCGATTATGTCGCTCATGGTATCCGCCTACGGGAAACCCGAAATACCTAATTACGTTGTCGCTTTAACTTTATATACTGGAATAATCTTACTCGCTATGGGCCTTCTTCGATTGGGATTCGTTGTAAATTTTATTTCGATTCCAATCGTGAGTGGGTTTACTTCCGCGGCGACCATAATCATCGCGTTCAGTCAGCTGAAAGATTTGTTTGGATTACAAAAAATTCCTCGTAAATTTACACAGAACGTGTACTACACCTTCAAGAATATCGGTCAGACAAAGAAATGGGATGTAACATTGGGGTTAATATGTATAATGATTCTGATAACCCTGAGGAAGGTTGGACGACTCGAGTGGGTGAGCCGCAAGGACTCGAGCGACTCCAGATGGTTGAAGGCGGCAAAAAAGGCGGTTTGGCTGATTTCAATCAGTAGAAATGCTCTCATTATTTTGATCGCTGCAGTTGTTTCTTCGTCTCTCTATCAGCATGGCCATAAAGATATTTTTACTTTGCCATCGCGCATTAAACCCGGTCTTCCACCTATGCAGGTAATTAAATGTTTGCTTGATATTTTTCATGATCATTTGAAGTGACACCTCATCGATGTAATTGCTCTACCGGTCAAGTATATAATTCGCTTCACAAAAAAATGTTAAACATTTCGTGATATAAGTGAATTTGATTTAATTCTCTACGGATGACTAAGGAACCTACAATGAGAATGTCACATCGACTGAGAGTTTTCGCGTGAATTCTCAAACGGTTGAAACGCTCATGCTCTCGGTCAAATTTTTAAATGGAAGGTAAGCAAAGTCTCTTTCGCGGCCTCTGATTGGGCAAAAGCTTAGGAATTCTTCCAAGCGCGCGAAAAATCCCTTGGAAACGCTAGCGATCGTCTGTTCCAAAAGTGAATTTTTTTTCATTCAGAAAGTAATTATTTCACATGATCTTGAAGTGTTTTGGCTAACTACACGTTTAAGCTAAATGTAAAATACCAAATAGTATGTCCAGAATTATGTCACTAAACTTTGCATTTGCCTAGCTACTAATTTTAATAGTTTGTACAACTGACTTTTCCCAATTAAAACAAAGTGAAGAGCAAACAAATAAAATAAAGTAACAAGTTATGCTAATTCCAATTTTTTTTTTACAATTACTGTTTTCCATCATTAACCACAGATTCTAATGATTTGAAAAATTTGACCAGGTGATCGACATCTGTTTATGATTGTTTTGTGTTGTTGAATTTTTTTTTTCCATTGATCTTACATTTAGTATAAGAAAATACAATTACTGACAGAAGGAATAATTTCCTTGAAGCATTCATTCACAGTATTTGAAAACAAATTTTCTTTAGTAATCTCTTGCAAGCAACCTTTGAAGTCACACCTTAAAATTTTTATATTCCAATTTGTGGATTAGGAAGCTTAGCGTATGAAGTTTAATGTGAAAGTGTTTAAATGTGTTTATTCTTATATTTATTTTTTTTTTCTAATTGCAACACATATGTACAAAATTGTATTTATTAATAGTCAAAAGCAATGTGACTCTACATCACCATCCATAGATTGTTCTTAGAATTTTATTCTTCCGTTTTTTTTTCCTTGCAAATGCTGCATGATGATTCTTTTACTTCCTTTCGCCTTTTAAATTTAGTAGCAAAAATCAATTACCTTTGATACACCCACTGATAATTGCAGTGATGATGTAATAGAAAAAAAGCAATAAGAAAAAAGGAATATTCCAGTTTAACAGCATGTAGCATTAGCATATGGCATAAGTATATAAATTTTTTTTTTAATTTTGGACTTGCTTGGAATTTCTAAAAAAAATCTGATACTCCAAGATATTTGAAGTAATTTATCACTGGAAATTCTGTGAAAATTGTTCAACTCTTGGGCATACAGCCAGTGGGTAGCTTTTATATGTTAATAAATTCCTGTTTGGCCTTTTCCCCTTTTTTTAATTTTGCTTTTAACCTTTTTTCTATGACAACACCATTGCAACAGGGTGTATGCATATATTAATTTCAAGGTTTTAAGATAGGATCTTTTAACTTGGAGAATGTACATAATAACTACAAATTCCTTCATCTGAACTTATGAATTTTATTGACTATAGAGAGAAAGTGAGAAAATGGTTTTGAGGTCTCAAATTTGAGAGCTGCTTGAAAATTTTTACTGGGTACAACACTTTTGTGAATCATTATTAGTGAATTGGTATTCATGATTACTACATGTCTATGGCATGCACATGAATTAAAAAAGAGGAGAAAAGGTGTATGATTAATGAGAAACTCATAGACCATCTTGCTTGCAAACATAGACCCTACCACTTCTAAGCAAATTATTATTACATAAAACATCACTAACTCTTTTAAGTATTCCTGAAAGAAGAAAAGTATGATGATTGAAATTCAGTAAATATGAATAAGGGAGAATAACAAATATCTGTGCTATAACTATGTAATTACATTCAATGAAATAATGGAGATGAATATTTTGTATATACTGAAGAAGTCTTCCTGAAAAGCCCCATCCCTATTGACATCACTTCCCTTTTAACACAATTTAACCCTCTAACTCCTAAGATCTTATTAGTAATTCTCCTTACTGCCTGCCAAATGATTCTCAATATGTTAGCTTGAAGAGTTTAGTAATCCCGTAATTGATATTTTTCTTTATTCTCATCACTTGTCTGCATGATATTGTATAGATATGGTAAGGAGAAATTCTGTCTTGGTCACTCATGTGAGTTAAAAGGGTTAAAAAAGGATGGAGATAAAAGATGCTGGGTAATGTGTTAAGGGCTATCCTGCAGTTTTTGCAAAAGTGAAAACAGCATTAAATGATGATTCTTTGTACCAGAAGGGGCAGGTGGGGGGAAGGGGGTGAGTGTGGGAGAATCTATGGGGAATAGGAGGGGTATAGAAGGGGTATGGGAGAGGAAAGGGTCAAGGGGTGAAAGTAACAAGGTTAGGGGTGTGGGAGAATCCATGGGGAATGGGAAGGTTATGGGATAGGAAAGGGCATAAGTGATTCTAGTAACTGGTGAGACAGAAGTTGAAGGTGTGAGAGGTTATTGGTTATTACAGGGTACTGTCACTAGTACTCTCACAGTTTCAAAATATCAAACTTCATTTTCTTTCTTTAAATTTTACAGGCACCTGCTCTGAGCTTTCAAGTTGGCAATGCCACAAGAAGTACTCTGGAGGTGTTTAAGGACCTGGGACCTGGTCTAGCTGTGGTTCCCCTTATTGGCTTTCTTGAGAGCATTGCAATTGCCAAGGCTTTTGCTCGCAAGAATCGCTACACAGTGGATGCTAGCCAGGAGCTGATTGCCCTTGGTGTTGCCAATTGTCTCAGTTCATTTGTATCCTCCTATCCAGTGACTGGAAGCTTCTCTAGGACTGCTGTGAATGCTCAAAGTGGAGTGGCAACACCTGCAGGAGGTTAGTTTCCCAGTCAATACCAATTTTTCATGGATTTTTTTCTTCTATAATAGCAAGCCACAGGTTTCCGTTGGTAGTAAATCATCAACCTTCTTTTTTATAATTATAACCATAACTTTCAAATTAAGACTTGAACCCAACAGTTAATCTGTCGAGTGTTACTTTTGGTTCAGTATCCTATAAGGGCCTTTCCACACAAGCAAACAAAACAAGAATTCTTGAGACAAAATCAAAGGACAAATTTTGCCATGTTTTGCCAAGTTTTGTTTTGTCTGTTGCTTCTGCATTAAGAGTTTCAAAGCCGTCAAACTCTGTCAGCACCTGACCTGTTCAGAAGATCAGCCAGCATAGTTTGGCAATGGATTCCACCTCCAATTTCCAGGATTTATCCTAAGTCCTGATTTTATAATCCCTTAGTTTTGCAACAAAAGAAAATTTTTGCCTCTTTAGTAAACTGATTTCACTTCAATTACAAGCTATTTGTAACTTTTACAACAAATGCTCAACAAGTTTATCACAGTTCTTTTTATTTAATCGATTTTGTCCAGTTGTTACTCAGGACAAATTTTGATGGTGGTGTGTTTGAAGATTTGTCTGCTTCAGCCCAAATTTGTCATGTCATGGCAAACCATCCGCACTTGTAAAATGTTAGTGATGACAGAATATTTGTCTAAATAAACACCATTTTCACTAGTGCAAAAAGGCCCCTATGTTGAGAATTTTTTCATTCTCCAGGATTTGGCAAATTCCCAAATAATTAAGTATAATTAAGTGGGAGATATGATGAACAGATGGGTAATTCTGAATTCTGGATTGATGGGGTTAGGTCAAGCTCCGGTCATGGCCTTGAGCGAGACTCTTTCTCCTTTTGATGTTCTACCACTGGTTGTTCAAAGGTTGAATAACACTCTCCACTAGATGAATCTCTATCCAGTGGATACAGTGGCTTGACCAGGGTTGGGTCAAGCTCTGGCCATGGCCTTGAGCAAAACACTTCCTCCCTTCGATGTTCCATCCTGGCCCAGGTTGTTCAAAGGTTGTGTAACACTATCCACTGGATAGTGTTTTAACTGTTATTGGCTCTTTATACAACTGGACCCTGTAGTATAAATCTAAAAAAGAAGGAAAGTCTAGCCTCAACCCAAGCAGCTCATCCAGCCAGAGTTTTATCCTAACTTCTGTATTATGAAGCTACTCGGAGTGTTTCTTCCTTGCCCCCTCTGAATGGGATAGCTCTCAACTGCAGGTTATCCTGGGTCCTCAGCATGCTAAGCTTTGGGCCACCACCCAAAAAAAAAGAAATTCTTAAAGGGAACAAGGTGAAATATTGAGTACCTATTCACCTTTGAGTAGCAATATTGTCAGTTACTTATGCCTCAGAAACTGAGATACCTCCTGGCTTCTGTATCCTGGTTAGTCCTGTATGTAGGCTGAAATTGATGACTTTTATTCATGTGGTTCCTTTCAGGGATTTTCACAGGTGCCATTGTTCTCTTAGCACTTGGGCTCCTGACAGACTCCTTCAAGTATATTCCAAAAGCATCCCTTGCAGCACTGATCATGTCATCAGTGGTAACCATGATTGAATATCACATTGTGCCAAACATCTGGAAAGTGCGGCGCATAGACTTGGTGCCTTTGGCCATCACCTTCTTTGGCTGCTTTTATGACATTGAAGTTGGAATTTTGGTTGGTATTGCAGTTGCATTGTGCATTCTCCTGTATTACGTGGTCTGGCCCCCCATTACCAGGGTCGCTAGAGGAGACTATGTGCTTCTAAAAATTAATGGAAATCTCAGCTATCCTGGCGTCGAACATCTGACCAATGAGATACAAGAAGTCACAGCTGCTGAACCTAGCCCACCTGGAATTGTAATTGATTTTTCAGTGGTCACAAGCATTGACTTCACAGTCACTCAAGCCCTTCTGACAATTCTGGAAGAGATGGAAAACAAGAGAATTCCTATGTTCTTCTCTGGTGTCCTGGACAGTGTGCGAAATATGATGATCTCCTCTGGGATTGATTCAGGCATTATTAATCAAGGCACACAAGCTGTCATTGACTCCATTAATTCTTTGGAAATAGTTGAAAATTAAATCAATATTGAAGCATCATTTCTCTCAATCCAGGGTAATGAAGTTTTAGGAAACTATTTTGCTTACAGATTAGGCAAATGAAACACCAAACTTTTGATGGATCCTTTAAATGACAACGGCTGATTTATAACACTTTATATGGCAAGCTTTTAGGGGTATCCATTCACACAAAATATCACTGGAATTACCAGCACATTTATTGGGTGAAAGGTTTCTGGGCCATACAAGTTTGCAGTATTGTTAGGAGACATTTTGATACTTTTTGATGATGAAGAGCATACTTCTTTTTCTTATTGTTGGAGCTCAAATGTTCCTTACCTCAGACAAATTTTCAAATATAGGTTCATGTGTTAATCCATTTCTTTTTTTTTTTTTTTTGTCTTACCAAGAGAAAACAACTGCAAGTCTTCTACTAAGGGCAAGCTGATTAGTTGTGTAAGTTGTTTAAAAGGACCACAAGAGTTTAAAAATTTCAAAGTTTGTCATTGTTTTGGAAATGTAGAGGTTTCATTGGTTTAGTTAACTATTAAGTAGGTTAGTCGGAGTGAAATATATTTAGATCATTGTTAAATTTCATTACAAAAACCCAGAAAATTATTCATAATGTTATTTAAAGACATAATTTACCAATGATTTTGCTTTCAATTCGACACATAAGTTATTTAAAATATATGCCACTGTGCAGAAAGACAGAGTTGGTCTTTAGGTATAAGAAGATAAAACAAGCACCTCAAAAGACAATGTGCTGAAAACTTGTCAACAGATACTACAGAAAATTTAGTATGAAAGAAAAAAATAATATCACATATTACAGTCATTAAAAGGAAAAGAATGGTAATAAGCCCTGTACAAAATGTTGATTTGTGAAAAGTCAAATTAAAACAGTGCAATGTATGAGCAATTATTAAATCAATATTGAGTGAAAATCAATCAAATTATTAAATCAATATTGAGTGAAAAAGGAAGGTTTTGAAGAAAAACAATCTCTATTTCTTGAAAACAGGCTAAAGTTCAATAGTTTTGTAATAATTACTGTGACATTCCTAATTTCTCCTCTCCAAAGTTAGATTAGTTATGAACTTTTCCAAAGGTCAGGCAGGCTAACTAATCAAAAGATGCAAGGCAGAAGAACAGAAATATGGTTAATATTGTTTTAATGATTGCACAATATTTGGTTTGGATTAAAAAAATATATATTTTTTTAAATTCAAAGCATACGTAAGTATTAAAATGCAGATCTGTGCTCAGTTGTGTTAAATCCATTATATTATTCATCAAATATATATTAGATTGTGTGAATCATTCCATTTATATTTTTGGTGGGAATAGAGACATATTTTGGTTCAAATAGCTACAAAATAATTTTAGGGATGTACTTTATTAGAAATGTTTAGGTAAAAAATTTTGTACCACAAATTAGTTAATCCTATTTGATGTTGGAATTTATTTCATACATGAATCACAGACATAATAATTCATATTGCTTCGTAAATACTCAATAAATTTATTGAAGAGTTGCAGAAACAGTAGCAATGAAGTATGTCTACTTAGCTAGATAATTGGATAATGTTTTGTGTTGAATGAAATGCAAAGAAAATGTATATTGTAATTTAAGGGCATAGGGTTGAAATAAAGTGAGGACATGACATTTATCTTTTATTCCTCTTTTTCATTCAGCTTACCCTTTGACCCCTACAAGTGACTAACATCTAATTTCTCCTTACAATATCACTCCTGACTTGAATACTAAGGTCACATGAACAAAAGGAAATTTTTACCTACTAAAGAACTTCTTGATTGTTGAACAAATTCTCCTCATCAGTATCTTATGGAGAATATGCATACTAGTGTTTGGATGTAAAGGATTACCAAATTTTGTGGTAACTGATGAATGCACCCCATTGCAAGTTTGCCCCCAATCACTTTTGTGAGTTTGTCCTCGACTTCGCCAGTTCACCCCTAGTAACTCAATTCTTTTTTTTTAATTCCTTTCATCACCATGAAACAACTTACAAATGGTAGCTTGGGTACACACTGCTAAACATAGTTTGGATACTCAAATCATACAAAATATGACCAAAACAATTTTTTTCACACTTATAAACATGAATAAAGATGAAACTTTTATTGTTTCTTTATGTTTCTTTCATGTTCAGTCAAGTGGCTTGCCTTGTGATTAGTTGATAAAACACTTACAACATTTAAGTGTCTGTCAAGAGTGTTTTTGGGTCAGTGGGAAGTTCAAGGATGAAGCGAGATAGCTTGTTCTTAAAATTTGGTGTGAACAAAAGAACAAAATTGTGTCAAACCCACAATATTAAGACTGGAGTAAAAAAGCGCCCTTTCTTTAATAAAGTGCTTATAACACGGATGGAAATTTGCATGTTGAACGAAAATTGTTATGGTTTTGCTGTGAAAATTACATGTTGGTGGCAAATATATCATGATTTTGATAGGGAATTAATATTTTCTATGGTAGGGAAACAACTTAAAAGATTTGGGGGGAACTGGTGAAAGTGGGGGTGAAATTGTGCTTTTCAAGGGAGACATTTTTTTTTTAAATACGGTCCGTTAAGGAGCAAACATTCACCATAAACCAATTTTGCTATGAACTAAACCATCTTCATGGTAACATTTTATACCGACACTTGATGTTGGCATCATGGAAGAGGTGCAATTTACAATATTTACATTTCAAGGTACAGCAGAAGAATGAGATCAGATTTCAGAAAATGAATTTTAACAACTCACTTCATTCTGATCCAGTCTCATATTTCATATTTTTCATAGCTTAATCAAACAGAACATCACCCAGAAAAGGTAATATAAATATATGTACAGCAAACTAATTTCAGACCCGCCCCATGACAAGGATAACTTTTTTACAGTCGGGAGCTTCTTAAATTGGCAATCATTTCTGTTATTCTCATGACCTTTAAATTTGATTGAAGAGTGATACTGTAAGGAGAAATTAGAAGCCAGTCACTCTAATGTGGAAGGACGTTTTTATCTCGTACTGGAACCTCCCCAAGCCCAAAAACAAATATGGTACTCCGCTATGTGCAAACGGAACCATGAAAGGAAGCCTATACCTGCTCTCAGTTCTTCGCGTCTGCTTACGAGTATAATTTTCCACGGGATAAATGCCCATCCGTAAGCTCTTTCTCAAAAGTAGTGCTCGATTCTTAAAAGGTCGCACTACGGTAGTACCTCACCTTTCTTGTTACCACCTGTTTCCTCATAGGACGGATAGATTGCGTGACTGTATGCGTCCAGGCCTGGTACGCGTCGGTAAACTTCGTTTCTTTTCGTGCATTCTTGACACTCTCCGGAGAGTTCCATACGATAGCAATCCCCGTATGTAGAGCTGCCGACGTGGCGGACATTTATTGAGAGGCCTGCGTCTGAATCAAACACTCTGCTCGCGAAACCTACTTTCGTGCAGTTGACTGCCCGTTTTATTTTAGGATCTTTTGACCATATGCGAGCAGGATGAACATTTTCAGACTAGCTGGAGATCTCTCACATCTTCTGGCCATTCTAGTGTTATTATGGAAAATATGGAAAACAAGATCGTGCGCCGGTAAGTTAAAGACATCCTTTCAGAAATTGAACTAAACATTTTTCCTGTCCTTTTTCACGATAAATTTCTTGAGGGACATTTATCAGAATATGGCTCAACAAAGGGGTTTGCGTTCGCTAATTTTAACTGCTTTTTAGTTCTATAGTGAAGTAAGACGCCAAACCTCTGCAATGAAACACTTGTCTACATGTTTGTTGTACCAAGGACTGTTGTCTAATTTTTGTACACGTGTAACAACGGTACGGTGGCTTGTGTTTCATTTTGAGGAGCGATCGTTATAACCAACGTCTATGGAAGTAAAGCTTTATTATTTCACTGATACAGCTCTACTGGTCAGAGTAAATTTCTCTTTGATCTTTATTTCGAACACTGAATTAAGATCTCCACGTCCTCAATAAACCCTTTGTGCTACGCCTGACTGTTTTTGTGAATAGCAGTCTTGGGATCAAATATCATTTATCATCCGTGGAAAGGCTTCGGTGTCACTCAATCACTCACCAAGAATTTCAGCAGTTTTTCTGGACGATGTTCCACAAAGAGGGACTGTTATTAAACGTATCATGAAACAACTATCCATTTTATCAATTGTCTGAATGAGCCTTTGGCTTCAAATCTTCAATGAACGCTGATTATTTCCCTTAACTTCTAAATGAATAATATTATACTGCAAAATAATTAGATGGTATTAGCAGTTTTTGTGTGTGTTGAAATCATACCCTTTATGAGCCAAAAGCTACCATTTATTTTTCCCTGAAACTAAAGATACCAGGGAATTATCCCCTGTAAATTAAAATTTTAGCTGATACAAAAATTTGTTTCTTTGTTACAATTTTCTCAAATGGAAAAAAAGTAGAGTAATTATTATCAATTTATTGTCAAGACAGTGAGTGAGAGAAACAGATGAGGTAGTATTTCTCAGAGCAGAGAATTCAACACGCTAATTTATTGCCAAGTATGCGGATATTTCAAGAAAACTTTGGCTGTAAATATATTTTGATATTTGGAGAAAGTGTTTACCTCTGTAATTCTGGGTCGTCTAAGAACTAATAAGCTGATTTCCTCTTTTGACTGAATTGTGTACAAACATTTAAAAATTGGTAATTTCTAAGAAATTTATCTTTTTTTAAACTTTTTTGGGACCACTCAGTTGTAATTTGAAACATTTGACAGAACTTGTCAATAGATTTTTCCTTTTTTTCTATTATATTTGTAAAAATTACAGAATCATATCCACATCTCTTGAGAATAATTTAGATAATTGATAAATTTTAGAAATTTAGAGTTCATTACCTTGCTAGAAAATTAGTGTTGTGTGGTACAGTAATTCTCTTTCTGTAGAATGATAAGAGCAAGGGATTCTTTACAAATGTATTCTTGCCAATGAACTATGGTATTGTAACTAACATGGCAGAGGCTTGAATAAAAGCTGGTTACTGGCAGTTACCACTGCCTGAAGACCTTTTACTGGCATCTGTTTAGCATGCAAGGAGGCTCTGGTGCTTGCGTTTTGCCTCACTGCCCCTTTTTCTGGACACGGCTGATTAATACACCATCAGCAGCAGTTTATTGTAAAAGTTATTGAAATCCTAAGTGTAGTCCCTTTGCTGCTATGGAGATTTTGGATATCGGATATTTCCATTAACACGTACTTCTTGTATTAAACACCAAAATACTTTTTCCATCAAATGTTAAATTTTTTTCCATTTTTTCAGGTTTGTCAGGCAAGAGTCAAATACTTTTTGCCTTAGTGTTCAGCACACGGTACCTTGATCTGGTTTTGACATTCATCTCAGTATATAATACTGTGATGAAGATCATCTATCTTGTGTGTTCGTTTGGTACTGTTTACCTGATGCTGGTCAAGTTTAAGGCAACATATGACTCCAACCACGACACGTTCAGGATCGAGTTCCTGCTTATTCCTGTGGCTGGTCTGGCTTGTTTAGTAAACCATGAGTTCTCAGTTCTGGAGGTAGATTAAGTCAAATAATAAGATAAACTAACAAATTTTGGTATTGTAGGATGTACATTGCCTTAAAGGCTTTTCACTTTGGCAGACCAAAGCCTTTATTCAATCAAATTCACTGACTTTAAAAGAGTAACTTGTCATGTTTGTTATAGACTCACTCAGCTATCCACATGGAGAAGAGGTCTTCACATTTCACAAATGTCTTCTTGACTTAACACATCACCAGCAATGCCAAAAAAAAAATTGAACTTATAAACTATATTTGTAGGTCATAATGATTAACTTTTACTACTCTAGCTATCTGCTTCATCTTTTATTTATTTTTTTAATTTTTTATTTATAGTTTTATTCATCTCCTTTTAGCTGGTTTGTTTTTATTGATATTTTGATTATTTTGAGTATATTTTCTTTTTCTTTTTTTTAAATCTTTACTGTAATTACTGCAAGTAGACCTAGATTATAAATTAATAACTTAATTTATTGAAAGAATCATTTTAAATTAATGTAATGATGTTTAAAATCTCAGCTTGAAGGTAGCAGAAGAGCTGGATTTTGACAAAATGTCTAGACTTCCAAATTACATGTCCTTTTCAGTGCAAAGTAACTTTGGTAAAACACTTGTGGCTTTAGCCCTTTAAACCCTAAGAGTGACCAGCATCTAATTTCTCCTGACAGTAATACTGTTGAATGATTCATTAAGACCATGAGAATAACAGAAATGATCATCAACCTAGGAAGCTTTGAGTGATAAATGAATTCTCCTTGTCAGCACCAAAGGAAATCAATAAATTAAGAGTATAGAGAATATAGTTACTGATGTCAGGGTGTTAAGGGTTAACTTTAGGCTCTGTCAGATGAGACATTACGATTTAAAACTAGTTACCTCTTACTTTATATTTAAAATTAATAATTAAGAATGAACTACAACAGTAATTCTTGAGAGAGAAAAGGGTAACAAAAAAAAACTCAAATCCAAACAGCTACACTTCCTCCCATTTCAAAACATGATTGAAGTACAAGGAGTTTACAAAGCAAAATCATTCATGCATACATCCTTTGTTTTTTTAAATTAATTTGGTATTTACATGTATTTGTTTGTTTCAGTACCAGCAATGGCAAAAATTACCACTTCCCCCATTCCAAGTTGCTATCGAGGCAAGTTTTTTGACTTGTCTTAAAAATCAGTTTTTCCATTTTTGTTAACAACTAGTATCGAGTAACTGATAACATCGGAACGATGAACTTTTAACTATAACAATAACGACTGATAACATTTCAATAATCACCCATAAAATATTAACTAATCACATTCTAGTAGGACCCTGCACCTATGAGATTCATGTGTAGTGTAAAAAAGAGTGTAAGACTGCTTTTTCTGTGTGTTCAGTAGGTTATTAGGCTTACCAGCTGTTTTGCTTGGAAAAAGATTAAACCTAAAATCAGAGAAAGCTTATGAAGGAGCTCTAAGGCAAATAGATTTGCAAGATCTTCCGCAAAACTTGGAGTAATAGAGAAATGAAACTTTTTGTGAGATAAGAGTGTTATGCTTGTTCAATTGAAATAGGCTTATGATTAACACCATCAAATATAAAATCACAACTTGAGATGATATTCAAAATTGGATTGGAGTAAAACCTGCTGAAGACTGTAGGGAGTCCAAATGATTTTCTAGTGGCTGTCACATTGGATGACTCATGAAAAAGAAATTTCTTTCATGAAAGGAGGATGTGTGAGATACTTGAGTTCAAGATCATGGGGTCCTACTGAATAACATTTGCACATAACCATCATTTAACAGAACATTCAATACAGTTTTAATAGTCACTGTAATTCCTTTTGTTTTTTAACATTTTGCTGTAAGGGCTAATCCTGGTTTGGTGATTCATGAATTTCAATAACTTTCACTAATAACAACTAAAGGACAATTGAAACTTTCTTCACAATCATTTAATATTTTCCACTTTTAATATCAGGTTCACTTGTGAATTTTTTGCATTTAACCCTTAAACTCCCTTGAGTGACCAAAACAGAATTTCTCCTTACATTATTAATACAGTATCAAACAGGCAAATGATTAGAATAAAGAGAGGTATAAAATAGGGGATTATTAGTTGACCCAAAAGCAAGCTCTCCAAAGTAACATAATTAGAATTGTACAGATGATGGTAAGGAGAATCACAAATGAGATCTTGGGAGAGGAAGGGTTAACTCAAAAAAGAACGTTAATGGTTACTCAATCTGTTAGTTCATCTTGTGTAATTGTCTGGTGAAAGTAGGGCTGTTGTTGGTGATAGTAACTTCTTTGACTGGCAGCACAGGGAGATTTAAGCAGTAGAGTTGTATTCCAATGAAGTGGGATTATTTCACATAAACTTCAGAGATGTTCTCTACTCAGGTTGTGAAAAACATCCAATTGCCATCAACAGGTGTACCTTAACCAGGAAAATAACACCAAAATAAAATGAACTACTGTGTACAAGTGTTTTTAGGGTGCTAGGGTAGATGAAACTATTTTATGTATAGTCATTACAAAGATGATTGAAACACTTATAACTGCCTTAGCTTGAAATCTTTGGGAAAGAATATATTTTCCCATTGTACTAAATTCCGCTAATTTCAGTCTGGTATAAATGCACAACACTCCTAGAAACCTAGTTTTGTCTTTATAATTATCACTTCATTTTCAGGAGTAGTCTTAATTTTTGTACTTGCTCATCACATTTGAATATTTAGGTTTTCACAGACAAAATGGAGGTTTAGGACAAGAAGAGGCTTTTTGGTGATAAGAAATGCCTCCTTAACAACAATTTCCTTTTCAACTGCTTTTCTTACACTATTATCAAAGGAACTATATTGTAATCTTATTGAAGCAGATTAACTCTCTCTGTAGATCTTGTGGACCTTCTCCATCTACTTGGAGTCAGTAGCCATCTTGCCCCAGTTGTTTATGATATCAAAGACTGGTGAAGCTGAGACCATCACCAGCCACTATTTGTTTGCACTTGGTGCTTACCGTGCTCTGTACATCATCAATTGGATCTACCGATACTATTTTGAGGGATTCTATGACTTTATTGCCATTGTAGCTGGATGCGTACAAACAGCGCTTTACTGTGACTTCTTCTACTTGTATATTACCAAAGGTAAAGATGAGTATACCTTTTACCGAACTTGATCTTCAGCATTAAGAGTTCAACACATACTTTTTCAAGTTGGGAAGAGCAATGCCTTTATATTTCACTTGGGAAATCATTTCTGATTCGAACATCAAGATCATAAAAAAGGAAATGTTCACAAACCCTTCACAAGCCCTTGATTCTCAAACAAATTCTCCTCTTCATTACCATAGGAAATGTATAGAGAACAGTGTGGAGAATTAGCAAACTAATATACAGGTGTAAACGGTTAAACTGCAGAAAAGCCAATCTGAGAACATTTGAAATCAAGAGATGTCCCCTACACCCCCTTCCTCTTAAATGTGTTGATTTACCTCTTCTACTTGTCTCTTTCCTTTAAGTGAGTGTCACAAAAAAAAAAGTTTCACGACAACTTAAGTTTGCAAAGAGAATGATTGTATGTTGATGATGATAGCATTTACTTGATTTTGCCACTTCTACACAAAGAAATATCCACACTTCCTTTATGCAGGAGACTTGGCAGATTGTATAAGAGACTGGGTGGTTTTTTTTTGTTTTTCTGCAAGATTGTATTGTAATCAAGGGTAACTAGCATTTGTGAAGTAGTTGCGATGTATTTTTCCGTGATTGAGTTGACTAATAAGATAATAGTCTTCTTTCATATCCACTTTGATGTTGTCTCAGAGATAACACATTCCTCTATCATATTTCCTCTTTTATAGTTCTTAAAGGAAAGTCTCTGAAGTTACCAGCATAAAATGACAGGAAAGAGACCTTTGGTTCATCCGAGCAAGATGACAATTTGCTAGTAAACTTGCAGAAAACATATCACTGTAATTTTTAGTGTAACATTAATTAATTCCATGAGGTGTCCAAGCTGTTTTTTCATCTGAATATTTTTGTAGTTTCGTGGTTGGTGTTTGAAAACTGTGCAGTTGGAGTGTTTAACTTGAGCAAACTATTACATGGAAAGTCTTTATTGCAGTTGTATGTTTAACTCCATTTTTTAGCAAGTGAATAAGTTGCTTTTCAGTGTAATCTTATAAAGAAATCAGAAATGATTAACTTAATCGAGAAAAACAAAGAAAGTATAGTTAACAACAAACACATTGCATAATCTTCATTTGGAATTATTTGCATGCTTACAGAGATTGCTATATCAAGCAGGTTTATGTCATAGAGGACAAATTTATTATTGCTTAAACCTTTAAGTATCATTATTAATTTTTTTTTTCATCCATTTTCATTCCTTGCTGGTCTTGATAATTATTATGCAAACAGTAGTAAGAACCAGTAATTTGGAAACAATCCAATTAAGTTTTGGAACTGGAACATTAAAGACAATTCAAGTTATTCTTTGCATGGAAGCCAATGCAGTCATACAAAGAGGAACATTTTCATGTCATCCTAATCTGAGAGAATTTCAATCAGCCCAGGAAAATTTGGAGGACCACACCAACTAGCTGTCTACATGTTTTCATTAAAATTATTTTCTGTTGCAGAAATCCATGATAACACAGTTTTTCTCTTCCTTTATTAATTCAGGAATCACTTTATCTGAAAATAACTGTGTATTTAATTGAGTCAGTAGGGTTTGAGTGTAATATTTTTTTTAGAGGGTCTTTTTAATACTATCAGTGTTAGATATTAATGTTCTATTAATATGTAATGCTAATAAATAACTTCAAGTGCTTTGGTCCTCCAATGTTTGATTGTCTTTCTTATAATTAAGCAATTACATATAGATTTAAGTTAAAGTTCTTATTTTATAAATGATAAATAGACCTATCTTACATTTCTGTCCACCAGTCCACTTCAGGGTTAATGGGCAGTTAAGATATCTTGGTCTTCATCAATCATGTAACCAAAATTAAACTTAGTGGAGATTATTGGGATAACAATCTCATATTCCATAGAAAAGTTTTCTGTGCAAATTTGTCACAACCTTGCCTTGCTTTACATTTACTGAGATACAGATGAACCTGCCACTGGATAAGCACACTAAAAGATTTCACTAAGTTTGCCCTTTAGACTCCATGGAGTATGGAAGAAATGAAATATGTAAGTCTTCTCAAGAGTGGATGTAAAGTGACGAGGGCGTATTTTGAGCCAGGTGGAGAAAAAGCCCATCAGATGGATTCCATTTATACCACCTAAACAATGTAGACTTGGAAGTTGGCAAGTGTTAGTGTAAAGTTGCATTTGAATGCTGCTTTACTGTGGTGAGAGCTTTCATCAAATGAAATAAAACTAGAAAAAGCATATTTTTATGCTCTTGGTGTATCTAACCATACCAAACCCAGAGAATTGTTCCCACGAAAATGAGAGTACGTTAAGACAAGCAATGACAAACCAACTAAATATGCATGTATCTGGATCCCCCTGCTTCCAGACACCACTCACCTCAACCTACTGAAAATAATGCCTTCTACCGCCGCAGAGAAAGAACTGGGAAGGGTCGTGTCCGAGAATGAATTAAGGATTGTCAGGAATTCATCCATAAAATAAAGCTTTTTGAATAATGCTTTGTTTTCGCTACAGTTAAAGAGCTCAGGCTTACGTCTTACTCTCTTCCCCCACGTTTCTCTCTTAACCCTTTCCACCCTAACAACAGTATGCATACTTTCCATGCTGTTCTTTAATCACTTCCTAAGATTCCGACATGGAGAATTTGTCTAACTGATCAAGAGCTTCTTTGGTCCGTGATCAGCTCCTTTATTCTCCTGACCTTAATGTGTGATTCAGGGGGTATGGTAAGGAGAAATTATATGTCAGTCACTGTTAGGGGTTAAAGGGTCAAGGCGCGCACTTCTTTTTCTCTCGCTTCTGAATGCGAAATACGTGCTTTGGACAGGCTTCAAGAATGGCGGACACCTAATAAGGCGTGGCAACTAAGCAATCTCCGAGAAACTCCTCTAGACAGATGAGTCACGAGACATATCTAGTTTCGATGGTTAACCGTTTCGATACGCTTTCACTTTTCACGATGATCCCTTCCTCATATTTTTGACGGAATACTACCTCATTCCAAATGACATTTTCCCTGAAAAACATCGACGATGCAGGATTTGGGCTTCGGGAAGGCTCGAAGTTGGAGAGTTTTCTTAACCGGAAATCAGTTGCCGACCATCTCGAAACCAACAACGAGTTAGTGAACGTTTGGGGAAGCTGTGGTCATGTCTTTGTCGCTACTAACGCTGGCCGAAACTTGCACGCTTTTGAATCCATTCCTCGAGCTAAGTGGACACCGGAGAGTGAAAGTCTTCTTTTACAAGGTTAGGGGGTTGAAAAGTTCTTTGTTGACAACGCGTGGTATTATGCCATAATGGGATGTGGCAATGTCATTTTCATTTGAAGTATTCGTTCGAAGTTGTGTATTTTATAAGGCCACCTTGGGTCCTGTACGTTAATTTTGACGCCAGGGACGTGTTGTATTTCTTCCGATCGTGAAACTGGAGAGGAATGAAACATTTTCTTTTCTTTATTTTGAAACAACTTCAAATGAACTCTTTAAATTCTCCTCCATCCAAGAAAATACGACAGAGAACCCAACAAAACTTTCGTTAGGGGTGTATGAGCTACCTCTCGGAGTCAGGGCGGGTCACTTCTCTGACATGTCAACTCGCCAACAGCCAGCTCACTGACACCATCAGTAAACTTGCTGACAGTCATCTTTGGTCAACTTGCTGACATACATAATTTTAACTTTGTTTTCAAAGGGAACATAAACAGTGCTTTAAGCCAAAAAATGGTAACAGAAATTAGTGTTGGCAAGTTGATTAGTGGTGTCAGAGAGTTGACTAAAAGTGTTGGCGGGTTGAGTTATGGTGTCAGCATGTTGGTTGTCAGGGTGATGACATGTCAGCAAAGTGACCAGTAACCTTGGAGTCTTATCAGGGGAATGTTTCCAATGATAAACAGTTCTCCACCCAAATGGAAAATGTGTTTTATAGACCTGTAGCTAAGAATTTTATGTGTAATTGTATGGAAAAGGTGACACAAACTGTCATTGAGAGTGTCCCATCATTTTTATCTCATCATGCAAAGTTGATTAGTAGTTAATTAGGAGCAACACCAAATCATACCTAAGTGCTGCAAACTGGTTTTGTGCTTTTGCATGCAAATTTCAGCACAAAGAACATACATGCAGATAGTTGCCATGATTGCAGCCACTATATGCATACATATGGGTTTTTCAATCCCTATACTCTCCTCCAGACCACTCAGTTGGGCTTACTGCAGTCCCATGCAGTCCCAATTTGCACCTCTGTTAAATTTTTCTGGAAGTGGATCTTGGATCGTTTGAGGGAGGATCAGGAGCTCTTTTCCCAAACAGCAGTTGATAATTTAGCCCAGGCTTACTGTGCCACACAATCCCTTCCCCCTTCCAGGAGAGAGCATAATGCTATAGGGTCACTATAAATGAGCCATGTTGGGGTTCCAGTCTGAAAAAACCACTGGTTTGAAAAACAAAACCAAGGACAAGTTTGAATCCAAAGACATAAAGACCTATCCACTTTACCAGTTAAACCTCAGGAGTGACCAGCATTTAATTTCTCCTCTCAATAATACTGCTAAATCCTAGTCCCTCTCAATTGAATTATTTATGTTAAAGAAAAATTATTTTATTTTATTTTATTTGACAGACCAAGAATCTCCCATCATAAGTGTGCTGTCTAGCAATGAAATTCCATCCCTTATATTTATCATTCACCAAAACAGCATCACAGAATGTTGGGAATTCACTCAGTCAAATTACAAATGGATGAAGAAGAATGAATTTCAATTGAGTAACACAAAGGGAGTCGAGATATTTCAAGTTGTACTTCATCCTCTCGTAAACTCTTTCTTCTGGTGTGAAAGGCGATCTGTCTCTGCATCAAATTTAATCAGCTGTTGTGTCTGTGTGAGACAGGTGATCATTTCTGAGAGGCTTGGGAACAATACTGTAGTGTCTGTCGGCCCATTGGAGGCTATTCTTCATGGATGTCCTCCTATGTCACTTCATGTCATTAGCCGAAGTGTTTGCCTTGTTCCTGATTTTCCAGAGGAATTGAGATGTTTTGTACTCTTTTGGACATTTGTTCAGAGGTCCTTAAAGGTTTGTTAACTAAGCTTATCTATCAATAGACAGATAAACATTTTTCTTAAGTGTGAGACACAGAAAAAATCTGAGTTCCTCTTAAGGATTTAAACCCTGTTGGCTCTAGTTTGTAGGCTTAAGCTCTATGTGTTAAGCCGATCCTTTAACACCAACATCTAATTTCTCCATGAGGTATCATTGCCCAATCAAATATCTAGGTCATAAGAATAAAAGAAATGATCACCAACCAAAAAACTCCTGATTGTTTAACAAATTCTCCTTGTACCATAGACAACTTATAGAGAACACTATGGAGAATTCACATACTGGTGTTATTGAAATCATACTAATATTGTGTTTTTTTTATGGTAGATTTACATATGGAATTATGGTTTTGTTGGAGATGTAGATAAATTTGACTTTAAGGCAATAGTTGCAGAATTACTTTGCCCATGGACCTCAAGCACAAAGAATAACTTACATCATCTGGTTGCAGTCACATCTCATCCTACAACAAATGAACTTCTCGTAATTGACAGTGGTTTGGAGTTATTACTTGTCAAGCTTCAAGACAATGATCCAGTTGTAACTTCCCTCGTTAGACTCCAAACAGATTCTTTGATTTTTCATAGTGACAAAATTTTACATCTCTTTGCTTTTGGTCTCATTGTTGGTGTTGTGTGGTTTTCTGGTAAACTTTCACTTTATGATGTTGGTTGCGGAGCTGAAATATGTGCACTTGAAGACTTGAAAGGACAGAAAGTCCATGTTTGGAAATGCTCTCACTTGGTTAATTCCATTGGATTTTGGTCAGTCAATGGAATTTGGAAGCTTCAATCTGGAACAGTACTTGAAATTGCAGATTGCATCAAGTCCTCTGTTAATTCATCACAATGTGCAAGTGGAGAAAACAATTCCTTTGTGACTCAACAAGAGTCAAATGAATCTTTATGCAGTAATGATCCAAGCAAAAGTTTCTTCATAGCAGATGATTCATTGCTAAAAACTGAATTGGACACTTCATCAGAAAATTTTTTGATTCCTGAAATAGCAAAAGATCAACAGAAATTTGAGAGATCATCAGTTGGTTCTGGACAATCTAAGCACATTGGTGAAGAAGGTTTTTCTGGTCCTCTTTTTGCAGTGAGTCATTTGACTAAGTGGAACTTAACCCACAGGGCATTCAAGCTGGCACTGGACTCAATTGTTTGCTCAGGAATCCTTTCAGGTTCTCCTGTGGCATTTAATGAGATCCCTGAAGCTTTTCTCCATTTGTTGGTCAGTTCCCATTCTCAGGGCCCTGCAATTGCTCTTCTGTTGCTCTGGGAGCATCCTGTACACAGAGAATTTGTTCTGCTAGAACTTGAACAATACATGAATGATCTAGGCATGGACAAAAGTCAGCCAAAAAAGACGCTTTTGAATGAGTTGTTGCATCCATATATGAGTGAATTTCTCCTACTCAATAAACAGTGTAAGTCGGTAAATGACCCCAGTGTCATGGAAATAATGCAGTCACCCACCCTACCTACAAACTCTGTTACACAGGAGATCTTCAGCTTGCTGGAGACATTTGACAGCAGTCCTCTTGAAATGGTGCCACTTGAAAGGCTTAGCACATTGAGTCGTCAGAATTCACACAAGGTTCTTGAGCATGTGGCAGATTATTTGAAGATTGATTTTGAGGAGGATGAATTCACAGAAAGTCAGTGGCAGCAACGATGGAGAAAAATATACAGGTTTGTAACAGGCATATACAATAGAAATCTTTCTTACAGTCAGCGATGATCTTTAACACAACAACACCAAGACTTCAAAGCCAGCTCTTTTAGTGAATGACAACAGGCATATGTACTAGTACCTCTCAACATTTTTTCATTCTTTTCGATTGCCTCCATGATGTACTCAATACATTAAAAGTTAGAGAGTGACAGTCAAATCTATGGGACTGGAGATGTAAAATATGCTGACCTCTAAAACTCAAAACAAGTTAAAAATTGGAAAAAATATAAATCCATTTGTGTTGGTACAGGACCTCTCAGAGGAGTTGGAAGTTAAGGGGTTGATTAGGTGGATTTTCTTCACATTCACACATTCACTTAAACATTTGACCCTAAGAGTGATAGAAATCTAATTTCTCCTTTCAATACCACCCCTGAATCCCATTTTAATGCCACTAGAATAAGGGAAATGATCACCAACTTAAGGAGCTCTTGATTGTTAAATGAATTCTCCATGTCAGCACCATAGGAAATCTATAGATTATTATAGAGAATAAGCTGATTGATGTTAGGATGAAAAGGGTTAATGACACATTTTGCATTAATCTTACCAGGATGTCACCCCTAAGCAATATTTTGGTCAAATTTTCCCGCAATAATTTTTTAGTGTAAATGTAAGACAAGGTGCACAAAATGGATCATTCTGTTGTTTTTAATATGAGGAGTCTGGAGTAGATAGTAGAATGACTTCTAGAAATGTCTCTTTTAGAATTGACTGGAGAAGCGGTAGATGGCAGAGAAGTAAATTAGCTCTCAAGGACCCATATAATGCGATGTTGAACATTCTTCTACGGATGTTTTATGAGTCAAAATCTAATTGGTTGGTGAAATCAGTGGAGAAGGGAATTGGGACAGTACGGATGGAAGAATCAGATGACAGATCAGAGGTTTGAAATTTTCATAAGGGTTTATTATTGTGTCTTCTTGAACTGGTATCAGGCCCATTGATAAATATAGTCGTTATAGCATTATAGCCATGCAATCAAGGTCTGAGAATTTCTTTGCTGTGTTTTTTCATTTCAATTTAATTTTTCAGTTAGTTTAATAAACATTTGTGGTCGTTGTTGTTTTTTTTATGTTTTTTTTTGTGACTTCAATTTTCTAAGGAAAGTAAATCTATAAATCTATAGAAATGGGGGGGGGGTGGGGAGCTTGAAATGAGCTGTCATTCAATTTCAGTTTATTTTTTAAGACCAAGTACAGAGTATAGCAACTCTAAATGCAATCCTACAGGACTGCAACATCAAGGGCAATCCAAGAAGACAACAATGCTAAATGCAATCCTAAAATACTGCACTGAATTAACAATTTCTCTAAACATCAAAACACCAAACTACTGTAGATCTACATCACGTCTATTTTTGTGAATCGTGTTCCGGTTTACCTTGGTCCTATTTTAACTATTAACACTTTCTTTTTGCTGTTTTCTAGGAGTTTGTCACCCAGTCTGTGTTGGAGTGTCTTCCTGTTTTAAGTATAAGGCACACCAATGCCAAGTCAGTCTTGGCACACTCTCAGCTGTGTTACTCAGCTGGGCAAGAGATACAAGCTCTGCATTTACTTCTAAGTCACCAAATGTGGAAAGAAGCCATTGACTTTATTTCTCATTGTGGAGAGGGTAGTGAAAATCCAATGTTACTTTTTATCATGTTGATAAAGGGCCTCCAGAGCAGGAAGGCACCTAGTAAGATGCTAATAGATGCCCTCAATTTAAAGCCCAAGGACTTGAGCACTGATGAGATTTTGGCAGTACTGAAGGATCAAGCCATTGAAACTAAGGAACCTTTTGCAAAGGGTGTAGGACGGACAACTGTGGGTGAAATGAGGCCTTTTCTTGATGCCCTCTTTTCTTATGAGTTGTGAAACCATAGTTTTCCATATAAGATATCAAACTTAGCAAAATATCACAGATATTGCATTAATGTTTCAGCCTTTTCACTCCCAAAATCTCCTTTAGTTTGTCATTCTCCTTCCTGTTTGTCATACAACTCCTATGAAGTGAGTTTAGAGAGTCTGGTCTTGGATCAACTAATAATCTCCTAATTGACATTTTTCTTTATTCTCATTACTTGTCTGCTTGATATTCTATTTATATTGTAATGAGAAAATTATGTCTTGATCACTCATGGGAGTTTAAGGATAAAGGGTTGATTAAGAGGTAACCAGCATGTAATTTGCTCAATTTAATCCAACCCAGTGCTGCAAATAGACAAACTTGTAAGTGTAAGAGTATTGTTTTGATATAACACCAAATTCCCTTATCTAATTAACAAGGAAATGTGTAGCCACAAGAAGGGAGAATTTAGTGTCAGATCTTAGAGATAAAAGGACTGGACCATTATTACTCCTCCTTTTGCTGTTTTTAGACTTGAGTCATACGGTCTCGTAGGGGTTTTGTGTAAATGTTGGCTGTTATTCATCTCTGGAAAATTGTTTCAAAGTCAAAATTTTGAATTGTTTGTCCGTTTTATTTCCTGTATGTGCTCTGACTCGTATGACTTGGATGACTTATAAAACTTACCAGATGATTTCAACGTCATCAGATATGAAACTAGCTAAATATACTAAATGAAGAACAAGAGTATTTGAATTTTTGAAAAATTATTATTTTCATAAAACATGTTATAATGTTATAAGTTTATATTTATATAATTTAATGTTACATACTTGAGATTTTGATAAGGAATGAGAATAAATGGACTTCTATTCTACCATTTAACTTTTTTTTTTTTTTTTTTTTTTTTTCGTTTTATACATATGTAAGATTACATTTAAAACCCCTTTCTTTTGTCAAGCGATTTTTTCCGTTCGATGTGAATCATGCAAAGATTTTTGTTGAGGTTATGCGGTTTAGCTAGACGTGAAACTAAAAAACGGGCGAATTGTAATACATTGCTTTGATTTGACCACCAGGAAATTCGATATTCCTTTAGTCTCTTCGGTTTTCAAGTTTCTCCTTAACCGATGTTAACAGACTGACATGCTAGAAAAAAACTTTAAACTACGTACTGCTAAAAGGTAAAAATGTTAAAAACATCAGTGTTACAAAATGTAGTTAGTTCCTGTAACTAAATATGCAAACGAAATAAACATACATATATTTATGTATGCGCACGCTCATTGGATTTCTGTGAAATGCGTGAAAGATGTTCTTAGTCTTTCGATTGTCAAATGCGTGTTTAGTCTTTTACCCAGATTTCCCATTGTCAAACTGAGTGTGACGATTGTTTCTGATCGCTACATGGAAAAGTTCTTTATGTTACATATTATCCGCCCTCGTCTGGTACATGATTGGTTCCGTGAGACGACGATTGCGTCGCTCGCCTTCAGTAAGTCTGATAGCCCGTGTTCGTGAGCGGAATTGCTTACTTGGCGAGCCATTCTTACTTTCTTCGCTCGGAAATGTGTTGCTTTGCTCGTCATCTCCCTCATTGCGATCTTCTTCCGCTAGATTCGAATCTTGAAGATGAAGTGAGAAAAGATCTGTGCCTACTACAGGGGCAGACATCTTGCGATATCCAAGCTTACGAACATCTGTGGAGCAGGTAATCGCGGCGTTCAGCGCGTCCGGAAACTTGTCGCCGACGCTTGTCATTGGCGGACACATTGTCGCTATCTGTGCAAAAGGCAGGATTTGCTTCATTCTATAACGATCAAGGCTGCAATCTTCTCTAGTTTTCAGTGGTAGGCTTTCAAATTCAGGCACGAGTTTGGCCAGTTTCTCGTCAAAGCTGTTACTTTTCCGAATGGCTTTGTTCGCGGGCCGTGGAGCCCTGTTGTCATGTTGGAATCGCCTTTGAATACTCCCCACCAGCTCCCTGGGTGCGCGCGCTTTACTCCAGGTGAAGACCTCGTCGTCCCCATTTCCACTCGGTTCATGCTCATGCACGTCTTGTATTTGGCTTACATCCTGGTGATCCTCCTCTTCCATATAAGGCTTGGAGGTTAATTCCTTATAAGAAGAGGATAAATAATCAAACGCAACACAAAATCAGGTTCAGAGTATAAGGCAATTTTCGTTGAGAAATGAAGGACTGTAGGTTGCAATGTGTTTGATCTATACATATAGATCTTGGCGTTTAGACATCTAAAGAGAATGAAACCGCTCCATGGTCCTTTTCGATGGTGGAAACGAAAGAGACGGCCGAAGTTGAGTTGAACGAAATGTCAAGCTTTAACCATTTTGCTCTTAACGACGTGTAAATTATTTAGACTCTTCCCCGAAGTCATTTCTTTTTCGCGTAGGATAAAATTAATTTAATTTTTTCATATATAAATTATTCTGAATTTGATCGCTTTAACCCTTTTCCCCTTAGAGTGACTAGCATCTAATTTCTCCTTACAATATCCCCCCTGAATCAAACATTTAGGTCATGAGGATAAAGGAAATGATCACTAACTAAAGAAGTGATTATTAAACAAATTCTCCTTGTCAGCACCTTCGGAATGTATAGAGAACAGTATGGAGATTATGCATACCGATATCAGGATGTAAAGGGTTAAAAGGAAGCAGCATACAGGTTCAAAACCTATTGAGTTCCTAGTCTGCTTTTAGGCTTCTTTCGTGCAACCCAAAGTTACTTGTACTATTTCGTGGATAATGTCTGCATTTCATCATAGTCTCCTCTACTAACTATGATTTCATATACGAAATGTATACAGCACACACTACTTAATATCATTAAAATCTTTACAGCTCGTAAACATTCTAGTCATAATACCTTTTTCGCCAACTCTGTCTCCAAAGTAGAGATCCTCTCCCTCAATTCCTCATTATCTGCTTTCTCTTTATTCAACATTGTCTTCACAGAAACAAGCTCATCTTTGGTTTCGTCGTATTTCTTCTCAAACTGTCGTACATATTCGGTCTGCTGTCTGAGACTCAACTCTTTAGACTCCAATGCTTTTTTATGTCGCTGGTTGATTTCTTCCACCTCTTTCCTAATCTGGTCTACCTCTATGGCGGAATCTGTCGCGGATTTAGAGAAAAAATCGCGTTCCTCTCTATAAATTTTGGCACTATCTTCAACCTCTTTGCAGTTTTGTCTTAGTTCCACCAAAACACGTTCTTTATGGTTGAGTTTGATTCTAAGGTCAGAAATCTCATCGTGCATCCGCGAGCACTCGCTATGCACGGTTTTCTGGTTTTTCAGCATTTCTTCTTTCTCGGCTACTATTAAATCAAATCGAGCCTTCAGAGCTTCTGTCCACCGTTGTACCTCGTTAAGATCGTTCTCTTTATCCTGCAGCTCACATCGTAACTTTGCATTCTCGAACTGCACTTCGCGCAGTTTCATTTTCAGTGTTTCGCATATCTTCATCTCCTCTGTCTGTGATCGTAGTTGTTGCGACAACTTGTTTGTCTCCTTCCGTTCAATAGCGTAATCTTGGTTGACTTTACTCAATTGCTTCAACACTTCATCTTCTCGCTTTCCAAATTCATCCAGTTGCTTTCTCAGCGTTTCATTTTCCTCGTGCGCTGTTAGCAACTTCATTTGAAGCTGGATGATAAACTGATTTGTTCGCCCCTCACGTTGGACCGCCTCGAACCGCTGCAGGAGATTCTCGCCCGTCTTGTTAGCAGTCGATTGAGCCTCGTTGGCCAAAGCGTCCTCAGTGGCCGAGACCTGTTTTTCCAAACAGTTTATTCTGCGTTGCAACCGGTTTTGTTCCATGAAGGCCTCCTCGAGCTTTTTCTTAAGTTCATTGTTGTCTTTAAGGACCTGATCGTGACGTAAAGTTAATTCGTGTAATTCCCTGGTAAGAATCTTGGAGTAATTACTGAGGATATCTACGTCTAGAAAGGTAGATCCGCCACCTGTCAAGGACAGAACTAATATCAGTTCCATTCCCGAATATGAGGAATCATAGCCCAAGAAAATTCTCTTAACCCTTCAACTCCCATAAGTGACCAAGAAAAGATTTCTCCTTACCAAATCAACATAGTATCAAACAGACAAGCGATGAGAATAAAGAAAAATATCAGTCAGGGGATTATTAATTGATTCAATAGCAAATCCTCAGAACTAACATCATAAGAATTGTATGGCAGACAGTAAGGAGAATTACTGATGAGATCTTAGGAGTGAAAGGGTTAATCGGATAAACCTTTTGGGTTACACCCACTAGAGGAATAGAGACGCCAACCACAGTTACGAAAATTTGCGTCATATCCTCTAATTTGTGTCATTTTGTTTGTGCTTCTGGGACATTCGTTTTCATTGCTGTTAGTTGAGCTTTTTTTTCTTTTGTAGTCGTAAGTAATATTTATTATTTTTATTTTCAGCAAAATATTTATAATCGCTTGAGCTGTAGTTTCGTTATTTCCTTATTCCGGTCACTTTGCTTTTGTACATAGTTTCTGAGTTTGTCACCTATTGTGTTTAACCCTTTAACCCCTTAGAGTGACTAGCATCAAAATTCTCCTTACAATATCACCACTGAATCACACATTGATGTCATGAGAATAAAGGAAATGATCACCAACTAAAGAAACTCTTGATTATTGGACAAATTCTCCTTTTCAGCACCTTAGTAAATGTACAGAGAACAGTATGGAGAATAATGATGTTAGGGTATAAAGGGTTAAATGTGTTGACTTTTCTACGTCCCGGGTTCATTATGATTCATGTTGTTGGGTGTCTGAATGCAATGTCGCTGTTAGGAAAATTTAACTTGCTTTTTTTACCGCCTTCACCGAAACATCGAACTAGTACAATGTTATAACCAAAGTTGGAGCTTAATGCCTAAACGCTCTTCCCTTTGAAATTTTGGAATTATTCAAAACGAATTGATTGAAATATCAAAACTTTTGCATGTAGTAACTCCTTTAATACACGACGCTCAAAAAATAAAAAATAGTAGTTGTCTGCGAGCGCGAGTAATCACTGAATGGACTGGATAAGATTTTAAACATACCCGAAAAAAGACCACCTGTAGAGTTTCGACAAAGAGGATCATCTTTTTTTGAGAGAGCCCACTAGGGGACATTTCTATTCAAGAGATATTAATAAGAGTTTTGTTTCGTCTAGTCATAGTCTTAACTTCGCTTAACACATCAAAGAGTAACGAGACGAAATAGATCTATTCAACATGACCGCCATAACAGACGTACTATTTTTTCTTTCGTAACACGAACGAAATAATGTGTCATGTCCAGCTTATAAAGAACACAAAATAAATTAGATTCTAAACTTACCACTGATGATATGGCTCTTAACATCTGACAAGATGGGATTGTCACCTGTGTAAATAAGGATTTGATTGACCGTGATCAGATCTATGGCAAGAAATAAAGTGTTTTTGTATCGTGTTTTGGTGTGTGTGTGTGTGTCTTGTTATTTATTTAATCATTTACAATTTATCCATTCATCTATTCATTTATTTATTCATTTATTTTAAGAAAACAGTTAGTAAAATAACATATTTTAACGAGTTCTTATCTTAAGTTATTTTATTTCTCCACTTCAACACTTTCGATATGGAAATTACGTCGAAGATTCTACTCTGATCATTTTAAATTCGAGAAGTTTCGAGCTATACGTTTACAAAAAAATTTCTGTTAAAAAAATCGTTTAGATTCTTCCTCATTGATTACACCTCAATGTGTTCGCCGTGTCTAAAAAAATTCATATTTTTTATTCATAAAGGCTAAGGAAGTCTAGGTCAAACTGATTGGGGAAGTGAAACTCGTTGGTCGTCGGTTTATGCTCGTCGTAGTTCGCAGCTAGTTGGAATTTCATGTTGTTGTTTTGCGGAGCCGGAAACTGTCCGGGAATGAACAAAATTTGAATGTAAATGTTATCAAAATCCGAGTTTTCTGAATTTACATTGGAAAACTATCAAATGGCAAACGTTCCTACGTTTCAACAATCAGCTCGTCTCTGATTTAGGAAACTTCCTGTTTGGTGATTATGACGTTAACGCAATTAAAATGGTTCTATCTTCAGCTTATATCACTGGATTATTCGCTGAAAATTTAAACCTTTGAATTTCCTTTTTACGGCATGTTTGCTAAACCTGACGTTTGAATCGATTAGGCAACCCCTATTAAGTGATATTGCCATGTCCGCATTCAAGAGGTCCACCAGTGATTTCTTTACGCGACCAGATCGTTCGGGCTTTATTTACAACATAAAAGTGGTTGGAGAGATAGTAAAAGCCAGTTTGGTCGTTTATATCTCTAATGCAACAAAACTACTTACTTTTTGTTGCACTTTCCCCCGTCACCATTTCATACAGGCTTGGATTGAGAATCTGCAAGGCGTCTATAAAGTGGCAAAATGCCTTCTGTCCCTTCATTTCTAGAATATCTAAGAACCTGCCAGCCTTTGACTCGCTCGTCTTCTCGGCTTGAATCAACTCAAAGTCTGCCTTATCAAAGGAAGATTTGCTGATTAGGTAGTCGAACAGAAACGTTCGATCCATCTGAAGATGTTGTATGATATGCAAGCGATGTTTTGTCAAAATCTCTGCGGACGTTTCTTCTAGTTCCATCGTAAGATGCCAATATTCGGTTCTCAGTAAATGCTTATGAGGTGAATACTACTCACGATTGATGGATCGCTCTCACTAAGGCGATGGTAAGCAGAACCGCACAGATCGTAACTTTTGCACTTGAAAATGAAATCACGCCTGGGTGCTGATCGTGCTTCTATACGTATGGATTTGTATGTCTGATGCGCGACTTTCGTTCAATATACATTGCCCAATCAGAGAATTCACTTTCACTGAAACACAATATGTGAAGAGGAGTGAATCATTTTAATGAACGAACATATGATCAATGAAGCAAAGAAAATATAAAAAAAGGCTTGTAAATGAACCAAACAATGGTATCGAAACGATACGTTTCGCATCGTGGAATTCATATGAAATGTTTCACACTGTGCAATTTAGTCTGTTTATTTATAAATTTGTTCATTTGCGATATTTAGACAAGCCAGCCCAGTTGAGCGTTACAGCTGGTTTAAGTTGGGGCCGATATTAACAATAACATAGTGAGACCACCACACCGGGAACCGCAACTGTTTGTAAGAAGTGTGTGCCTTGACTTCCTATGATAATTTATCGCAAATTTTTGTTATGTCTCGTCTCTAATAGGCCACATTCAGATCATAAAGCGTAACAAAAGTGATTCTAAAAAGCTTTCGATCTTTTACCAGGTTTTATTTTTTTAGGGGAGTCGACGAAAAAATTTTTACTTGAAAAAATACGAGATAGCTTATCATAATTATACAGAAGCAAAGTGCGCGTATCAAGTGCAAAAATAAATTATTCAAACCCTGAAAGTGGCATCTTGCGATCGGTCAAAACAACAGCATACGATGAAAACAATAATATACAATGATACCTTCACATCTTTAAGGCACAAGAAAGTTGAAAGTCCGGCTAAACAGTTCAAGGAATAGTTCAGTCTGGTTTGTTACTTCTTTGCACTGAATTAACCCTCTTCAGCATTGAATTACCTGAAAACTGCATACATCTTAACCAATCAGAACTGAGTAATTTTTTCATGTATCTTATTAAAGGTAAAAAACGTGCACATGGACTCAAATTGCTGGTGCAATACGTTTTCAAACGCATGATTTTTAAAACGAGTCGATGTAAGTTAATTTCGAAACTGAGCATGTGATTCGCAAAAATTCTCGCCATCTTGTTATCTGTAGCTCAGTTGAAAGGCATCCGACAGCGGAATCAAATCTAGTTGGGATTCCATTCCAGACGGCGGACTCTGATTTTTTATAAGAATCTTTCGACTTTGCCAAGTGGAATCACAGGTCGGCAATATTTGAATGTTCATCACTTGCTCCCGGCTGATGTATTACTGATGTTAAAACCTAATGTATGGAAAATTTGGTAAACTTGGTCTCAGTTTATAGTGAAGAAAATACAAAATAAACGCCATTTTGCAAATAATTTTGTTCTGTTATCTGATTGAGGTGATCTGAACTGGTTTCTTCGTCTGTCCGACTCACGAAAAATTGAAATTTTTTAAAATATCTTTAACATCTTTGTTTACTTTAAGACCTCTGAAAGCTCCGTATTCCTTGTGTGTCACTGCTTTTCAATAAACCTTCCACAGTTGAAAATCTTACGAAATTTTTGCATCTTAGAAGTTCCCATGATGTTGTTGTTTTTAACAAGAATACTTTAACTTCGTAGCGCTTGACGCACTGACAATATCATAGCGCCCAGGCCACTGGTCTCAACTCGAACGTGATGTCAAGGAATGACGACACAATGGTTACCATGGACCTAGTCATAGACACATCAGAAAATTTTGCATCTCGATCGTGTCAAGTGGTTTCTGTACTGAGCTCGGAGTTAAAATGGATTCTTCGCTTTTATTACATGCTTCAAATGAAAAGTTCAGTTACTTAATGAGCAAAGACTTACGCTGCAGCAAAAGGTTTGTAGAACGATTTCTGGTCCGTATAAAACGAGTGCTTTGCCAGAGAGCCTATGGTGCTGATCTTCACACTGAGAGCCAACACGAATCCCTCGAAGCCTGACATGCGGGAAGCAAATAGGCAATAAGGTGGGCGTTTCCCGTTTGTCACTTTATTGGTTAATTTCAAGTGTGTCCGATACGCTTCGTTATCAGAATGAGTACAACAGAAATACGCTGCATCAAGTTTCTTTTTTTTCCCTCCTCTTTCGCGAGCGCGAAATCATGATAAGATTCAAAGGTTTTGCTCATCCACTGCACTCATCAAAAATTCGTTTTTAACAGGCTTTTCACAGCGATAGTTTATTAAAAAACCACTGAATTTATGAATGAGTTGTCTCCTGAAAGTATTTATTGTAGTTGAAGAAATTCAAGATTATAAACAAGAGAAATAAAAAGCTCGCGAAAAACAAATACTTTCCATTATGGCAAATCTCTCCTCAAATCACTTTAGTGCATTATAACCATGATAAAAACAATCAGTGTAAAATACTTTTATGAAAAAAGGACTAAAGCCTGACTCTATAATTGGAGACGCATTGAAACGTGTTGAATCAACCACAAAATCTCAAATTTCAAAATTCTATGAGAATACGTAAGTGTCCACGTCAATTTTGAATGTCAAGTTCAAGGTGTGTGGACGTGAGTGGCCGAATGCATGTGTCACGCGTGCCGCGTGACACATGAATCACTGAGGAGGGAGAGGAGGAGAAGACAGTAGTTTAAAATATTACATTTGGAAAAAAACATAAAATTTTTACAATCAGCATCGTGCGTTCAGTTTGAGTAATGATTTCTGGGCCTTTCTCGCTAAAACATAAATTCCTTTCACGCCCTAGGTTATTTTTACTCAATGCACTATCAATTACTTCCCAAACCACATCTAAAAGAATTTAAAGAATAGATTATTCAAGGAATGAATGTTGACCTAGAGTTAGACAAGATAAAATAACTATCGTTTTATTTAAAATTTGTCTATAATTTACTTGTGATTTACAAAGTGTAATGTACTTCAAGGAAAATAATATATCCTACAAATTACTTCTCCTTATAGTTCTCTATGTTATAGCTCCTTATCTAAAATATTCTGTACCGAAATGACTTTCAAGCGTCATTTGCTTGCTAAAATTTAAAATCGTAAAATATTTCTACTGTATCAATTTACACACCTTCGAGAACAATTTAATTGAGCAATCTTCATTTTTACCAAAAAACAGCAACAACACTGTATTTGCTGGCTGCATTTAAAATATTTTTGTTCGTTTCACTAATTACTACGAAAAACGAAGAGTGTACTCGCTGCCCTATATAGCCATACGGGGTTTGAAAAACCAGCGGGCAGATATCACAGTTATATTTAGCTTGAGGGTCAGGTAAATAAAATGCACACACAACACACGCCCCAACCCGTCAAAACTTACACTAACGTTATCAGCCGGAGGTCAAAAACAGTTTCCGACAAAGACAGAAAAAATTTGCCATTGGTTCAAATTCCTATCACGTGCACTACGTCGACTCATGCAAAGTATTCCGTGATCAAGTCGTGTTCTCTTGAACTGTACCCCATGAACTATACCCTACTTTCTTTTTCATTTTACACATAAAATCCTTAAATCACTCGACAAGAAAATTCCTTGTCATTTTAAAGTCCACTTTCACCTGAGAACTTTGAACGTGCCTCTTGTTAGGTTTACAATTGTCGTTTTTAGGGAAGCTTTGCCGTTGCATTGCTCTTAGGCACGAAGACATGCGCGGTCGCACACGCGTGAATGCTGTCCGTTATCATCTCTCACTTTTACGTCTCTACTACGTTTTTAGTAAAACAAGACATCGCGTTCTATCTACCCCTCTACCTTACATGGTACAAACTCGATGCCTTCTTTTCAGCTTACACTATTTCTGCTAGATTCACGGCCTTATTGGTGGGAGTCAGTCCGATGTAACTTTCAGGTCTGGCGGGTACTTGAATTCCGAGACTGGAGAATTTGGGGCAGAAGAACTTCGAGGGCGATCCTCAGCTTTTAGTCTCACTGCACCAGCCCTCTTACGGAAAGGCTTTTCACTCAGAGTGGGCGACAACAGAGCCTCTTTAACTTCTTCTATTTCTCTCTCAGTGCGATCGCCATTGTCCGATAATAGATCAACAGAGAGTTCGATTGATGCCGGCAAATTTTGGATCTTCTTGTATGAGGGATCTCTTGCAGCCAGCTTGAATTTACGACGATTTGTCTTTTCCGTCTCTTCTTCGTTTTGGTTATCATCGCTTGAGGAAGACCTGCTTCCAGCGGAGCGATCTCCCGAGGATAACTTACTTTGTACATAGTTCAGGATCTTCGAAGGAGAGGAATTGCTTTTGTGGTAGATAGGCCGAGTTGGATTCTTGTGGGATTGAGTCTGAACTCGGGCTCTCTCGGTTGAATTCGGATCCTCCTCGCCTTTAGGATCGTCACCGGGTGTCGGCTCGAACAAATCTGACTCAAGGCTGAGAGACAGACCTTGAGATGATTTTGAGGAATCGGAAAGATTACGCGTTAGCCCATTAGGCAGACCACTGTCGTTGGAACGAAACGAAGAACGCACAGAATGGCTGTCGAAAGGGCTGTAATTGGAGACACTGTTGCTGACAGCTGGGATAAACATACACTCCAGAGCGTTGTAAGTTGGTGCGCTCTTGAAGAGGGATCTGTTACGATCCAGACTCAGACATTTCTGGGCCTCAGGCGAAAGGGTCTTCTTTTCTGGAACCAGCTCTTCCAATTTCTCATCCAACGACAAACTCTTCTCAGGTTGAACGGTAGAAGTATCGGTTTCCTCTTCTCCACCATCTGAACATGCGCATTGCTCCGTGGCTTTGGATTTCTTCATGGCAACACGCTTTTTGACGCTGTCAATAATGTTAGCCGTCTTACGTCGTGACCTCCAGTCGTAGGAATCTTCACTGCTGTCGCCTGGAGACTCGTCCTCTGCATCAACTCTTCCCTCCAGTTTGGCCTCCTTGGCCTTGCTAGTGCACAAATGGAGACCGTTTTCCTATAAAATATAAAAAAAGTGGAACATTGTCAGATACGTCTTGTTCGCACTAACAGTATTTACAGTTTCATTCCCGTTACAGCTCATTTCATTAGAGCGTCATACTAAAAAAACCAAAGTAATCGTAACGGCCAATCAGACCACAGGAAAGTATCACAAGAAGCCAATGAGAACTTTCAGTAAAAACAAGCGCCCAGCGCCAGCCAAGTAAACGGGGGCGACTGAGTTGCAATCGGTTTTACTTTCGCATCTGAGTGGCCAAGAGGATGGCGCGAACTTAGACTTGAACCGTATCTTCAATAGTTGAGAGTTTAAGCCCATTCACGGTCAGAAGTGATCCACACGTAATTTACTCTTTAAAAATTTGGTTTATTGTCCAGAAAACACGAGGTAACGAGAATAAGCCATTTTATCAGAGGAACGCTGGTAACGTTAATTAGTAACTAATTTACAAGGTCAATGTCTAGCAACTAGACGCAGGAATTATTAGACTGATGCTGAGAGTAGCGTTGAGTTTACATAGCGCCGATGAACACTTATGAAGAAGACTTTAACACGGATTATAAGTAGTGTATACGAAATAAACCGCATGACGATGTGTGATAACCAAAACGATTTGATTTTCACAGGATGACTTAAATTCAGATCACTGCAGAAAAAGTCTGACAAAATGCATATCTTCGGGGATGGAAATCGTCCTCACCAGACTCTAACTCGCTGGGCTCCCTGTACCAACTGAGCTATGAAGCCACAGGACGAGAGCGAGGCAAATAATTTCGGGCTCTTTGTTACCGAGGAGTTTGATCACAAATGGTAAATGCGATATACATGTAAATTATAATTTGACCTGTAGATATGACAACAAGTGATGCGCTCACTTGTTCACAACATAGAGCTTTGAAGCTCAATTGGTAGATGCGTCCAACTAGAATCTGAAAGGAATGAGATCGAAGTCTGAATTTTTTCAGATATCTTCTTCTGCAATGACTTTAAATGCACTTAACCCTTGAAGATAGATATGATCCACTTCATCAGATCTGAAGCCTCTTAAAAAGACCAGTGATCATCTACGCCAGACGACCCTTTATCTTATTCAACGTAAGCTTTTAATTTTATTTATCAAGTTAGCGCATGGTTTTCTTCCTAATTCAAAACTGTTGTGTGTTTGCCTTTTGTTCAAGATTTTGCCGGTTCAGAACAAATTTACCACTTGATTTGCTTTAAGTTTTAACCAAAAACAATAGTGTTTTAAAGACTTCTGTTCAAGGCAACGCAAGCGACAATATTAATCTCTGATTTCGCTCACTTTTCTTACAATTAAATTAATTTCATAGAACACTGTTTAAAATCTCTTTTGCCCCGCTGATTTAAATGATTTTAACCTAGAAACAGATGAGAGGAATTAAACTCCTACTCTTCTGCGTTTGACGTCACCGTCACGCTTAACCTCTCTAATTACAGAGGCCTCAAGCTGATCTTTACTTTCATCAAGTGTTAAATTTTCCGTTTCTTTTCATCTACGAGCTTTGTTGCCTTGCAACCGCTATTTTTGGCGCGTAACAGTGACGTTAAATTTCCGGTTATCCTTCGCACAATAATAGATGCGTCCATCAACTTCTATTCAGACAAGCAGGGTTATTTTTAACGAGATAGTTGTTATCGAGGTAAAGGAGCTGTGTTGTGCCCTGTACAAATGCAGAGTTAACAGATCGTGCGTTCCTTCGATGTACATCAAAATAACTGTCCTAAATACTGCAGTAAATGCTCTTTTAATTTAGAGGTCGGCAAGTATTGTTTGAGCTATCTAAGTATGGAAATTAAAACTTCTCTTTTTTACCCCAAACATTTTTCGGATCAATATCAGCATCTGGGCAACTGCCCACCTACCCCTCCCCTAACCCAACAACAGTCAATTGATAACAAATTAGGGTTAATGTTGGGTTAAGGGAGGGGTAGGTGGGCAGTTGCCCAGACACTGATATTGATCCCATTTTTCCATTGTGTGAGCGGCCATTTTTAAAGCATCAATCGAATTTTGCGTCCGCCATTTTGTCTGAAATTTCTGGTAATGCTCCATGGCGACAAAATCTTAACTTCCTTGGTAACTGACCTACACGACCTACACGAAACAGAGCCAGTGAATTTCCAACTAAGCTTGTTGCTAATCCTTGCTAAAAAACGGTTTTAGGCGTTTTCGCAAGATAGGTCCCCCGCTTTAACCACTCGGCTCGTTGCATCTTTAACTGGTATCCACATAGTATCAGATCCTCATGAACAGGTAAAAGAAGATGTATGCGGGTTATCAGTAAGAAGAATTTTCTAGCTGAAAGTGTTGACGGTGGTCTGACTTACGGTATAGTCGAATGGGGTCTTGACTTACGGTATAGTCGAATGGGGTCTCCTGGGATACTGATCGGAAAGAAGCAGAAAAGTGCTCCTGTGTCTAGTTTTCCGGTTTATCTAAGTTGTTATTTTCACTTAGCATAAAGTGCAAAAACATGCTCCTGTTCTAACAGGACATCGACTATTACTTAAGATGCAGAAAAAGTGGCCATTGAATGAGAAAAGCATATTAATTCTGATACCATGAATATATCAAAATCATTAAATTAATCACTTAACACTGACCTTTCCAACGTAGGGATTTTCGCCAACATCCGACGAGTTTCTTTGCAACTTAACTTTCCTAAGCTCTTCAAGCTCCATCTGAGTTTCGTAGAGGCGCTCCCTGACACTTTGAAAATCTTCTGAAGTTCTTTTGAACTGCAGCTCAAACTGGCGACTGTGCTCCATCTGTCTCTTTATGGCTTCGTCTCGATTATGAATAACTTCGGTTAAACGCACAGTGGCTTCATCCCTTTCCTTCCTCAGTTGCTCTCTTTCTGCCGAAGTTTCCTTCCAGGCTTTTTCGTACAGGTCGCGCTGCTCTCGATAGGTGTTCGCGGTCTGCTCGAAGTCTTTGCATCGCTTCTTCAGGTCTTCTATATCACGAGAGGATATTGTCAGTTTAAGCTCCAGCTCGTCAGCCTTATCTCGGAGGACTGAGTAATCTGCCACAGTACTTTCATGGGTTTCTTGAGTCTGTTTTCTGTCTTCTTCCACGATATCGTAGCGAGCTTTCAGAGCTTCTGTCCAGCACTTAAGCTCTTCCAACTCCCTCAGCATTTCATCCTTTTCTGATTTAAGCTTTTGGTTGGTGAATTGGAGCTGGCGAAATTTCACTTTCAGTTCTTCGGCCCTTTGAATGTTGTCTTTCTGGATTTCCAATTTCTCCGTCAACTTCATCGATTCCCGTCTCTGGTTATCATAATTTTTGGAAATCTCGGTAAAGCGGTTCAACAGCTCGTCTTTTTTCATCATGGTTTCCTCGAGTTTCTCTTTTAAGTTGTCCACTTCCTCTTTGGTGGTGAGAAGCTTCATCTGAAGAGCTATTATAAAATGTGTCCTCTCCACCATTTCTCTGTTCTTGACTTGACAGTGAAGGGCTGCCCCGTCCACCAATTTCTTGGCGCTGGAGTGCGATTCCATCAGCAGAGCCTCCGTGTCAAATTTTCGCTTTTCGAGGTCTTCAATCAGCCGATCCTTCTCCTGAAGTTCGCACGAAGTTCTGCTTAAATGCTTCTTCAGTACCTCGTTTTCTTTCAGGATTGTGTCGTAGCGGATCGTCAAATCTTGTAGATCGCTTATTGTTCGCTTTAAATGATTGCTCATAATGTCCAAGTCTGGGGCTCGACCATTGGATCCTGCACAGTGAAGAGTGAAAAACCCAATATGAGAGAACTACCCGATTGCATTTGCTTCGCCTAAAGCGAAAGGGAAAATAAGAAACTCGCTCTTCATAAACAGGAATATAAATGTCGACGACCGGATGGTAAACCTCCCTGGGCGGTAAAAACCCCATCTCGAATGATGTCAGAATTAATGTTATTGCCGATGAAAAGGTTAGATCTAGCGTTGAAGATACGGTTACGGAAAATTATTTACAGCAATCGAATGAAAGCATATATCTAAGAGCTACTGGTCGGTTTGGCTACTGTTATTCTGGATCAACCGATACATGATACAAAATTAAAACACATGCCCTTGGAATTCTTAAAGTGTGAGTTGAGTATTTTTATCTTCCGGGTTTATGTTTCAATAAACAAAACAAGTTTGCAGCCAGACCAGCACTTCAATAAAATAACCCTAAGATCGTTTACTGAGAAATGTAGTTACACTACAGGGTTACAATATGTCCAAATTTAACCGGGTTGTGGCATGTAACCAGGTAAGAGTTCTAAATTAAACAATAAGAGAAAATTCATGAAAAAATCGACTCAAAGTCAAATGCATAATGAAGCTACAGTTCACTGCTTTAACATGTCACTTAACACGTTCAAGTTTAATCCTTTTAGGCATATTGGTTGTAAAAAAAAAAAACAAACAGCACCACAAACGCCTGTCACACAAGTTTAGGCAAAATGAACTGTTGTTATCATATCCAATCCCTTTTTTTCATGTTGAATAGGTTGTTAATAAACCTTAGCGGTACAATGAAGTTTGCAACTCAGTGCCATTAAGGAGATCTGACTTGGTTACCATTGACGTTAAAGATACCAAAATTAGTAACAAATAATTCCTAATATCGGATTATGAACTAACTGTATATGAGCTAAAGATAAGCCTCAATCGAATCGATGAATTAAAAGAGAAAACTGTACTCCCCCGAAAAGACAGGAAGTTTAAACACTAGTATACCATGTATATCTTCTTGAAGTGCGGCTCTTGTCCTAATAACTTAAAGGAATGTGAAAGCTCTTGTACTGTATATAAACTGTGCCTGAGGGAACATAAAAGAAATGACTAGAATTCGCATCCTTTTACTTTTTGGTTGAAAAAATATCCAAAATGGACGAACGAAGCCTATTCCAAGAGTCTCTATGCTGTGATGCGAACTCAAAATTTTCAAACCTGTAAATTTACCTAAGTACAATTTTAAAATCCTTTTAGTCGGCAAGTTTGGAGGGTATTTATTTGCTCAAACGTTTCTTTTTATTAGCACTACCGAATGAACCGACCATTTCTTGTGTGACACCATGTGTGTAGAAGTGTATCAGTTTTTAACTCGGAGACACGAATTCAGCTTTGAGAGAGGGAAGAAAAAGGTTGAGTTGGTAAATAGCAATGCCGCAACGGAAAACTAGCGCACATGCGTGCTGGATATGGGTGGGGTTTTCCCTTTTTAGCGGATATAGGGTGAGGATAAAACTGTTGAATTAGGCAGAAAAAAAAATGATGCTCAGTCAGGTTTGAAATCCGCGACAATGACGTAGTTTACAGATTCAGTTATTTCACATTTTGTACGTCGTCATCGATTACGCTGTGAAAATTTAGTTTAAATTTGGGGTCACAAAAGATCCTGATCAGTTTATTGAACATGAAATGCCAATTTTAGTTCGCTAAAACTCATAAGCTTGCCGCGAAAGATCAAGTTACCTGCTAATCTGTTCGACCACATTATTTGTATGTAAACTCTGTTGGCTAATTGAGATTTTGAAACGTCACAACTGCTTTATCTTAGTGTTTAGTTGGGAGAAATTACATCCTCCTAAATTCGATGAAGTATTGGCGGCTCAACTATAACGGTAAATCAAACAGCAAACAAACCAGTTCGGACGTGATTGAAATTTTAATTTTTTCCTACCCATCTAATCCATGGTAACATTGTTTTGTGTAAAAGAAAGCTATTTGGAAACGACACTTCAATACCGAAAATGGGATGATTAGCTGAATTAAAGACATAGACATAAAGAGGTCGAGGAGCGAAGACCTAATAAGTGAAACTACACAAAACTTTCAAAGAACGGAAATGTTACACACAAATAGTGCAATATATTGGCACCATTCTTGAGAGAAAAACACTAGAAGGATCGCGATACGTGCGGCTAACGTCATTTCAAAAGAATTGTCTGATATAAATATCCGAACCTTGCCCAGATTCACCGAAGAAATGAAGCTTAAATGCAAGAATTAAGTGGTAATATTTGCTTACAAATATCAGACACAGACAATTTCTCAAGAAATTCTCGTGTAATGACGAAGTTGACTTTCAAATCTAGATGTCATTAAGCTCCGGAAAATTAGCAATAATCATAACAAATACCTCAGTTATATTCATGTTTACAAAAATAAGACAAGGGTTAATCCAGGCCTTATTGGGAAGTCTATGCACCAGTATAAAAGAAATACCGGAGATCCAAATGGATTAATGGATAACCTTTTAGCAAAAAATTTTCAGGAAATTTTGGCACGATAATTCGAGAAAAAAGGTTTAGTTCGTACATTTTGAGTTTCCTTTTTCAATTCTGTAACTAATGTAATCGCGAAATCACACTTGATGATGACAACCGTAAAAAAATTGTGTAGAGATTTAGCTGGTTGGCACAGTGATGGGAAATCGGATAGAGGAATTTTGTATACACCTTTTTTGATCTCTTGAATGAAGCCCAAAAAAGTTGGAAATATGACTTTTTTCAAATGTTCTGTTCTTTTCAATCTTTTTAAGTTGCCATCGCCGAACGGGCAAAGTTAGGGGCCCTTCTCTGTCCTAACTTTGAAAATGCCAGAGAAACGTTAGCGACAGATTTTCAAAAGAGGAAAAGATTAAGCCCACAACCTTCACGTTTACTCTGACATGGTACTTTATCAAAACGAAGTATGAACAGAATATTTAATTTACATTAGAATACGCGATTGGAGACTTAACCTCTTCATTTCTCGACTTTCAATTTTCTGTTTTGCCTTTTTTTTTAAGTACGACGTGCCGTCGAATTTCCATGTTTCTCGCAAATATTTTTGACAGCCATGTTTTCTGGCAATCGTTGGGTGCGCGGAAAATTGGTGGCGACCAGAATTTGCGCGGGAAATTGGCGCGGTTACTCGATGCTTTCCCGCCACTTTGAACCAAGCATAACCTGGAACTGATGAACTTTCTTTTTTGAAATAAGAATTTGGCAAAACTTTTGCTTGAAATGATAAACCAGATCACAAGTGACAAGGCCACAAGGATGCTGCAAATAAGCATACCTACAGTAGTGAAGTTCTCCATCATTTACACGTAAGAAAAATGAACAGTTGTGAAACAATAGAAACGAGTAAGTTTTTAAAAAGACATTGAAGATTGAGAGTAGATGTTCTTTAACCTCAAGATTGTACCAAAATCCTATATATTCGTTCTATAAACTTGAGATAAGATATTTTGATATCAGAAAGGGATTGACGCAGTGGAATACAATGGAAGACTGATAGAGACAAAGGAAAACAACGACCGCTTCGAGACAAACAAGATTATTAAGGAAATTTGCCAAGCGTTAAATAATTTTTAATGACATTATGACTTATCAGTTATTTTTCATAAAATCCAATTTTCTGTTTAGCGAAGTTTGACTCATGTTGCAAGTTTTTTTGTTTCATTTTTTCTCAACTACTTGAGCTGGGTTTACAAAAAAAAATCGGCTGATTTTTGAGAAAGCTTTCAATAGCTTTTACCACAAGTTTTTTTTAAATATACTTCAAATTCTTGACATTCTGTAATTGATAAACTGTACACCTAGAAGGCAATATCCTTCAATCTTATTGAATTATAACTGTGTTCAGGTGAAGGTTATTCAATTAATTAGGCTCATCTGTTATTCTTGAATAACCATTTATAGCCATCCAAAAAATAAAACAAAAAACAGGGAACAGGATAAAATAGAGATAACAACTCTAAGAAGAGCCTTACCTAAAAAGAAGTTTTCCCTTTCCATCATGAGTGGGCTTGGTCCTGCAATAGATAAATAAAGTAAAAGCTCAAATGAGTACAGTATGTAGAAGTTATGCTTTGAAAATTTGGTATACATTTGTGTGCATCCATAAGAAAAGGAGAGGGAGTGATGAAGAGCAAAGGACTTTAAAAAAGGTCTAATTCTGACCATCAAAATAGAGATTTCTCTCACGGTAATAGCATTTATGTTTATCTACTCTGTTGTACTGCAGGACAGAAATTGAAAATTGGATAACACAAGCCAATTCTAATCCAATTTGATGAGAGGATAAAAACAAGACTAGAATTCAAAGCAGTGATGAACAGTGTAAGTATCAGTTCACAAAATCTCAAGATGATTGATATCTACATAAAATGACACCCTTGTAAGTAATAGGTAGTTTAAAAAAGTCAAATAATAGAAGCAAATGTTTAAAAAGAATGCTAAATGGTTTAAAGGATTTAATCACAGTTTAGTTTTTCCCATAATTTCCAAGTAATAAGCAGTGAGATGTGAATTTCCCCCAAAATTTCCCACAACTGGAGAAACATGCATCTCATTTGTATTAATCATGATTCATAACAAGTGAATCTTCAGGATTGAAGTTTTTGACATTCATCACTCCATAAAAAAGAGGACATAAATATGAGGAGGAAAACCTTCATACTTGCATTGACATTTAATTTTGTCAGCTTGGTAATTATATGTGTTATTTTTACCCTCTGTATCTCCTTGTGAAACAAAAAAAGGCAAGGGGTGACAACTCCCTCATGGGAGGGAATGGGATGCAATGGATCTTCATTGTGTTGGGTACATTTAGGATGAGTCATCAAACATTCCTTCAAGGCATTATTAGAAACACACATGCAAAAAGATACAAGTGTAACATTGCTTTTGTCATTCCCATCAACTGAGATGAAAATTTTAAATGTTTTCCTTGGTACCAGATGAGAGTCCTCTTTTATTAATTTGTATCTTTGGGGGTCAACTTAGGATTAAGCCACATGCAATAGGCCTCTGTGAGAGATGTGCTCTAAAATTCCATTCTGCATTCTCTCCTTTTTTATATTGAGGTTTCTTCCTAGACTGCACAGGATCCTAGACTAGTATCTCTATGGCATTTTTGAGGCATATTAGGTTATGCATCTACTTTCATTTGTTTATTTCCTGACATATTTTCCTGACAAATATTGAAATCACAATCAAATTTTTTTTGTAATGTTTGCAGAAAATGTAAGAAAGTTCTTTGGGTGTTTTTAGCGATAAAAAATATTCACACTTGTGGGATATGAGATATGAAATGAAAGGTAATGTGATGTGAAGTGGTAATATCAAACATGCTCTCATGAAAAATTTTCGAATGCTAAATATGAAAAGCTGTTTCTATTTTTGGTTAATTGTCAAATGTAGTCTAGACACCCTTCACTTTTATTTACAATGTTTAAAGAGAAAAAAAATGAGTGGTTTTATAAAAAAACCTGAAATATTGTTGTGGTAATCAAGAAAATTTACATTCACATCAATGATTAAGTATGAAGGGTCACCTTTAAAATGTTAGTAGCACTTCTTGAATAAAGTACAAAAATTATAAAAAAAAATTGCTCTTGCTTAATTCTTGATAAATGAACAAAGAAACAAGGAAAAAATAAACAACAGAGGTGTTGGTGTTGAAATAAAATAATAAATTGATCAAAAAACTGATGAAAAATTAAATAAAGAAGCAAATGATAGCAAATAAGCAATTATGCAAAGGAGAAAAAAACATATCTTTCAGTGTGCAAGCTGAAACATTCTTTCTGAGAAAGGAGCAACACCACAAGGATTGCAGTCAATTTTAGGTGAAATGCAACACCAAACTGTCCTCAGTTGCTAGCAGCAAATCTGTGGTGGATGTCTCAGCTGAAATATCTATAGCTAATAGTATGACTGTTAGCTAATAGTATGACTGTCTGCAAGGGCATGCCTTACCAACACTTTGTGTCATTTGTTTGTCTGTTCAGTGAAGTTAAAAAAGAAGCTAGGTGCATATTTTGTGGCTTCTGTCAGGACACCCTGTTGAGTAAATAAATGTCTCATACTTCAAATGTTTTCAGCATGAACCATTTTATAAGGGAAATTTTCGATTGACTCCTATTCTCTTTGAGCGCGGGTGATGAAAGCATTTCCTGTTCACATGATAGAATATTTCTTTTTAAAGTTTAACACTGTGTTGAACTGAAGTCTAATTTTTGAAGTGAAAACATTACATCTGAAGGAAGTTGTGGGTGGAACTGAGGTAATAATAGTGAGGTTCAACAGTAATAATCATGACAATACTCTCTCATTAAGACTTGGCACAATTATTTTTAAGACTACCGTATTGTTTTTTTTTGTCTTATTTATTTTCTGTGTGTAGTAATAATTTCTCTTAAAGAAAACATATTTTGGTATTTTTAACATAATAATTGATATTTCAAATGGGAACATAATAATAGCAACAGCACAAATCAGTATTACTGTCCAAGTTTGAAAGCCCTCTAAAAAATATCACTAAAAAACCTAGTGTATTTTGAGGATTTCATTTTCTTGATAAATTCAAGACATAAATAGTCAAAAAATTAATGGATCAATAAAAAGTCATAGTAACTTATAACGACAGAACGTACATTTGACATTATCGAATGACTTGATATTAATTCACCGAAATAAAAAAAATCTTACTGTCTTGCTTGATTAAAGCACTAGAAGTCGCTGGTGAAAAAATTGGGGTAATCAACTCAAAATTCTCTTTTTGTTTAATTTCTGTGTTCAGCTATTTGAATGTATCGTGATGTTTTGACAACAAATGTGATTTGAATATCAATATGTGAAATCTTTGATCTACAAGTTTTCAAAGAATGAAATTCCACTAAAAAGATTGCCATTGCCTAAGATAATTGGGTTTTGGAAATTTTCTTGATTTCATCATTGTAATCACTTTAAAAAAGGCATGAACTGAAAATTGGTGGTGATCGATGATTCGCAAGGTTGTAATTTCGCTCACACACGTCTTACAACACAAGTCAGCTGAAGGGATCGAAAACCAGCGTTCCTACATGATAAATCCATAATATGTATTTTGGCTACAGTAGTTGTATCTTGAAATAAATCCAACGAATTTCAAGAGTCTTTTACTCAGTGCTATGGCCAGCTTTTCCTTACGTTATTTTAAGTCCACTTAATATTGCCTAGTAAACACCACCCAAAACAGATATAGACACGCAATGAACTATACTTACTTGAGGTAGCCTTTTCTCCTGTTATTATCTCGAACAAATGGGGGTTCAGTAGTTGGATGGCATCGATAAAGTGTGAATATCCTGTCTCTCCTTTAGTCATGAGGATGTCGAGTAATTTCCCAGCTTTCTGTTCACGAGTTTTTTCTGCATTAACAAGATCACAATCTCCTAAGTCGAATACCGCCTTACTGCGAAGGTAGTCAAACAAAAAGGTTCGATCTAGCTGTAAGTACTGCACAATCTCCACTCGATTCCTCTCCAAAATATCTTCAAAAGTCTCTTCGCCCATTTCCATGCTCGGCAAATGATTCAATCATACAGAAAATGGATCGATGCACAGTTCTACTTCAGCTTATATCGACCACGTTAGCAGACAGGAAGCCAAACTACTCAAGCGGAACGTAAAGTGACCCCGCTATGATCAAAACTCAACTTCTCTTTTCTACAGGCGAACTGCACTCAATCACATGATCTCCGCAGAGGGGCGGAGTGGTACAATAAACCATGTAATGATGTTCCCCACCGGATAGCAATTTACGGACCGTTCACCGATCGAGCCGAAAAAAAGAGGCAGATTTACTGATCATTGAATGCAGTGTTATGTCCTTAGATAATTCATGTCCTCGATTCTCGCTCAGACATTGCAGGTACACCATCAGCGTGGGTGTGGGTGACCTTGCTTTGTATATGTATGAAGAAATGTATATTGTTTTATTAGAAGAATAGAAGTTCCGCATTTCGGTATCGCGTGTGGAAGTTGTATCAGTCGAAACCTTCTTGGAAACCAAGCTTAGACGACGTTGGAACAGCTCCAATTTCCAAACTGCTCAGCAAATAATTGATAATGGATTTCTGTTTTTCTTTCGGTTATACCCTGTCAAATCAGCATATAACAAAACGCAACGACGGTCTTCTTTACGGGCAACTGAAGAACGCAGCCAACCGGTACAATCTGTCTGGTTTCTGAAAACAAAATAGGGGTCAATAGATGTCTAATAATAATTCGAGCTTGGTTATAAAACAAAACGTGAGGAGATGAATTTGAAACTCACGTACACATGCTCACGAGATTTGAATACGAATGAACATACTAGATTGGCACGAGAATGAGCTTTGGCGGCTTTTTACATAATGGAAGTAGTTCCACTGATAAGGGCCTGTTTAAAATCCAGACCTTTGTTATACTGAGGACTTTATCTGTTATATTTAGGTCGTTTTATTTATCAAGGCTGTCTATGCTAGAATATCATCTGATGACCACTTCTCATTACTCATCATCTTTAAAGCTTTTCTCAAAGAAGCTGCGTCAGAGTGGTTTTTGAATTTTCAAGATGATTTATCACAGTTTGTGTAAACATTTTCCATCCTGAACCATCCACGACCTGTATTGCATAGCAATCCTGGACAACAGTACTTATTCAATATATGCTAATTCATGACACTCTTGTAACTATCTTAGTTGTAAATGGGTAGAAAATTTCACTGTTTTAATAAAAAGTCTAAGAACGATTCATTCGAGAGTCAACGCTCTGTACATTTAATCCTACGAAATGATGACAAGGCGGCGGGCGGGGGAAAGGGGGAAAGGGGGAAAGGGGGAAGGGGGGGATGGGGAAATCGGACGCCAAATGACCACACACCCCATGTGCAAAGCATGGTTTTTTTAATTTACCTTTTAAGATTTTACCCGTCTGTCATTTACTTGAATCATGGGCCGGTTACATAACCAATGGATTTTATGCAAAGGGTTCAAAGTGTTGATGAATGTGAATAGGCTGACGTTCAGAAACACATTTTTTCAAATAAAATTAAACTTCACTCCATCAGATATCATACCCTTTATGGTAGTCACTTCCATTTCGACTAACCCCATTTCCTTCGTTGTCCCGCTCTTTCAATCTGGTTTTCCCAAAATAGTGACCAATTTTAGACACTACGTGATTAGATCAGTTACTCCCTACTGTGACAAAATTTACTTCGTCAACACTTTGCAATCTGATTTTAGGACCTTCGTGATGCGAAGTTGTCAGTACCTAGGAATTAACGCAAGCTTCTCACTGTAACCAAGGTGATAAACATGGACATGAACATGTTTGGTGTGCTCAGCTTCAGAGGAAATACTGGGGAAGGGAAATACCCCATTACTTCGAGGACATTTTGAACTAAATGGTGGCCGTTGCGCTAGTATGGTCATCGAGGAAGTCCTTGCGCAATATTTGTGTCAGACTTCTACATGTGGTCTCCCTTACGTCAAAGATAAGGACGTCTCCTTGGAAACTGTCATAATTTCAATTATTCTACTTTCATTTTTCGTCACCTGTTGTTCAGTATTCAGTTCATGTCTGGTTAGAGAACACAAAGTACTAAGATCATGTAATATAATCAAAACATTTCAACTTAATGATTAGAAAACGTATTTCTCATTAGATCAGATCTTTGCTTCCTTTCCAAAAGTAAATCTCGAGTGGAGGTGCGTGTCTTAGATGTAGGAATGGGTTAAAAATGGGTCTCACTCTAAATCCATCATATATGAAAATATCTTTAAAAAATATTCCATGAGCCTTAACGACTAAAGAATTAAGGAGCCTTAAAGAGGTCAAATAGTAACAGTCTACAACTTACGTGATAAACTAGTCAAGGGCGGATCCGTTGTAATTCTGTTTTGCCATTAACGGATTAGACATTGTCATCTTTCCAGGGAAATGACCTTTTTAAGACATTAACTATTTGCTGATGCGTCGGAATTAAGTGCAGAATGTTTTTCTAGAAGAGTGTGTACTTCCCTTTACTGATATCGGCACATTCCTTGTACTTCCTTGAGAGAAAACCGCTAGCATCACAAGAATGTGCTTAGTTAGTAAAAGCCGCTAACCGTTATCTGAAAGGCACAGGTTCGAAATAAGTCCTGTAGTTTATTTTTGAGAATCAGTCCGTTTAGTATCCGCAATCTGTTGATAGAGCAGACGACAAGAAGTTCAGTTTACATCGTTTCTGTTTTCCGTTTGTTGTTTGTCCTAAACGTCATATTTAACCTGTCATTAGTCTGCTAGTAAGTAAGCTTAAACGGATGACTTTAAATGAAACGAAGGAACATAAACCGTCTGATTTTACTCAACTACCCCATTGAAAAAACTCTGTTATAAGATGGCAAAATTGCCTTTTTCACGTCTATTGTGTATACTTTTGTCAAAGAGTTCAAACAGCCTACGGGGGAAGGCGAGCAAATAAATTTTTGGATATTTCCTTACTTAACTTTTTAATGGATGAAAGCTAAGCTGAAGGCTTAAGAATTTGACTCAGACGGTTTTTAAGGTCTTTTAAATACCCAAAGGGAGTTGAAAAGCGATCGTTCAAAAATGCAGTTTAAGAATTGTTTATTGCCATGGTTATGAGACAGACTTTTTAAAAACAACTGGTCACTATACGAGTAAAATAATTGTCTCATCAAAATTACTCTTGTTGAGGAAGACAAGTAATAAGCCTTCGTATCTTAATGGTGACAAGGACGATTTATTGTTTGAAAAATTTTCAACGCTGCGGGAAAAGAAATGAAACTGAATGAACTGTCAAGGTTTAGAAATAATGAAGTTTAATGATCATGAGAAGAGAGGATAGGTAAAAGAAAAGGTCTATCATAAAGCCATTAATTGGCAAATTAATCAATTGGTTACTCGATTAATCAGTCGATCTATAATTGGTTTGGGGGAATACATACAGCATGAATACAGCGCCCAGAAACTGATCTAAAGTGTCATTCTATAAATTCTCCTTAGATTACTTCTCTTACATCATTTTTTCGTGTGACTATAAGTTATATAAGTCAGGCCGTGATAGCACGTGCTTAAAAAATTACTGACTGCGGGGAAAACTACGCTTGGTGCGACAGAGTTGTCAGCTCTTAGGGATCTGTTGCAGCCCAATCTAACAAGACGCCAGGAGCAAGGAGACTAGGAGTTTTCCAACACGGACGGTCTTAATGCACTAGCACGTCCGAATCTTGAGCGTAATCGCAAACACACTTTCGATGTAATCTCGAACTGGAACAATACCATGCACTCTCGTAATGTAATCAGCTAGCACTCTAAATTTAAAGTTCCACAAGAGATTACAAACTGAGTCTATGTATCAAACTTAGAAGCACCTCACTCACCCGAGTCGTTTTTAAAATATAAGCTAATTGTTTAGATGAGAGATAGAGCCCTTTGAGAAACTGAGTATTTCTTCAAATTATGTTTGAATTAAATCACTAAATTGAAGATTAGCACTTCCTTCGAACAACTACATTTCAACGTTTCCATGCAAACATTTAAAGTCTGTGTCAGGCGCACACCCATGGGCCCCTGGCCAGTGTTTGCCCCCCTAATTCTAAGTGTCCGTTTTATAAAGGCCCTCGGAAGTCGTGAAAGCATAAAAAGCTTACATTTTCGATCCGTTACAGTGTAAACGAAACACGATATTGGCCACTTTATAACCCCTGATATTTGTCTCGACTTACAGATCCTACCTCCAAGTGTAGTGAGGACATCCTTAGGACCTTCTGAAAGTGAAGAATGACATCCTGCTCAATATGAATGAACAACATGTAATCCTTCTAGTGCTACTCGATCTTAGTGCTGCTTTCGATACAGTCGAGCATAATATATTGCTGGAGGCACTCAATACGCTGGGACTTGAGGGCAGGGTGTCCAAGTGGTTGCGATCGTACTTATCAGGGCGCAGTCAGAGGATGTTAGTCCGTAGGTGTCTGTCGAAGAAGTTTGATTTGAACTGCGGAGTACTCCAAGGCTCCTGTTTAGGACCGCTCTTGTTTACCATCTATACGAGCTCGTTACTATACGTCGTCAAAAAATGTCTTCCATCTGTCCACTGCTATGCAGACGACCCAACTTTACGTCTCTTTCCGCCCCGCAGATGGGACAGGTCACTTGGATGTCATTACTGCTATTGAGTGTTGTATTACGGCGATCAGGTGTTGGATGCGTGAGAACAAACTATTGTTGAACGAGGAAAAAACTGAGTTTCTTTTAATTGGCACGGAGCAGCAGCTTGCCAAAGTTGATATTGGACACATTAAAGTTGGCAAAGTAAATATAGCTCCGCAGAGAGTCCAGAATACAGCTGCACGCCCCATATTCCAGGAGAGCAGATTTTGTCATATCACACCTCTGCTCAAGTCATTACACTGGCTGCCTATGAAATATCGCATGGTTTTTAAAATTATTTTAATTACTTTTAAAGCAATACATGATCTCGTCCGATCTAACGAGATCAGTCTATTAAATACTATTCTTGAGATACTTCCTCTTCCTTGCAGTCGCGTGGTAATGACTTTTGGGGGTTAAAGCATGCATCTTAACTGTATTGTTTAATATGTTATCTACTGCGCTAGCTAATTAAGGCCACAATTTTCAATTAATTATTACTAATCGCATAACGTGATGACGTCATAAACGGAATTCACTGTATTACGACTTGCTAGTCAGAAGAACTGTGAGACACCACTGGATTTTGAACGCGACTACTCCAAGTGATGATTCAATAAAGGAGCTGTTTAAAACCGTGGACTGAGTTAATCTTCGACTAGCAAAATATTCAAAATCCACGGTGGTCTGCTACAAAGCGACAACTGGATAAGCGAAGATGGAAAACGCAGCTGAAATCGAGAAGGCTAAAGGCAAGCGTACAACAGCTAAAGGAAGATTCACAAGAAAGAAGAACTTCCTCACCAAGTCGATAGACAACAACCAAGGCGTAGAAATAGTTGAAACAAACTATGCGAAACTCGCGGAAGCGTACGATGAACTCGAAGGCAAACATGAAGCCTACATCGAGCTATTGCCAGACGATCAGTCTGAAGAAGCAGAAGTGTGGATGACGGAAGTCCAAGAGAAGTTTAATGAGGCGACCAATCGCAAAATCAAATATGTGGAACAAATCACTGTGAAAGAAAGATCAACACGTGCGTACGCGGAGCGTCAAGAATACATTGATAAAGCACGAACAAGACAGAAAACAGCGCGCGCAGTTTTCGAAGCTTCATACAAAATTATCTCGCACGCGCTGCAATCTAAAGAAATTCCCAATTTTGCATTGAGAGATTTACAAATGCAAATTGAAGAAGAATTTTTGGAATGCAAACGATCAAACGCAGAACTGCTACAATTATTAACTCAAGACTCAGCAGAAGCTGAAATAAATTGGATCGCTACAATCCAAACCTGTTATCATGAAATAAAGGAGAAAATAGCGCTAAGCTACACTAATGTGGAAGAAGCTAAAGAAACAAAGCGGGAGTCTACCGCCTCAGCTTCCTTTCTACAACTAGAAAAAGTACGAATGCCTCACTTTGACGGAGAACTGCGCAAGTATCCGCAATTTAAAAGAGATTTCCAGAAGCAAGTTATGACTCAAATCCGAAAAGGTGACGCAGCGTACGTCCTACGCACCTGTCTTAAGGGGGAGCCAGCGAGATTGGTGAACTGCGTAGACGACGACATAGACGAGATGTGGCATCGTTTAGACGACAAATATGGAGACCCAGCCAAAGTTGCCGATGTCATCATTGACGAAATAAAGCGATTTAGAATGCTCAGAGAAGGAGAAGATAAACGCTTTATAGAATTTGTAACCCTCATAGAGGATGGTTATCGTAACCTAAAAGGACTCGGCTTGGAAACAGAGATCACAACCACAAGTTCAGTCAGCGTAATTGAGAAAGCGCTCCCGTCAGATATCAAACGGAAATGGTCCGAACGGGTAAGCTCTCGTGACAGTCTTGTTGATAAAAGCAACAAATTTCCAAGTCTTCTCGACTTTCTACAGAGTCAAAGGGATGCCATTGAATACGAAAGTGCTACACTCCGTGCAGGAAGCAGCAACCAATATCACAAGGGCGCAGCACATTACTCGGAGGGTATCACAGTTGGAAAAGACGAAAGTACCAAAGAACCTAGGCCTAATTGTCTGATTCACGAGAATGGTAAGCACTGGACGTCAAATTGCCGACTTTATCAAGCTAAGACAGTTGACGAAAAAAGGGATTTTCTCAAAGAAAAGCAAGCATGCTGGGCTTGTCTTAAGCCTGGTCACAGGCAGCGGACTTGTAGGATAAAAAGAGATTGCGGCGTGAATGGCTGCACGAGGAAACATCATCCATCAATTCACGAAAACGATGAAAGTACACCCCAGCAAGCTTCTGCCTCCGCCAATGTATGCAGCGACTCCAACGTCGATACATGTCTCCTCCAAGTACAGAGAGTAAAAACCAGGAAGGGGACAGCTAATGTAATGTGGGACAACGCAGCCTCACTTTGCTTCATAACCAACGCCAAAGCGAAACAAGAGAAACTCAGTGGAGTCAAAGTGAATCTTTCAATAGTGAAGATAGGAGGGCAGAACGAGGAAATCGAAACAATGAAATACAAGCTACCACTTTTGGACAAGCGAGGTCAAGCCGTGGAATTCGAAGTATATGGGATCAACAAAATCACCTCTGATATCGAGCATGTAAACATAGAAAGCATCGCCCACCTATTTAGAAACGCTTCAAAGGATGAAATAGCGCGACCCGCTGGTCCAGTTGATGTGTTGATCGGTTATGAATACGCTGCCTTTCACCCGGAAAGGGAACAGAATAATGGGCATCTTGTACTACTGAAAAATCGTTTTGGAAGATGCGTTGGAGGAACTCACCCACTGCTTAAAGAAACGTGCATGACCCATAATCTTGGAAACGCGAGAGTACACTTTGTAGGCAAAGTCAATGTCGAAGATTTTTACACTATCGAGGCACTTGGTGTACAGTGCAAACCGAAGTGCGGGGGATGCAAGTGCGGAAAATGCTCCTTGGGCGCCAAAGATTATACCATACAGGAAGAAAGGGAACTGGAGTTAATTGAGCGGAATTTACGTTTCAAGAGTGAAGACAACTCATGGACCGCTGAATACCCCTGGATAAAAGACCCCCATAAGCTTCCTAACAACCGCAAAGTAGCGATGGCGAAATTAGCTGCTACCGAACGACGACTCAGAAAGAACGCAGATCACGCGAAAGTGTATGACGAACAGATAAAGGACATGGTGGCCAGAAATGTGGCAAGAAAGCTATCCGAGGAAGAATTAACAAACTACACAGGCCCTACGCATTACATTGCTCATCACGAAGTACTCAAACCAGAATCGAAATCTACTCCAGTCCGTATAGTTTTCAACAGCAGTGCGAACTATATGGGGCACGTATTAAACGAGTATTGGGCAAAGGGTCCTGACTTGTTCAATAACTTGTTAGGCGTCTTGATACGCTTTAGAGAGAACAGAGTTGCTTTCATGGGAGACATTAGGAAAATGTACCACACAGTGAAAACGTCGGAGTTAGACCAACATACTCACCGATTTCTTTGGCGCGACATGGATAGTACGAGAGAACCAGACACCTATATAATACAGCGAGTGTCATTTGGAGATAAACCGTCCGGCACGATCGCCACTGTAGCATTGAGAAAAACGGCAGAGATGATGTGCAAGAATTATCCGGAAGCAGCAGACATAATTCAAACCAACACTTACATGGACGATATCATCGAAAGCAAAGATAACATTGCACTGGCCCGTGACCTTAGCCAAGACATAGAGAAAGCTATTATTAAAGGAGGATTTCAAGTTAAAGAGTGGATATTCTCAGGACATATTAACAAGCAAGAAGAAACGATCATGGTACAGACACCGCATACGTCGACCGAAAAGATACTTGGGATCAAATGGAATCCATGTGAAGATCAGCTATGTTTTGAAGTCAAGATCAAGTTCTCACCAAAAGGAAAGAGACATGCTTTACAAACAAATAACGTAACCACAGATTTTCCCCCTCAACAACTCACGAAGAGGATGATTCTCTCACAGATCAATAGTGTATATGATCCTCTCGGACTAGCTGGACCGTTCACTGTAAGAGCGAAGATTCTAATGCGGCACTTATGGGGAAGTGAACAGAAGCTTGACTGGGATGATCCCATTCCTGAAGAGAATAGAGAGAACTGGATAACCTTCTTCAAAGATTTAAAAGACATGGATCAAGTACGATTCATGAGATGCGTGAAGCCGTCGGATGCAGTTGGAGAACCTATTCTCATTATATTTAGTGATACATCTCAAGACGCCTACGCTGCATGCGCGTATGTACGCTGGGAACGGAAAAATGGTCAATTTGAAAGTAACTTGATCATCTCTAAGAATCGCCTAGCTCCAATCAAAAAAATATCTATCGATCGTATCGAACTATGTGACAAATTTATAGTGAATTATGTGTTTCAGCCTCGCTTTCATGCGTAAGGTCACGTGACCTATGTTAATTAACATAAACCAACAGGGAGGATCATGCCCAATCATGTGAGCAAGTCTGGTGTATTTTCGTCTGTTATTAACAAAGTTATGAGGAATTATGTGTTTTAGCCTCGTTTCCATGCTAGATTTCATGGATCAGAATTTAACCCCCTTAAAAGCCGTCTGAGCAAGTTGCAAAGCTGGCACCAAAACTTTTCATGTTTAGTAGGTCCTAATGAACACTTTTACACTAGGTGCTTGCTTTCAGCACGAACTTCACACGGGACCACATTTGCTCCCAGACTAAAGAAGTTTTTCTCTATTAAAATCCCTATTTGAGATTAACTTGAATCAGATGACTATAAACTCACTCGTTTTCCGTTTGGTTTGATCGGCTCGACGATCACGACCATAGCCTTTGCCCTTGCAATCTCTGAGGAAAGGAACAACTTGCAGTGAAACTGCCCGATGACCTCTAGAAAAAAACCATCGTGCCTCGTTATACAGCTGATTCTTTCGTCAAAAGTTAGCTTTTGGTTTACCAAGGGAATATCTCTTCAGCAACGAAACTCTAGAGCACTGACCGAGGGGAACCTTCGCCGCACATAGTGCGAAGGAATAAAATGTTATGGCAACAGAAACGAACACAGCTACCCATTCTTAACATTGATTTCGCCATATAAAACAAAACACAAATGCAGAAAGCTTAACATTCAGTAACGGGAGTTTTGTGTTCTAATCTTAACCTAGAAACCGCAGGCGAGAAACCTTCTTTGTCAGTCTTCGTCGAAATCTTCGTTTGATGCAACGCAGTTCTCCTTCGTAGGGCTGAACCATACTCGCAACTTTCACTTCTTCTCTACTACTTGAGTACGATATATCACAACTCTCGGTAGAGCTTGCTGACGGATATTGTTTCAAGAGTATTTCAACGCTGACTAATACATTATTACAAGAGATGTGAGAGATTTGCAAGTGTCAACTAAGAGTTTTCACAGTTTTCTACTTCATCAGCCGCTAGTCCACGGGACACTTATAGGACCGGCTGAGCGGGTTACACCTACCTGGGGTCCCCCACCTCTATGTTAACAGGCTCTTAATATGCCAAGCCTCCAGACAAAGGCGCTGGTGGTAAAGCCGATTAGTGATGATAATTTTAGAATTATCCCACCCAATTGTATGGTTAGTTAGGCATGTGTGCTCCGAGAAAGCTGAACTTTCCTTTTTTCAAAAGAAAACCGCTTTTTGATGCTCTTTCAAACCCACATCTATGTAAACAGGCCCTTAATATGCCAAGCCTCCGGACAAAGGCGCTGGTGGTAAAGCCGATTAGTGATGATAATTTTAGAATTATCCCACCCAATTGTATGGTTAGTTAGGCATGTGTGCTCCGAGAAAGCTGAATTTTCCTTTTTGCAAAAGAAAACCGCTTTTTGATGCTCTTTCAAACGTGTACCAAACTGACGTTTGGTCTGTCCGATGTATTCGTTGTCACAGTTATTGCAAGGAATAGAATAAATGGCGTCGGTTCCTTGTTCTTTCGTGACAGGATCCTTAGGTTTGGCGAAAGTATGCCCATTAAGTCTGAAAAGGTTTTTGAGCAACTTTAACGTTGTGGCTATTCAAAATTCTCTTGATGGGTTCCGTAACACCCTGGATGTAAGGAATAGCAGCAAAACCAGCCGTTGGTTCCCTTTCATCAAGAGTGTTTCTAGTTGTAACTGGTTTTTGGCCGTCACGGAGAAAGGTTTTTGTATAGCCATTTGCCTCTAGGACATTAAAAACATACTTCCTCTCCTCAGCCTTCGAATCGAGTGAAGATGATAGACAGTCAGCCCTCCTGAGTAAAGTTTTGGCTACAGACTTTTTATGGCAAATAGGGTGGTGAGAATCGAAAGCGAGGTATTTGTCGGTGTGGGTAAGTTTACGGTGGAAACTTGTCTCTAAATTACCCTGAACCCCTCTGGACACATTTAAATCAAGAAAGAGCAAATATCTATCCTTTTCACGTCCAAGGGTGAATTGGATCGACGGCTCTAAAGAATTCAAATGCGATAGGAGGCGCTCCGCTTCATTTCCGGATACCACAGAAATAACATCATCGACAGATCGTTTCCGGAAAAAGGGTTTAACCGGTGAAGTGGTTAAGGCCCCTAGTTCCACGTTTTCCCTTACCATGTTGGCAATAAGGACCTTAAGCAAACCACGACGGCGACGGCAACGAGGACGTGGAAAAACAAAAGATCTAATTGGCAGAACAATAGCTCAGCACGTCCGTTTTAAAACTTTGTACATTTCTTAGCCGTCCCATGCAAACCAACAACGTGAAATCACCACAATTTGCGTTGTCCGCAGACCGAAACCGCGACTGCAAATTATTTTGATTTCCAATTGGAACTCAACGGTTCCTTTATACCCTATGCTGAAGTTGAGGTGTGGCACCGTATCAGACGGTAAACACATGCAGCCATTTTTGAAATTCTAATTATAGGCAGAAAGTCATTTTTTAATCGAAGTCTTCCTTGGCGTTGCCGTCCTGACTGCTTAAGGTCCCTAATGACAGCAGAGACGGCGAACCCATAGTTGTACCAAAAACTTGTTGATAGTAGGTGCCGTTATATGCAAATTGCGTAGTTTTTGAGGCAAAAAGACGGCAGATGAATAATATCCTCCACAGGCAAAGAAGTTCTTTGTCCTGGGGAAGCATCTTCTCTGAGTCTCTCCTCCGCAACCTTAACGGCAAGATCAACTGGGATTTTTAGTGAAGAGCGAAACAACGTCGAAAGATACTAATTCTTTACAAGCGTTAAGAGTCTTATCTCTTATGAAATCCACAAATTCGCAGGAGTTTTTGACAGCGTAATCAGTATTCCCAACAACAGGCGACAAAATTCTCGCAAGATAACCAGAAATTGCATATGGCCCAGGTCGCACTACTGCCCAAACCAAAAATTAGGCAGCCAAAAAATTTTCGAAAAGTTGAAACCGCAACCGGAAGAGCCGAAAATGTGACACAATTTTTGAGTTACACTACCGAAATACACAAATATGACAAAATAAACACAGTTGATCAGATTTCATTTCTGGCGCGTATTGTGCGGTAATAAACATGAACCCAAATCGGGCATTTTGCTTTGTTTTTGCCTCTCTACTTCTACAAATTATCGACATGCAACAGCTGCAAATGTTTGCCTTTTCATCCTGTATCAGAGATGGGTAAATAAATACAGGCAAATCCTGAAGTCGCTTTTATAAGAAGACCGCAGCATTTTCGTAGAATTTGTGTTGCGCCTTACACATGGACCATTCCTTGCCCAGCCGAATCATGGTTTGATAGTCATTACTTGAGCCCTTTGCTATTCTTGCGGCCATTTGTCGTATTTTTTTTGTTTTTTTGTCTTTTTGTGCCAAACCTTCAGCTGACCTGGAGCTGGTCGGGCTATCGCTCTCCCTTACCACACTTGCCGGACTATCGGACCGATTAAGCAAAATTCCGCTGGGTAAGGAAAGGCCGCAGACTGCCATTTGCTGTTTAGAATGATTAGGAAGATGAAAGTGTCTAGCGACTGGTTTGGATGCGTCCTTGTCATTTCTTTCCACGTCGCGAAGGTGGTTTCGGAATCGGTCACCTAGTCGTCTCCCTGTTTCGCCGAAAAACTTTATTGACGACAGTTCAGCATTACACGTTTCGTTCTACAATCTATCTACTCTATTACAATCTAATTGTAAGGTGACGTAACCCACTTTCAGTCAGCGTTGATACTTGGCACTGGCCTTCCTGATAGAGGAAGTATTCAAATAACTAAACGCTCGTCATAGACATTGTAACCAAAGACTTCTTGCGACGTCAAAAAACAAGTTGTATAACTTTGTATAAATTATATAAATTGTATATATGTTATTATATTGTATTGTGTTTGTATTATTTATATATATTGTATAAATTATATATCATATATATAAACGTCAAAAAATAAGTTGTATAACTTATTGCAATAAGTGCAAGTTATGCAGTAAATAATATTGGCGGAGGTACACGAAAAGTGATGAGTGATCTTAATGGATCTCCTGGGTCCCGATATTTTCTTTACGTTTTGAATGAAAGAACAAGTTTTGCATCTGGAGCGAGCGCATTTGAAAGTTCCAGATTGGTCATTGGTTTGAAATGAACTCCTGGCTAAAAAGTTGCTTATGTTTTTGTCACGTTTGAATGAAATAAGTGGGCGTTAACAGTTAAATCTATCATTGTTAAAAATTTTTAATTACTCCAAAACGATTCAGAGACTGGCACTATCTTTTCGCAACGCCCACTTATTTCTGGTAGTGATCAAAACAACTTCTAAATTGCATTTTTCTAAATTCAGCCAGCAAAATAAAACTCACAAAATTAATTTTTCCCCTCACAATCGATAACTATTTGGTGGTATAACATTTTACCTTTTACGGACATAGCAAAGTTTTTGACGTCGCGAGAAGTCTCTGGTTACAATTTCTATGACGTGCGTTTAGTTATTTGAATACTTCCTCTATCAGGAAGGCCAGTGCCAAGTACCAACGCTGACTGAAAATAGGTCACGCAATCCTCGGGTTAGATTGTAATAGAGTAGATAGATCGCAGAACGGAACGTGTAATGCTGAATTGTCGTCAATAAAGCCTGAATCATGAGAAAGTATACAGTCCAAGATTATTGAATCAGCATGTGAGGAATTCTCAGCAACGCAAGTGGGAAATTCTGCGAAAATACAGATCTATGACTTTGATGAAGTTGTTGCAAGATGCTTCTTAACTGAAACAAAAATTTACATTGATTCGATCTATTTCTAGCCAAGCGAACAATATCAGGAATATATCAAACAACTCACTGTCAAAGTTATTGAGTTGATCGCTAGAATCATTTAACAGAGGATTTAAGGAATCGTTTTTGGAATCATTACGCAAGGACTTACCTAACCGCGACATGAACAGAAATTTGAATTTATTTTGATTTCTTTAGCAACAGACTCCTGAT